GATCCTCCATTACGCGACACGTGAGTGGCCAAAGCCCCTAGCAGCCAAGAGGCCTGCTCTGGGGTACGGCATGTACTGCAGCGTGCAGGACTGGTCCTGGGCCGGTGGTGTCCCGGACATCGAGGACTCAGTCCGCTTGGCTCTGCTGCCCTCCGCATCCGTGTGGCCCGGCGCCAGACCTCTCCTTCCCTCCGAGCGGGACAGGATGTCTTTGGCAAGGCTGGACAGATGTTATGCCAACGCGGCTCAGGTCGTCGCCCTGGCTAACAACATGGCCTTTATCACGGGGGCCCTGGATAGGTGGCTCTCCGCTGGCCAGGCGCTCAGCGGAGACCTCCTGACAGAGGCGAGGACCACTTCCGCGGCTCTCCTGCGCATGAGCCAGGCCTTTGCCGTGGATGGTGGCCGCACCATGGCTGCAGCCCAAGTCGTGGCCAGGCACCTTTGGCTTGGGCTAGCTAACATCAGGGAAGCGGAGAGCGCTCGCCCAGGAGGCGCTCCGAACCCTATCCTCGCTCCGCCACCCACCGTCTCCCCTCGACGAGACCCCAGGGCTCGGACAGACCCACGAGAGGCTCGCGGGAGCAACGCGCCCACCGCCGGCCTTTGTATGGTAGAGGGGGCCGGGGTGGCAAGAATGTTTTCAATAAAGGCCGTCCGGCATTTCACCAGTACTCGTGTCTCATTTGGGGGTATGTAACATTTTTAAGAATGTATCTGATTGTGTTACTTCCCGGGCATATAACGTGGCCTCGCTAGGCCTGCAGCCCCCTGAGCAGGGCGTGCAGTGCGCTACGCGGGCTACGAGCTCCGGTTCTCTGATCCATGGTATGCCCTCCCAGAGAGAGGTCAAGCGGGGAGTGTTGGTGAGTAGAGGTGTGTGTACTTCAGCTAAACACGTGCTAGCCCCTCCTAGCTACGAGGCTAAGCACAGGGTTTCACATTCCAGGGGCTCGCCCCCCCTCCATGAGGCAAGAGCCGGGGGGGGCGGAGCGGCCGTGTCACAGGGTATGAACAGGCCCGGTCTTATGACGTCGGGCCTGCGGAACACGTGACCGCCCCCGGCGCACACGACGTGACGCAGGAGGCCCCTCTGCCCTTTCGTTCACCCCCCCCTCCCTGCTAGGAACACCAGGAGAGGGCGGGGCTGTGACGTCTCGTGTTCCAGTTCCCGTTCCGCCCCTCGTAGATTTCTACAACATCTGGAGGGAGCAGGGATTACTCAGGGCTTAAAGTTTTCCGGCACCGTGCCGGAAATCCGGCGTGAGAAAAAAAAAAAAAAAACATCACTTTTTTTTTTTTTTTTTTTTTAATATATATATAAATAAATAATGATTGCTGTCATTTGAAAAAAGGTTCAAGTGTGTTCTACCAATTGTATGAAAGGATTGCATGTGTATAGCGCAGGGATTAAAGAGTTCCGTCTAAGTGACGGATTTCCGTCAAATGAAATTGGTCTGAAAAAAAAACAAAATATATAATAATAATATAATACACACAATGAAATGGTTAATTATAACAAAATATATAGTAATACGTGTGAATCTTTTGTATATATCTAGATATATATTAATAATTTGAATATAATTGTATTTATATGTATATAGAAATAAAAAGTAACGAGTGGGCCTTGAACGTGCCGTGGCTAGCTACATGAGCGCTCCGTAAATGATTCAAGGCAATGGGACGTAGCCAAGTTAGCGATGGTAACACGGAGGTGAAAGTTTCTGAAAAGTGCACGGAGCTTTTGAAAAGGAGAAGAGGACAAGGAAAATGTAATCCCGAACGGAGCAATAACAGCCAGCAGCCCGCGGACCGGTAAGCTAGGCGCGTTATCAGAGGAAAGGTAGGACATAATTAACGTTTACCAAACGCAATGCTTTTTTATTTAACGGAATGTACAATATGTACTTTGCTGTGACTGGGAATGGGGACAAGCATGTCTTGGTGAGCTTTTGATAATATCTTGGTGGCGATCCCCATGCAAAACTGCGTGATAAAAAGAGCCAATCAACGAGAGCGAACGGAAGAAACTCGCAGAAGAAAGGTGTGTGTTAGCAGGTCTTATATTCATTCATCAAAGCTAGCCTAGCATGCACGCACAATCACAATCATGGATCGTTGTTTATGGAAGAAGGAGCTGTATAAGTTGCTGTTGATAACGGAGTGAAAAATAAATGGAGGTGGGCATGGCTGGATGAGGTGGAGACGATGGGATTCTGTTGCTTCATGGTGCAAAAAGATAAAGGTGTCCGGTGCTTGTTCGTACTTCGCTATTATTATTTTTTTATATGGGAGTAATGAGAAAACAGCTTTGGATTCACCACCAGCTCAAAACTGCGCACTTGGCAGCTGTCCGTGCACTTTCCCACACTTCTTTACCTGGTGCATCAGATTCAGCGACAACTGAGACTAGGTGAGGCTCTGGTGGACTGTGTCTGTGACCTAAAACTATCTGTGGCTTTATCGCAGAAAATAACCTGTCGTTCAGAACCATCACTACCGCTGGTAGATTTAATTATCATTAATCATTTGCAGTTGATAAAACTGCGCTGTGCACTAGCACCAAGTTGATAGGGAAACTTTTTTCTTAAACATTGAGTGTCCACAAACAAATGTGGACAGAATTTTGAATGTCCTTTTGCGATATTTTGACGAGGACAGAGCCAAAGGACAACGCCTCATCTCGCCTCAAGTAAAGCCAATGATGCAGATGAACTACTCTCACTAATATTCTGTCAAAGAGTTGACAAGTTGCTTGATCCACTGGTTGTAATTTCACATCAAAATACACCAGTTTAAATGTATATCTTTGAAGAATTCGTTTGATCTGTAATTCATTATATTTCCATGAGAAAATTTTCAGTCAAATCTTTTTTTTTTTGCTTTAACCCCTGGATGATGTATTTATTGCCAACAACTGATGTTTATAATAAACATCAGTTGTTGGCATTAAATAGATATAAATTATATGTATGAGCGTATAAAGGCGCTTATAAAAAACGCTTATTAGTGATCATTCTATGATTCATATAGATGGTTCAGGCTCAGGAATTTTTTCAACTTTAACCCATGGATTACTGTCAGACCCGTGGTTGGAGAAAACCATGCGCAGAGGCTACGCACTGCAGTTCTCCCGGAAACCACCACCATTCCGAGGCGTACGGGCAGCACGCTCTCAGGTACGGGGGTCATTAGTGGCACTGCAAGCAGAGGTCTCCTCTCTGCTGAGTCGAGGCGCAGCAGTAGAGGTAGACCCACAGGACGCCACCAGGGGGCTGTACTCCCCTTACTTCTTGGTGCCAAAGAAGTCAGGCGGGGTGCGTCCCATTTTGGATCTGCGCGTTCTGAACGAGTGCATTTCCAAGCGTCAGTTTCGGATGCTGTCCACAAAGCAGCTTCTACAGTGTGTCAGGCAGGGAGACTGGATGTGCTCCATAGACCTGACGGACGCTTATTTTCACGTAGCGATAGTTCCGGAACAGAGGAAGTTCCTACGATTCGCAGTGGGAGAAAGGAGCTACGAATACTGCCGTCTCCCATTCGGCTACGCGCTCGCGCCTCGGACGTTCTCAAAGTGCGTGGAGGCAGCACTGGAGCCGCTCAGACGCGCGGGGGTAAGAATTTTAACCTATATAGACGATTGGTTAATACTGGCCTCCTCCAGAGAAGTGGCCGTGAGTCACACACACTGGGTCCTGTCCCACATACAGCGTCTGGGGTTTGTGGTGAACAGAGAAAAGAGCAGGCTGCTGCCGGCTCAGCGCTTGATTTATCTCGGCCTGCAGCTGGACTCGGTGACGTTCGGTGCTGCATTGTCCGAGGACAGACGGAGGAGCATCACCCGTCTGGCAAAGGAGGTGTTGGCGGGTCCCAGGGTCCCCGCGCGGCGCCTCAGATCTCTTCTGGGGATGATGGCGGCGGCTCATACTGTGGTACGGTTAGGCCTCCTCCACATGAGAATGTTTCAGAGATGGTTCTCACGTCTCAAGCTTCACCCCTCACGGGACGGGGGGAGGCTGATCTGGGTTCCCCAAATCGCAGCATCGGACATCAGGTTTTGGCTCACTCCGGGTCTGTTGCGGACCGGAGTGTCTCTGGTCAGCGCCGTGTCTCACGTGGAGGTGTTCACGGACGCGTCACTCGAAGGGTGGGGCGGGGTCCTCGGTCAGAGCTCTGTAGGAGGCTGCTGGTCGGACTCAGCCCGCCACATCAACCTTCTGGAAATGGAGGCAGTACACAGGGTGCTGCTGCACTTTGCCCCACAGCTGCAGGGGAGGAATGTGATGGTTTGCTCAGACAACACCACGGTGGTGTCTTATCTGAACAGACAGGGAGGCACCAGATCCCCCGCTCTCCATCGCATGGCGACAGTGATTCTGCTGTGGGCAGAGCTTCACCTCCTGTCCCTAAGAGCACGCCACGTCCCGAATGCCCGGAACGTGGGGGCCGACAGAATGTCCAGGGCGAGCCCACTCCAGGACGAGTGGGGCCTGGCCCCGCAAATAACTGCAGGGATCTGGCGGAGGTTCGGCCGTCCAGTGGTCGACCTTTTCGCCAGTGCAGAGAACGCACAGTGCCCGTCCTGGTTCGCCTTAAGGGCCGCGGACGAGCCGTCCCTAGGGGTGGACGCCATGGCTCACTACCCGTGGCCAGGTGCCTGCGGTATGCGATCCCACCAGTTCGTCTCCTGCCGGTCCTGCTGCGGAGGATCGAGCAGGAGGGGAGATCGGTGATCTTGGTGGCTCCGGACAGTCCGCATGCCCGGCGGTTTCCCTTCCTGAGGGGCATGTCGGTGATGGAACCTTGGGCCCTCCCGGACGAGCCGGGGGCTTTAGTCCAAGGGGGAGGGGCCCTGTTCTCACGCCCGTTTATTGGCCGTAGGCTCTGGGCTTGGAGGTTGAGAGGCGGAACCTCGTAGACATGGGTCTTCCTCCGGCGGTGGTGGAGACTATTCAGGGGGCGAGGGCGCCGTCCACGGTGAGAGCCTACAACACCAGATGGAGGCTCTTCAGCGTCTGGTGCAGTGCAACGAGGGTATCTTGTATCTTGGATTGATGACGCGTTTGAGCAAGCCCTTCACAAACCCCGCTCAGCACTTCTGAAAAAGAACAGTAAGAAACAAAAAAAGTTCTCTGTCACCTGTATCACACAATTCTCTACCCATACTCCAGCCATCAAATCCACATTTCTAAAGTACTGGCACATTTTGACATCAGACCCAGAAATCTGTAATATTTTTACAATGTTCAGAGTTCAGATATTGTTCCAATCATTCCACACACGGTGATGAATTCATACATATTGTGCATGTTTTTAGTGGTAGGGAAAACAGGAGCACCCAGAGGAAAACTACGCAGACACGGGGAGAACAAGCAAATTCCAATCAGAAAGGCCCTGTTCCGACCGGGATTTGAACCCAGGACCTTCTTGTTGAGAGGCGAGAGTGCTATCCATACGTGCCTAATGTGCCTCCACTTTTGCCTTCTGTGGGCTTTTTCAAAATGGCTGCGGGAGCAGGGAAATGTGAAAAAACGCATTTGCGCATGTGTTAGCCGGCACTAGCCCCATTCATTTAAAGAGTGCATTCTGAAGTCCACAGCAGCTAAACTATACAGGTCCAAAAAAAATCCTCCCCTTAACCTTGACAGCATCTGGAACGGAGCGTTGGGCCAAGAGTGACTTTTGTCCACCCCCACCGGCCAGTATGTCAGCTTTTGGACCTTTTGGAGCCAGGTCCCGTCCTCACTGGTCCAGAGTGTGATGATGTCCTTTCTGTTTCAGACTCTGTGCGGCTGGTTGGAGGTTCTGGTCTCTGCTCTGGATCACTGCAGATATGGGACCAGTCCTGGATCTCGGTCTGTGAAGGGGCCTTGGACCTGCGGGGAGCAGAAGTGCTGTGCAGGGAGCTGGGCTGCGGGGATCCTTCTGTCCTCCAGGGGGAGCTCTCTCCTCTGGGGCAGACATTCCACTGTGAGGGCCATGAGTCTGCTCTGATGGACTGTCTCCGCTCCAGACCCAAGACCTGTTCCTCTGGACGCAGTGTGGGCATCATTTGCTCAGGTGAGGGGTGAGGCTTACTGTATGTGAGGGGCTCTGACTGATAGTTTTGCATTTATATGAGTATATTTGTATACAGTCATATGTCATAATAAAGTAATTGATTAAATCTAATTCACAGGTGTCAAAGTCAAGGCCCGGGGGCCAGATCCGGCCCGCGAGACCATTTCCAGTGGCCCCTGAGACAAATTTAAATTACTATATTAAATAGCAGCCTCGATAGTAATAGGCGACAATGGAATGTTATCCATTACTAATTTTCTCAAGAAAACAACCAAACATTTAATTCCATAAGAAATGTTAAGCCAACATGTAATGGAAGTTAGTATTGTTATGTTTTTGTTTTTTTACGAGTCTTCAATTACATTTCTTCTTAAAGATATGAAGTAGGATTTCCCAATTTTCCACCCTCTCCACTTTTTGAACAAATCTCTCTGGTCTTATTTGACGAGCACAAATCACCAGAATGATTGACAGTTAGGAGGACCAATAGTCTTGATGATCCACCCGAAAATCTTCCCTCACCCTTATACCTTCAATATTTGGTCCAGTTTTGGTTCAGTCCACAGTAACTGAACTCAGTCGATCAGAAAAGGATATCCAATTTAACTAATGTGAAACAACTCATTTATATAGATACCTTCATATTATTAAAAAAGTATAATAAATGAAACCCACTTCGTCTTTCGGCCCCTGATCAGCCCTTTAATTTTTTTTCGGCCCTCAACCAAAATGAGTTTGACACCCCTGATCTAATTAATTGAAAAGGGGCCTCTCTATGGTTGGGTCCTCTATCAGAGGCCTGGGCGCTTAAGGGTTCTGTGCAGTATCTGTGCTGTTCCTAGCACTGTGCATTTCTGCACCGAGATTTCAGAGGTTGTTCCTGGGATCTTCTGTAACCACTCCTCCAGGTTCCAGGTCACTGCACCAAGGGCTGGAGAGGGTACCTTCAGACCCTCTCCTCCCTCACTACTGTCTCCTTTACCTTCAGACCCTCTCCTCTCTCACTACTGTCTCCTTTACCTTCAGACCCTCTCCTCCCTCACTACTGTCTCCTTTACCTTCAGACCCTCTCCTCTCTCACTACTGTCTCCTTTACCTTCAGACCCTCTCCTCTCTCACTACTGTCTCCTTTACCTTCAGACCCTCTCCTCTCTCACTAATATCTCCTTTACCTTCAGATCCTCTTCTCCAGCTCCTCTCTGAGCCCCTGATATTTCTCGAGCTTTTCATGCTATTTTTTCCTGATGTTACCATCACTTGGAATGGCCACAGCCATCACCACAGCTTTCCTCTGCCCTTTTTTACCACCACAATGTCTGGTTGGTGCCGTTAACATTCAGTAGGTCTGTGTCTGGAAGTCCCACAGGATTTTCTCATTCTTCACCACCTTTGGAGGAGTTTCCCACTTAGACCTTGGGGTTTCCAGCCCATACTCTGCACGGATGTTTCTGTACACTATGCAGCCACTTGGTTATGGCGTTCCATGTAGGCCTTCCTTGCCAGCATCTTACACCCTGCAATTATGTGTTGTATTGTTTCAGGTGCTTCTTTGTACAAACAACACATTGGGTCTTGTCTGGGGTGGTATGTCTGGGCCTAGTCTGGTGTGTTATAAATGAGCCTCTATCGCTCTGGTGCTCAAAGCCTTCTTCTGTGCAGCCATGATAAGTGCCTCTGCCTCAACCCTTTCTAGCCGTTAGTAGGACTTCTTGAGATCAGCCATGTTCCGGTGGTACATGCTGTGTAGGGACTTGTCCTCCATGATGGGCCCTCCTCCAGCATCTACTCAGACATTCACTCTTTTCCTATCCATTCCTTCTCCTTGATGTAGTAATAGAGTTTGGATGTTTGGTCCTGGACAGTGGTTCTCACACTCACCAGTCCTCGACCTCCTTCTTTGAGGCTTACGTTACAGTCTCAGGGTATGGATTTGGCATGGAACCCTCCATGCATGGTGAGGTGTTTTTGAGTTGAATAATTTGAATGGACAAACATTTTTGATACAATGGGCCAAAGGTTCCTCCTCCCAATCTGCTGCTTTACTCAGCAACACACATAACTACTGTACATCTAATACATGTTATATAATTATTGTTATTGTGAGTGTTTTAACAAAACAAAGTGTAAATTAAATATACTGTCAATTGCTCTATGAATACTATGATAATACCAGATGTGGTCATGTTTGGGTGTCCCACATCTGGATCTGTGTCCAATCCAGTTTTCTCAAATGTGTGGGATGTTTGTGTTGTTGTTGTTGCTCAGAGCTGCTCAGGCTGGTGGGAGCGGCCAGTCGCTGTGCTGGGACAGTGGAGCTCAGACACAGAGGAGAGTGGGGACGAGTGTGGAAAGATGACTGGACCAAGGAGGACTCAGCTGCTCTGTGCAGAGACCTGGACTGTGGATCTGCGGTTTCTGGACATCACAGAGATATTTTTCCACGCAGTCCTGTGTGGAGGATCTCATCTGACTGCACAAAGAGGAAGATGTCTAAAATGAGAGAATGTGTTGTAGACACATTTCCCATGTCCTCCCCCATGAATGATATAGAGGTGATATGTTCAGGTAAAAGTCAAAGTTGAGCTTAAATCTCTACTGTAGCTGTTTAAGAGTTCCTTTATTCTTCCCACAGTGGGACAAAGCTAATGTCTCTGTCTCTGTAGACTTACTGAACCGTCCAGCCCTGTCCCTCTCTGTGACTGTGGGGATCTCTCAGGTCCAGGTCTCCCAGGTCGGGGTGCAGGTTGTGCGTGTGCAGTTGGGGTCTCAGTTCTTGGTCCAGTGCTCGGTGAAGCCTCAGTTCCCAGGAGGCTCCTTCCAGCTGCTCTCTCCCTCTGGGAACCACACCCTGCCTGCTGTCAATCACTCTGCACACTTTCTGTTCAATCACACTGGCCCCGCCCACAAAGGAGACTACACCTGTGTTTACCACCTACAGGTGTTCAACCACAGCTTCACCTCCGAGAGCGAGAGACTGGAGCTGAGGCTGGGAGGTACGTGATACTGCTACTGTTACTACTACTGCTGCTCCAAAATGAACACCACAAACATAATGTGCAAATCAAACCCAAACAGGAACCACCACCAGAAATGTACCACCACGGTATCGGACCTTCAGCCCCTACAAAACAAAAGCATGGTCACAATAGGCAGTGCAGGTGACGGACAGTCAATCAAATATTACACATCAAGGCTTGAGGAGCACGGAAGGTGCAGTCTTTAAGGCCCTTGTATAAACGTCATTGGGAGAAGTGCTGGATATGCAGGCTTTGGGTGCTGTGCGAAACTAAGCAGATTTGACTGCACCGGTCTCTGAACTTTGAGCTGGGCAAGGTCAGCGAAGCGAAGAACAAGCAGCGCTAACAGACAGCACCAGCAAAAGGCAGGCAGACCCAAGCAGGCAGCCCCAAGCAGGCAGCCCCAAGCAGGCAGCCCCAAGCAGGCAGCCCCAAGCAGGCAGCCCCAACCTGGCAGCCCCAAGCAGGCAGCCCCAAGCAGGCAGCCCCAAGCTGGCAGCCCCAAGCTGGCAGCCCCAAGCAGACAGCCCCAAGCAGGCAGCCCCAACCTGGCAGCCCCAAGCAGGCAGCCCCAAGCAGGCAGCCCCAAGCAGGCAGCCCCAAGCTGGCAGCCCCAAGCTGGCAGCCCCAAGCAGACAGCCCCCAGCCGACAGCACACAGTAAATCGCATACAGGAGAGTGGGGAAAGCGGCAGCGTAACTCGAGCCTTAATTGCAGCTCCAATGCGGGAGAGGATAAGGGTGCGACAGATTTGGAGCCGTTACTTTGACACAGAGGCGTGTAGATCAGCGCGTTGCGTGCGTGGGCTTTAAGACAGTGACGTCCGGGCTGCTGCGAAGTGCCGGACAGCACACGGACAGGGCCGAAACAAGAGGCCAGAGGTAGAAGAGCAATCAGGGCAGTGCTTTTATGGGTTGATGGCCAGCACAAGCGGCCAATTGGAACTCACCCTCAAATTTAGAGCCCGCCCGCCCACACCCCATACTGCCACACTACAACTGCTACTGCTGTTGCTACTGCAATTACTACTGCTGCTATCAGTACTGTTACCTCTACAGTGCCTTGCGAAAGTATTCGTCCCCCTTCAACCTTTCAACATTTCGCCACATTTCAGGCTTCAAACATAAAGATATAAAATTATAATTTTTTGTCATGAATCAACAACAAGTGGGACACAATCGTGAAGTGGAACGAAATTTATTGGATAATTTAAACTTTTTTAACAAATAAAAAACTGAAAAGTGGGGCGTGCAATATTATTCGGCCCTCACTATAACTAATTATAACTCACTCCAGAAGTTCAGTGAGGATCTTTGAATGATCCAATGTTGTCCTAAATGACTGATGATGATAAATAGAATGCACCTGTGTGTAATCAAGTCTCCGTATAAATGCACCTGCTCTTTGATAGTCTCAGGGTTCTGTTTAAAGCACAGAGAGAACCATGAAGACAAAGGAACACACCAGGCAGGTCCGAGATACTGTTGTGGAGAAGTTTAAAGCCGGATTTGGATACAAAAAGATTTCCCAAGCTTTAAAGATCTCAAGGAGCACTGTGCAAGCAATTATATTGAAATGGCAGGAGTATCAGACCACTGCAAATCTACCAAGACCCGGCCGTCCCTCCAAACTTTCATCTCAAACAAGGGGAAGACTGATCAGAGATGCAGCCAAGAGGCCCATGTAAGGTGACAAAAGGAGAACATGGCATAGAGCATGGACAGAGAATGACCTCAACAGAAACTAACCAGCGTGAGATAAGATTTTAGGAATGTCCACACCAGAGCAGACATCTGAGACATAAAAAGGTCGAATGGAGGACTATCATTAGTCACAAAGATACCAACCTTCAAACCGGGACAATGATCAACTCCAGAAACAAGCATCTTTGCTTCCCTCCCCGGCGAGATCAAAGATCAAATCGGGCCTGTACAATCTCTCTGATAAGACCTGAAGACATTCCTCCCAGGCAGACTGGCGATCCACCAACGGCGTTCTGACGCCCCCCAGTGGACACGGGACGCTAGCACGCCCGAGATGGACAGTCGAAACCATTGCTCCGTGAAGTCATTATTCTGATAACCTTTACTGTGCTCTACACGTGTGTACCATTGTCTGTAATGTAAATGCGCTGTGTGTCCGTATATGTGTTATAAACGTCGGCGTCAGTGATGCATATGTCGATATAACCATGTCTGCCACGAAAGATGTCCAGGGAGACGCACAAAGATGACGTCATAGACGCGCCCCCTTGAACTGAGACAAAAAGCATGCGCAAGTCGAAAAACTTTCTCTTGGCATTTTTAACGAACTTAACAGTGTGGATTTCAAGTTTTGATCCGATCTGCTGGCCTTCGTCTCTCCTACTCGAACAAAGTAACACGTGCTACTCCCCCCCCCCCCCCCCCCCCCCCTCTCTGCAATTCTTCAATACGGACTACGTCAAAGTAAGACTGTTCTAATTGCCACGTTAATGTGTGATTCACGTAATATGTTTAACATCTCTGTTTAATGTGACCAAATCCCTCCTCGTTGATATTTTTCTATTTTCGTATGTAGTCAATAAACCCACGATAAACTTAGTCATCGTCAAGTGTCCTCTTTATAAGTCTTTTGATATCCCTGGCTGATTTCGAACTCGAGATCTATCAGATTGTGAGACTGATCGAGGCAGATTAGTATTGGATCTGTTGTAGATGTTTTCAAATTCTACTGGTGCCCTTAAATATAAATTCAGATCCCTCTTTGTGGACTCCGACCTGGAGACTAGCCCCTCCACACCCATTTTTCCTACCGTACACCCATGATCACTCTGGATGAACTGCAGATAACTACAGCTGAGGTGGGAGAGTCTGTCCATAGGACAACAATCAGTCGAGCACTGCACAAATCTGGCCTTTATGGAAGAGTGGCAAGAAGAAAGCCATTTCTCAAAGATATCCATAAAAAGTCTTGTTTAAAGTTTGCCACAAGCCACCTGGGAGATACACCAAACATGTGGAAGAAGGTGCTCTGGTCAGATGAAACCAAAATCGAACTTTTTGGCCACAATGCAAAACAATATGTTTGGCGTTAAAGCAACACAGCTCATCACCCTGAACACACCATCCCCACCTCAGCTGTAGTTATCTACAGTTCATCCAGAGCGATCATGGGCCTCTTGGCTGCATCTCTGATCAGTCTTCTCCTTGTTTGAGATGAAAGTTTGGAGGGACGGCCTTGGTAGATTTGCAGTGGTCTGATACTCCTTCCATTTCAATATAATTGCTTGCACAGTGCTCCTTGAGATCTTTAAAGCTTGGGAAATCTTTTTGTATCCAAATCCGGCTTTAAACTTCTCCACAACAGTATCTCGGACCTGCCTGGTGTGTTCCTTTGTCTTCATGGTTCTCTCTGCGCTTTAAACAGAACCCTTAGACTATCAAAGAGCAGGTGCATTTATACGGAGACTTGATTACACACAGGTGCATTCTATTTATCATCATCAGTCATTTAGGACAACATTGGATCATTCAAAGATCCTCACTGAACTTCTGGAGTGAGTTTACTGCACTGAAAGTAAAGGGGCCAAATAATATTGCACGCCCCACTTTTCAGTTTTTTATTTGTTAAAAAAGTTTAAATTATCCAATAAATTTCGTTCCACTTCACGATTGTGTCCCACTTGTTGTTGATTCATGACAAAAAATTAAAATTTAATATCTTTATGTTTGAAGCCTGAAATGTGGCGACATGTTGAAAGGTTCAAGGGGGCCGAATGCTTTCATAAGGCACTGGTGCTACAGGCTAACTCACACAGAGGAGTCTATAGTTGCTACTGGCTAACTGCAGTTGTTTTTCAGTACTTGTACTTGTACTTAATCTAACCTGTTTTCTCTGGTGTTTTTGTGTTGCAGTTTTAAACTCAGACCTGATCTTCAGACTCCTGGTTATTCTACTGATGACTCTCCTGTACATCATGCCAATGTACTACTGCTACCACAAGGTACTACTACTACTGCTACTACCACAAGGTACTACTGCTGTTACTACTACTACAAGATACTACTACCACTACTACTACCACTACTACCACTACCACTACCACTACCACTACTACTACCACTACCACCACCTGCTTCTTCCGACTTGGTTCAGTCCTGATTCAAGCCCGATTCAGACCCGGTTCAGACCCGGTTCAGACCTGGGACAGACCCGGTTCAGACCTGGTTCAGACCTGGTTAAGTCCTGGTTCAGATCTGGTTCAGACCTTGTTCAGACCTTTGGATGTCTTGTTGTTTCAGACTAAGACCAGAAGTGGCGCTAGAGAGACACCTGAGAACCTGATCCTGAGGAATGAGGTCATCACAGACACAATTGAGCTACATTAGAGCTATGAGCGAGGTCGGAGAGAGGAGGAGTGAAGCCAGGAGAGAGGAGGAGAGAGGCCAGGAGAGGAGGAGGAGAGAGGCCAGGAGAGAGGAGGAGAGAGGCCAGGAGAGAGGAGGAGAGAGGCCAGGAGAGGAGGAGGAGAGCGGCCAGGTCAGAGGAGGCGAGGCCAAGAAAGAGTAGGAGAGAGGCCAGGAGAGAGGAGGTGAGAGGCCAGGAGAGAGGAGGAGAGGCCAAGAAAGAGTAGGAGAGAGGCCAGGAGAGAGGAGGAGAGAGGAGAGGAGCAGAGAGCCAGGAGAGAGGAGGAGAGGCCAAGAAAGAGTAGGAGAGAGGCCAGGAGAGAGGAGGAGAGAGGAGGGGGAGGAGAGGCCAGGAGAGGAGGAGGAGAGAGGCCAGGAAAGAGGAGGAGAGAGACCAGGAGAGGAGGGTAGAGATGAGTGCGGAGCCAGGAGAGACGAGAGGATGAGGAGAGAGGCCAGCGGAGTAGAGAGGACCTGGAATGGAGAGAGGAGGAGAGAGGCTTGAAGAAAGGACGACCTGGAGAGGAGAGAGGAGTCTGGAGAGGAGAGGGAAGGAGAGAGGATCTGGAGAAGTATAAATGTTTCTGTGTTCAGGGGAAACCTCGTCAAGACAATCCTTCTCTACAGTTTTTATCTGTTTCTTGTTTTTATATTAATCTGTTGTTTGTATTAAAACTTCTTTTCATCAATTATACATCCTTTGTCACAAACATTCTGTGTTTTTCTCATTAGCAAATTTCAAGTCAGATCCGTGTGAGTCACTATTAGACTCTTTGGGCTGAGAGTTGATTGGCTGAGAGCTGATTGGCTGGGAGCTGACTGGCTGAGAGCTGATTGGCTGAGAGCTGATTGGCTGACAGAGGGTGGTCCTCTCTTTGTCACGTTTTAGTCTGAAAGAGCTGATCTGAAGATGTGACAGAGACCAGAAACACAAAGACCAGTGAATGGAACCAAACTGATTCGACAGAGAAGAACCTGTTTGATTGATATTGTTGTTACAAAGTTTTAATAATATAATAATAGCTTTAATTTTTAAGCATGTATGTCCTATTTTACACATTTACTAAAATATCTGCTTTATTCAGTTACTGCATTAAGAATACTAAGACAAAATGTGTCATTGTTGTGGGACTATGTGTGTCCATGTCCAAAGGCGAGGGACCAGAGGAGGGACCAGGAGCGGAGAGAGGAGGTTATGGACCAGGAGGTGAAGAGTGGAGAGAAGAGGAGAGGGACCAGAAGAGGAGATGAGAGGGACTATGAAAGGAGAGGAGAGGGACCAGAGAGGAGAGGAATAGAGGGACCAGCAAAGGAGGAGAGGGACTATAGAAGAGAGGAGGAGAGTGACTAGGAGGAGTGAGGAGGAGAGGGTCCAGGAGAGGAGAGAGGGTCCAGGAGAGGAGAGAGGGACCAGGAGGGGAGAGAGAGACTAGGACGAGAGAAGACCTGGTGGGAAAGCGCAGAAAACTAGACGATGTGACAATAATGTTGAAATTAGACGTTACGCTGCATCTGTCTGAAGAATCTACACCTCCAATCTCAATGATCAAAAACGTTTTTCACTTTTGCGGTGTTCAGTGTCGCCGCTCGGCCTCCTTTGCACAAACAGGAAAAACGCATCCGCTCAACCTGCAGATCAAGTTGGCGATCAGCAGATTTTCTTTTGAGAAAAATTTCCTGAGCAAATGGCCAAGAATGTAAGTACAAGCAGTGGTCTGTCATGTGTTAAATGTGAGCGAATATCAGACACTGAAAGGCACTGTACTATATCAGAAACTGTATCGTGATCAAAGGCTCTGAAAAGTCCATTTTAGAGTCATCCATCATCCATTCTGCTTTATCCATTGCCTGGTCACGGGGGCAGCAGTCTAAGCAGAGATACCCAGACTTCTCCTCACACACTTCTGGGGGGATCTGGGGGCGTTCCCAGGCCAGCCGAGAGGCACAGTCCCTCTGTGTCCTGGTTCTTCCCCTGGTCTCCCAAACAGATGCCCGAGCCACCTCAACCGGTTCCTCTCGACGTGAAGAAGCAGCAACTCTACTCCGAACTCCTCCCGTGTGACTGAGCTCCTCTATCTCTAAAGGGAGCAGCCTCTCTGCAGAGGAAGCTCATTTCAAAGATCTCGTTTTTTCGGTCTTTACCCAAAGCTCATGACTCTGACAGCTCTCCGCCTCCATCCCCGGTCTGCACCACACACACACACACACACACACACACACACACACACACACACACACACACACACACACACACATCCATCTTCTTTACGAGTAACAGTAAATCGGTGGCATCAACCAGGGTAACACTGGTTTGGCCTTCATGGTTAAGCTCCACTTAATTCCTTGGTGGAGAAAGGCCTTTCGTATCTTATTGTTATCCACATAAGCAACTGCATCCCTCAGTTCCTTCTCAGCACCAGTAAAGTCCCATTGTCTGATCTCATGTGTACGACTTGGCCTCTTTTGCAGACAAACCTTCTCAAAGCATTGATACACGAGTCTGTGTCCAGAGAGTAAGCAACCTCCAAGTGCACTGCTCGACTAACCATGCATGTGAAAAGTACTCCAGACTTCTGTTTGGCATTTTACAAACTCTTAGGCAAGACACCCACGCTACCATGAATCTGGTGTGTGTATGAATGCTTGGTGGTGGTCAGTCACTCTGACAAAAATTATGTTAATTTGACCAATACAGATTGTAAAAAGTTTGTTTTAACCAAAAGATTGGCTGGATATGTGACTGCCAACTTAAAACAACTAAATAATCTTTGCATAGCATTTAGTTATAGACCGACAGTGGGGAAGCTGTGGCTGCAAAGTGCCCCAAACTGTTGTTGTATCCTTAGACAAGACACTTCTCCCACATTGCACCACACTGGGGAGTTCCCAGGCCAGTTGAGAGGCACAGTCCCTCTGTGTCCTGGGTCTTCCCCTGGTCACACAAATGCATAGTTTGTGCGTTGGTGGTGCACGGAGGAGCCAACAGCACATACTGGTTGCCTCATTTCTGTCAGTCTGTCCCAGGGCAGCTTATCACAACTGTGTTGAACGTGAAGTGTCTATGTCTGTCCAAAAAGCAATAATTATTATGCTTATTATAATTATTGTTATTATTACAGTGGCCTTGGACTCATAGACTGTAAATATTAACGGACATAGTCACGCCTATCTTCGCTGTTCTAATTAATGTGCCACAACTTCCGGGGTCTACGGCAGTTTCAAAATGGCAGCGGGGGCTGGAAAATGTGAAACAACGTATGGGTCAGCCGACACAAGCCCCATTCATTTAACGAGTACCTTCAAAATTTCACAGCGACTAAACTACACTGGTGCAAAAAAAATCACCCCCCTCAGCCTTGACACACATGTGGAACGGAGCATTGGGCCAAGAGCTGACTTTTGGTCCATCCTGTAAAGACGTTTTCGAGAGGTCTGCTAATGCTATATGTTAGAATTGAATAATTCTTCTTCTGGGTTCACCCCCATCGGCCCGGGGTGGTATTGCAAGCATGTCAGCGCACGTCATTTAGGCCACTTTTTAGCCGGAACCCACCCCCACTGGTCGGACTACAGGTGGAAAGTAGTATGGTTCTAAATCTGCAGCCATCTTTTTAAAGCTGCACTAACTGACTTTATTTTTGTATTCATTACGAAAATGCTATCCATGTCCATTTGTGCTGGAGTGACGTTATATTTTAGATCGAGTTTTGATTAAACAAGGAAGAGATGTGTTTCGGGTCGCAGATTGTGACCAATCACAGCGGACCACTGGCCCCCACTTTCGTGAGAAATCTACAGGTCCGTCGTTAGCACAGACAGCTGAGTTAGCACAACAAGCGGCAGAGGCTAACCTGAAACTTCGTCTTCGTCACCGGTTACTGCTTACACGGCGAAACAGCCATCCAAAAGAAAGTCTTGTTCCTCCGCGCTTCCCGGTTCTATCATTCTATGGTCACGCCATCCACGTGCAAATCCATGTCCATGTATTTATCCATATTGGGAGACGCTAGCTCCGTCCCAACAGTGGGTGTGTGTGGGGGGCGATAGCTTCGTGGGTGCGGGGAGGGGAGCAGAAAGAGAGAGGCCAGCGAGTCCGCGGCTTCAAAATCCCAAAGTCAGTTAGTGCAGCTTTAATGTAACTGCACTTTTTCGTTAATAAATCAAACTTAAAACTTCAATGTCATGGAAGTTGGCTGCATGTATTTTCAGCAACCACAACATCCACTGGTTGAAATTTGTTCATGATAAGGGAGTACTTTTAGATGTGAATGGGTAGCCATGTTGGAAATTTAATGAACATGTAGTCTTGTTCTCTAGCCACTCTAGAGTCTTCATCTGTGGTATGTGCTTTAGAGGGTGTGGCATTTGGCACAGTGCAATAGATGACACTTCCCTATATCTTTAACCTTTTAGGAAGTGGAATGTGCTGTTAGAAAGGGCGCAAATTGTCACCTCCAGACGCGCACCTACATATAGCCCATCGCACTGGTCAGACACTGCCATCTCCTCCGGGGCCGCGTCCTGGAGACCCGCAGAGACACGTGTCAGTCTCCCGAGGCTCAAGGTCATTGACAGGCTCCAGATGCAGCTGTCGTCACCTCACTGCACTCTGTAACAGACACTGAGTTTGTGTGGCATGTTCACAGCCTCTTTTACTAAAAGACGTGGCTACGTGACGACAGTGTGCAGTTAAGTTAAAGTGGGTCATATTTTTTTCATAACCATCCCTAATGCGAGGATAGACACATAGATGGCCACTTAACGCCCTCTTGTGGTGAGCAAGGAGCACAGCACCGCGTTCATTGTCTCCATCACGGTCTCCTGCGATATCTATCACCACACAGAAGTCTGGGCTGCTGTGGTGCTGCTTCGGCAAACTGTCTTCTCAGATAATGGAATCACGTCTCGGATCGATGCTGTAACCTGCAGAATCATGCGTTTGGTGTGAAGTGTAAAGCTGCACAAAGAGGATCATTGTCAGCTGCAGATGCCGCTCTGTGCTGCAGTCGCCTTTTGAACAAGCTCCAATCGCTGCCCATAACTCGACAGGCCGAGGGCGGGGTAACCCCCCTCCCTCTCACCGCTCGGCTCCAATCCCTGCTGTGGCACAGCGTCCCATTGACAGAGCAACAACGACCCTGTGCCTTTGTGGTGCTCTCCGCGGATACACTCACATACGCACAGGGTGTTTAGTTTCATTGAACCGGACCTGCAGAACCATGTGCTTCTCCCAGAGGTCAGCTGGGGCTCAGGTATGAGACCTGTGGCACGGGCAAATGTTGGGGCAGCTGATGGCTAAACCGTGTGGATACTGCATGCCCTGCTCCCAGGCCCAATTCTGCTTCAGCTGCACATGGCCCGCTGGAGCTGCACCCATGGGAGATGCTGATGTATGCTTCTTGTCCTTGGCTCTGTGGGAACCCATTTACTCCCTCGTCTTGACGCACGCAGAGACCCCCTGGGCTTTACGAGCGCCATCGCCATGAGGGAGGTTTCACCCTGACTGAAGTGGATCTGTACGCACTGGACATCTGCTTCTTTGCTTTCATTTGGGTTTGGGGGTTTTTGTTTCTTCACTTAGTAGGATTTGTCCTCTTGCTTCCTTTGAGCCAAAGCACTGATTGGCGACATAAGGGGCAGGCTGCTCGCTGGAAAAGTCTGGACCACTATGGCTGGTGGCCGGACAGAGGAGCACGGTCCAGAGAACGGCTTTGCTTCTCTGGATCGGTCCGTTCCCAGATTACTGCCCCATATAGACGCCTCTGTGTTGCCGTCTTTAGGGGGGTTCGGAAAACACCAGAAGCAGCTCGTGATTCTGACCTGGATACCGGCATTGTTCATCGGTTTCAGCCAGTTTTCGGATTACTTTCTTTTGGCACAGCCCAATGGCACGTGTGTGCAGCCCCCCGGTGCCAACGACAGTAACTGGACCCTTCCATCCACTGCACCCCCTCTGCTGCTCTGGGCCAACAGCACACTGGACGCAGACAGCGCGTTGTGCGCCTGTAAGGAGTGGAGGCTGGAGCTGCAAACAGGGCTCAGCCAGAATGTGGTTACCAAGGTAACAGACCCATCCTCTTCCTCACTGTACTCATCTGTGTTATGCATCGCTGAGTGACAGCTCACCCACTGACCTCAATATGAGCCTGCTCCAGCACATCTGCCACCACGTGTAGATTATGATCTTGGATCAGGGTGAAAAACACAGACTTGATTTTTGAGATGTATTTGTAACATAACCTCAAAGCCTTTTGCATCTTCTCTGCAGGATGTAGCCCATGGAAATGTGTGGACCTGCATCACATAAGCTCATTCTCACCAGTGTATTGTGGTAACTAGGATTAATGAGATTATAGAGTGTATTTAAACACGTGTAATTTCCAAGCAGTGCAAATACAAACCCAACCATACGTAAAGGAGGTACAGCACACTTTTGCTGTGGTTTAACACCTGCTTTCTCAGTCACAGCTCACTTGGGAACTATCTCTAGGTTGTGCACGATGAGAACACATTGTGCTTGTACATGTGTCCTTAGTTGGGCTTCTGGTGCTGAGAGCTGCAGCTTTATGTGCGCACTGACCCATGGCCTCATAGTGGAGAGCAAAACTATTGATTTCTTGGGACACAGATGCCGAGTGCTCTCTCATTGACACAATACCTGTTAGAGTTGATGTGCAAAAAAACACTAAGTGAACTTCTCTCTATTCCTTCTGTCCTCTAATCACTGTTATTTTTGTCTGTCTTAGTGGCAGTTGGTGTGTAATTCGGCTTGGAAGGTCCACATCGCCAAGTTTTCACTCCTGGTGGGCTCCATATTTGGCTACTTGGTGATGGGTGTCATGGCCGACTGGTACGCTTCTTCTATTTAACTGGAGAAATGATCAATATGCATGATTTAACTTGTGTTTTCTTTATGCCAATGTTATTGTGTTGCCAGGTATATTTGACACTTTCTTTGGGTTTTCAGTGTGAGCAGTTTGTTTATTGTTCCTTCATACAGTAGCTGTAAGTTGTACCCTCCATGATTTTAATACAATACATTCCCTAACCTTGATCATGAGAGTCAGAGGAGGGAATAGGAAATATAATATCTTCAACATTCAGTATGGTGTTGGTTAAAAAAAAAAAAAGAGGCCAGGGAAGATTTGTACCGAGACTTTAGGGGTTTATATTGATGGACATCCTTCAGTCTTACAGCATGACCTAGTTTGTCCAAAAATCCTGTAATGATGGATTAATGGCATGCATTCAAAGCTGCAGATTTACTAAAGCAGTCTATAGCTGTATAATCCAACTGCCTCAACTGTCTCCAAACATTATTACTTCTTTGAGTTTGTGATAAGAAAATATAGTATTCACTTTCAACAATCAAATTAATTACAAAAAAATAATATATATTTGCTGTGCCTTTATTATTCACATATACTTGAAGCCCACAAAACGTATTCCCGCAGTTGAAATGTTATTGCGTGTAGAAACGTTCCTTACGTGTTTAAATATATATGAATGTTTAGGGATGTTTTGTCTAAAGTAAAAAAGTGTATAAACAATTTGAAAAATATGTGAAAGGATATTGTTCAAAAGTCCATTTGCAGTACTTTAGTGTAATTCTACTTTTGTATGACAAAGTGAGATGTGTTATGTTGATAATCTGCTAACGGCTTGTAAAAACCTTAAATAATATTTTGAACATGAACTGTAAACTTTGATACAGTTTGGTACAGTTGATATATAATACTTTGCATGTAGTGAGTTTACTCCATCATATTAGTCCCTGTTTAGACGGAGACGCTGCAAAGCAATTAGCAAAAACGACCAGGCTCCGTATGGATGAGTAAATCTATAGATAATATAAACCAATTCCAGCCAATAATCCTCAATTCCAGGCTGTCCCAGTGACGGGCCCTTTCCCAAGTCTGTGGGAAACAATACACACATTCCCAAAATATTTACATAGAGCTGAAATTTATATTCTATCCACAAGATTCTAAGTTTTTTTTTAACTAACTAAACTGTACATATGTGTTACAACTGCGAAAAAAAACAGATATAAAGTTCATTAGCTTTGTGTTATACAAATACATATTAATACAACAGGACTAAGGTTGAACCAACGCCTGACAATTCACAGAAATTAATAAGTAACAAAACAGCTTTAAAGCTTGTTTACATCTGAGTGCCATCTGCTGCCTAGCAACCCACACGTAGCAACAAAACCAACCGAAACTGCATAGCAACCAAACCAACCCAAAAAATGGTGATTAAAGTTGATTATTAGAAACTCAGTGACTAGTATTAGCCTGAACAATAAATACATCAAAATGTACAAATCACAATGAAACAGTGTTTATCTAGCCACTGAAACCTGAAGTATCATGTATTCTGCATTTTAGAGCATTTATATATAACATTTATATAACCGGGCCAGGTCATATTTTTAACAGATATCTTGCTATTTGTAATATAAATAACAGGAGTCATTTTTTGCACCGTCTCTAAATGCCTCCCTGACTGCGATGTACAGCCCTCGTGTGAACTATAGCTGAAACCGTGAGGTGTTGAAATAAGATTATGTGTGAGAACAAAGACTAAAAATTTTTGCTTTGTTGATAAAAATTCTTAATTCACTAAGTACGTCTTGTGTTAAAAGTGTGTGATCTAAGTCCAGGAGCCTGAATCAAAGTTTGTTTTTTTGGGGCAAAACAATTCATCAAGACTATTTCAAAGCCATGGGCAGCACGGTGGCTCAGTGTTCGTGTTTGTGTTTGTACTTTTCAGCAAGAAGGTCCTGGGTTCGATTCCACCTCCAGGCCTTTCTATATGGAGTTTGCATGTTCTTCCCTGTGTCTGCATGGGTTTCTTCCACTACTAAATCAGAATCAGTGCAAAAAACATGTACAATAGCCCCCAAATAAGAGCAGAAAATCCGGCCAAAAGTGGTACTGCAATCACGGTCAATATTGTGTAGTTCTCTCCCACTCTCCCTGACTCAGGTTGCCAGATATGCAGACAAATCCAGCTGGGACCATAAGAGCTGAATAGACAAGAGTTTTGTCAAAAACAAATCTATAACCAACACCTTTTTCACAAAGATAGTTATCCTGGTTTTATTCCTTGTTTTGTCGTTAATGAATGTGGCCGCAAAACCTTTTTTTGTTTTGCGGCCACATGGTACTTTACCAGTGAGATTAGCTCCACGCGGTGAGTTCTGGCAACCCGGGTCACGGACTTTCTGATTGGTTTAGGGCAGTATATCGAAATGAAAACAATAACAAGATTTAGGGGCTGTAAAACTAATTTAGAAATCTTCACATTCCTGAACTACAGTTGTTAGTTATAGAAGTATTTTAAAAGAGCATGGTCTATTAAGGCCTTTTGACAGATTAGGGCCCTTTAATGATGACTCGACAAGATAATCTTACATACATGTATTGCTACTTTAATCCTGATGATGTTGGGCAGTAGCTCCTGTTTTCTGACTTTTCTTTGGTCTTTCCCCTGCTCTCTCTCTCTCTCTCTCTCTCTCCCCCTCTTTGCCTGTCTGTCCCTAAGGTATGGCCGACACCCAGTTCTGATTCTCTGCGTGCTTTTCATGCTGCTCTTCGGTGTGAGTGTTGCCTTCTCTGTCAACGTCACTATGTTCAGCACGTTGCGCTTCTTTGAGGGTTTCTGCTTGGCGGGCCTGGCTCTCTCCCTCTACGTGCTCAGTAAGTATACACTGCCACCTGCTCTGTCTGTCTTGCTAAAGCATTCCCACGTCAGCTCATCAGTCATGCATGCGCTACGCTGAGGCACGGGAGGCATGTGGGAGACAACTTCGGGCTTTTCCAACACTTGCCTTTACCAGAATATCTAAGTGTATATGATGTTCCATGACATTTGTTCTTGTATAGCCATGAATCACAACAGTAGTCATCTCGGAGGACTTGACCAAACAAAACACAGGAAATGCAACGATAAAACCACAGACACATAGACATTGGTCAATAGGGAGAAACAAATGTCCACAAATGATGATAAACGTCCATAAATGTTGTAGAATGTAGTGTCCTGGATCATCACCACCGTCCTTCTAGGTAGACCCTCTAACAGACCCTACTGCATCGACAAGGAAAAACTCTAAAACCCAGTGAGATGAGAACCTTAAATGATAGATCTGCACCAATCAAGTAAACACACAGTCTCAGTTGCTCCATAATCGATCCATGCAAGACTAAGACGATGCAGAATTGTCCAAAGCTTTGTACTTTTACTCGACATAAGTCATATTTCTCACATTTTAAACACTTCTTCAGTACACAATATATGCTTCCGTATTTTCTTATTTAACACATAATAATTTAGGTCATGGAATCTATAGTGTGATGATTAGAGAATGCAAAAGTCAAAACAAAATCTGAAATACTGTATATGTAGGTATCCTGATAGAATGTTAGTAATAGGAGTCAAACTTTTGGCTTTGATTTTGGATGATTTCTCATTTGTTAGGATTACATCAGAGCTGCAATAATCCAATCGTCAAAAGTCACCTTCCTAAACATTATTATGAAAAACAATTGAGGCACATTGATTATGCATGTTATCAAATTCATTACAATATACATAGATAAAATACATATATACACAAGTGAATTAAATGTGTTACAAACTATATACTGTTTTTTTTTCTCTAGCCTATGTTTACTTAATGAAAACAAGATTCCATGCAAAAATTAAAATAATAGTCAGTGACAGCCCTTAATTTGTAAAAGAAAAGAAAAAAACATTACTGTATATTATCACTATAGGGGTTGGAGATTGCTTGGCCCTCACACCTTTTAAAACCATTGCTTTTTTCCCGCCCCAAACCTATTTCAGTCCAAACCAGAAACAACAGAGATTGCAGTTATTGTGATAAACATGATGCAGAGCCAGTGTTTTGTTGAAATGACATTAGTAGTGAGTGGTTCATGTCCCCGGAGAGCACTGCTGTTTCCTCTGCAGCCGTCTTCAGGCCTCTGTCTTTCAGCCCAGGACACATTACTCATGCATTATGTGTGGAGGCATGGCCAGACAAACGCCTCATATTGTGTGGAAAATTAACCTCACAGAGACGGGATCTTTACGCATCAGAGCAACCTGGAAGTGTAATCTCAGTTTCTGTCCGTTTTTTCAGACAGAACAAAGTCAGGACATGGCTTTTATAGTCATTCGTTACGTAACAGATATGTCACACATAGAAAGGCACACGTGTCACATCCAGAGACAATCAGAACATATTAGCGTCATAACACGGATACACAACCGGAGTCCTTGTGACTGTGAGGGCCAGATATTACTTGTATATTTTGTCTTGCGTTTGTCCACCTGCGTAGGCCGTAGCTAACTCATTCCCATAATTGAATAAGGTGCTCTGCCATTTGCTCCTCGCTATAGGGAACGCAATCAACTTAATAACCATCTCGAAAAATGCACCGTTTTAGGAGTATATATAAAGCTCTGTAGCCGGGGACAGCTGGGAATGTGCATTGGGAGCACACGTGTGAAGTGTGTGGGCCAAAACATGGAGCTGTCACCGTAACAAGCAGAGTGGGAGTGAGGCAGGGATTTCAAGCACTTTATTAGCAGGGAGATTGGGCCGATGGGAGTCTAAATCATATTATTTCCAGAAAGAATCATTTTTAGCGCTCAACCATGTCAAATCAGTTGTCATGTGTTCCCGTTTTTATCTGCTCCAAGGATAAGATTTAATGTGTCTCTCTGTGTCGAAATGCCTGGGAATTAGTCACACGTTTGTTGTCCTCTTTGCCCCTTTCCTTTATTATTACCAGCCGTTTATCAATACAATGTTATGTTACGAGCCCATATAGGAGGGAAAAGGGTTCGATTCAGCAAAATGACAGCACTCCTGAAAATCAATCTAATGAAAAAGGCAGATTTCATTTTCTCTAAGTAACAATAAGCAGGCGCTCTTTTTATAGGTGGTTACAGCTTTATATGAGAGCGGAGAGTGCCAATAAAGCAGTTTTAATTATAAACTGCTGTACTAGTGCGAGGCTAGAGTAGCATATCACTGGCCTGATTAATAGTCTTCCATGCAGCAGCAGAGCAAACGAAGAACATAAAATAACAATATATACTCAAACTGTCACCGTCTGGGATCGTGTCACATATTTTTTTGTTGGTAAAAAGACACAACCAAATCATTCACAGCATGTTACGCCGCCAGTAGCTTCGACCTTCAGACCAAAACATTGAAGTGGAAAATCACTGCCTTGTGCAAACTGTCAGAATGATGAGCTTTAACCACAGTTGCTTCAAAAGTGTTAATATCCATAGATGCTTGCGGAGGCTTCCTATGCTGCTAATACTCACATATGTCTGCACTGATGCCATCCAGTCCAGGGTCACATGGTCTGTATTGGAATTTAACATCAGCTGTAAATTGTCAAATACCTGTTTTTGCAACATTATTAGATTTTATTTAATATATTGTGTTGATTAATACATTTTCCAATTTTCTCATGACAACAGTAGTGGTTAAGAAGCCAGATGAAGTAGGTCAAAAGTATTTGACATGACCCTGGTATTTAAAGCATTGTGTAGTTTCAGTATAATCAGATGTGGGGTTTAGGTTTTGTGGTTTGAAGAAGATGACAAAGTGTGGGATTGTGTCTTTAATTCAGACAGAAGACAACACGAACAAAGGATGTTAAAGACAGCAAGTGATAATATACTCAGGAGAAACAGAGACCTCCAATCAGCAGCTGCCACGGTGTGCTTGTAGCTTGGCCTTCACATCGACAAAACGTCAAGTGGAAAAGTACAGGCTTCTGCATATGTAAGATTGAAGTTAGAACCTTAACAATAGTTGCTTCAAAGTGTTATGAAATCTCTACAGGGTCAAGCACTGGTTTAACTGGGAGTTGGTCCCAATTTGGATTTAGTCTTGGTGCAGTGTGAATGTGTCTTTTTATTACAGGAAAAATCTGGATGGGCTCCAAATCATAAAATCATTCTGTTAAGAAATTAAATAGCTATACAAGTGATCTGGCCTTCTGTAGGTCACAACGACCCAATTGTGTATCTGCTATGATTGTGTATCCGAGTTATGTTCTTTTGATGTCTCTAGAGATGACACGTATGTTTTTCCATGTGGGCCGTATGTGTGACGTAAACGTTGACTATTGTCAGGAATGAACCAGACAGAGACGGATCGTGGTGCGCCAAACTCTGGAAGTTTATTTAAGTTTCTCTCAAGTTCAAGTGGTTTACTTTGTTTCTTTCTCTCAGACAGAATAAAGGCAGTACACAGTTTATATAGTCATTGTCACGTCACACATCGAAAGACGTACGTGTCACACAGAGACAGTCACATCATAGTCATAACATGGAGTCCATCAGAGTCCTTGTACAGTCCTGCACGTAGGCCAAATCGCTATCTAATCCTAACACTATAAACCATATCCTGATTTTGTTCTGTCTGAAGAAAACTGAAAATAACCTGAAAGAACTGAGAGAAACTGAATAAACTTACCGGTGTTCTGGTGCGTACAGATCCCAGTAGCGACAGTAGCTCAGTTGGTAGAGCATTGGCCTTTGGGCCTGGAGGTCGTGAGTTTGATTCCCACCATGGGACCTACTCCAACTGCTCCCACTGATGACTGCTGTCGTTGTGTCCTTGGGCAAGACACTTAACCCCACGTTGCCTGAAGCCCCCCGCTGAAAGATCAGGGCGGTTTCTCAACTGATGGAGCAGCCATCTTCCTGTGGACTCACCCCCTGCAGAAGATCAGCGAGGGACTGGTGCTATGAGCATTGGGTGGCAGCTCTCATTGCCACCCCCCCGACCCAGAAATGGACAAATAAAGGGGTTGAAAATGAAATGAAATGAAATGAAAATGTTCTGGTGCGTACAGATCCCGTCTCTGTGAGGTTAATTTTCCACACTGTCTTACATAAAACATATATTCATGTTTTATATAAAACATATATTCCTGTTATATATAAAACATATATTCCTGTTATATATTGTCAGGGATGAGGCAGACAGAGACGGATCGTCGTGTGCCAAACTCTGGAAGTTTATTTAAGTTTCTCTCAAGTTCCACTGGTTTACTTTGTTTCTTTCTCTCAGACAGAATAAAGGCAGTACACAGTTTATATAGTCATTGTCACGTCACACATCGAAAGACATACGTGTCACAAAGAGACAGTCAAATCATAGTCATAACATGGAGTCCTTGTAGAGTCCTTGTAGAGTCCTGCACGTAGGCCATATTGCTATCTAATACTAACAATATAAAACATATATTCCTGTTATATATAAAACATATATTCCTGTTATATATAAAACATATATTCATGTTATATATAAAACATATATTCATGTTAGATGTATGATGGAAGCACTCCTTATCTGCCCGTCTCTGTCCCGTCCTTCCATTCTTTTATCCTTTCTCACTGTGGCCGGTCCTTTTTCTCACATCTCTTTTACCGCAGAGCAGAGTATGGTCAGGCTGTTTAGAGCCACTCTGTTCCCATGCCTCAGGGAAGGTTAGCAGAGGAGCAGTGGACAACACTGCAGAGAATGTGAGCCAGAGTTGTCAGAATTTGCCATAAAACACAGAGCAGCTGCTTATGTCCACTACTCTTTTGTTTTCACTCCAAAGTCACTGCTGCCGTTCACTTTGGAGGAAAGACAGTGGAGAAACCTGAATGAAAAGAGAATGAATAGGCAATGGGAGGGTAAGCAGTGGGGGATGGGGTTACAGAGGGCAGTAGAATGGGCAGGCATGGGAGGGAGGGGGTCAGCTCATTGGGGGCAGTGAGATAAACGGCATAAGAAGAAGCATTCACCCACTCTGCAGAACAAAGGGCCTTTGCCTCTGCGTGTTTGGAAGCCCACATTTGCATCTGCAACTTGTGTATGTGGGAGCAGGCTGTAGTTTTGGCTTTAGATGAGTTCAGACTTTTGTTTAGTGCGTTATTCAAATGTGTCAGTACTATTTCGGATATATTTTATAACTCTTTGAAGCAACTGTGGTTAAAGCTGAATTCATCATTATTACACATGACACTGGAGCTGGTACTTTTCCACTTGTTTTGATTTATCTGAAGAAGATGACATAGTCTGGGATCGTGTCTTACATTCCGACAGAAGACATGTTTTATTGTCGATGGTAGAGACAGCACGATCAACAGATACAACAGAATGCAAGTGTATTATACAGAGCGGAGGCATGGAGACCTCCAATCAGCAGCTGCCACGGTGTGCTTGTAGCTTGGCCTTCAGATAGACAAAACAAGGGAAAAGTACTGGCTTCTGCACATTGATAGATTGATAAGTTTAACTTTAACAAAAGTTGCTTAAAAGTGTTATGAAATCTCACATTCCCCCCTCTGGTCACACATTCACGTGTGACCATCAGGATTGATAAACAGCAACATAACATCATAACTCAATACTTAAACTCGGTACTTCACTCGGTACTTCAAAAAACTCAGAACTCGGAATACTTCAAAAACTCAGAAAACTCATAAAACATGTTCAGATCTTTCATAAAACTTGTCAACAATCTTCAGTAAAATACCAAACTTCATCAGTCGATGGTGGTTCCAGATATTGCTTTGAAAACAGTCTCTCCCACTTCTCCTGTTGGTTTCTTCAGGCTGCATTTGTGTTGAGCCATGAATTCTTCTGTGACGTGTCTTTCAATCACACGTTTCAGCTTTAGTGTCCAGATTCAGCAATCCAATTCAGTCCAAATTATGTCCAAATTCAGAAATCCAATTGTTTCAAATGATGTCCAAATTGTGTAATCCAATTTTTCCAAATGGTGTCCATGCAAAAGAGGACGCTGGTGTTGTCCATGTCTCAGCAGCTCACAGCAGGTCTGAGTGGAGTCAGGAGCTGTGCAGATTTGTTTTGGCTTAAAAAAAAACACTTTTTGTGTAAAAAAAAGAGTCTTCTGTTCTCTAGATGTTACAGACAAGGCCCGCATCCTCCACCACCTGAAGAAGATGACATGGTCTGGGATCGCGTCTTAAATTAAGACAGAAGACATGTTTTATTGTCGATGGTAGAGACGGCACGAACAACACGGACAGAGAATGCAAGTGTATTATACAGAGCGGAGGCATGGAGACCTCCAATCAGCAGCTTCCACGGTGCCAGCAGAGATAGTCAAAACATGAAGTGGAAAAGTACAGGCTTCTGCACATTGATAGAATGATGAGTTTAACTTTAACAAAAGTTGCTTAAAAGTGTTATGAAATCTCACATATCTCAAGGCTGAAGCTTCTGGCATCGTGGCAAATGCTGATTAGACTGTCCATGCTAAAATATCACTTTGTTCGATTCTTGTCTCTACCATCGATAATAAAACATGTCTTCTGTCTGTTCGACTCCGACACCATCCCAGACTTTGTCCCTTTCCTCAAGTTGATACACACAATACAGAATAGGCTGTGTCAAAAAAAATTAGACTCTCAGACACCAGTTGGACACCAGAGCAACCTGGAAGTTCGTCCACAAATAGCAGTACATTCAGACAGAACGATAAACAGAGACACAATATATATTGAAATTTGCGTCATCACGAAAAACCCAGGCATCAGTTAGCACAATCAACGAATACATAATCGGGGCAGATACACAATCGGAGTGACGCACAAAAGGCCAGATTACTTGTGTATTTTGTCTTGCATCTCTCACCTCTCAGCAAGAAGGTCCTGGGTTCTAATCCCGGTCGGAACAGGACCTTTCTGAGTGGAGTTTGCATGTTCTCCCCATGTCTGCGTAGGTTTCCTCCAGATGCTCCGGGTTACCCTACCACTAAAAAAATGTACTGTTTTGGCGACCTTGCTCCCATCTCCGTGTGAAGTGAGAGACAAATGTAAAAACAATTGTAAAGTGCTTTTTGACTCTGAAAGGCGCTAAATAAATAAAGACTACTTACTAACGTAGGCTATAGCTGTCTATTCTCCATACTGTATAATAAACTTTACCTCGAGAGGGCCTCCACAAGAGCCTATAGGCCAACAGCCCAGTTTGGATTGAAATGTCAATCTCAGCTGAATAGGGATGGAGTGTCAGAGGTGCACTGCGTTTGCCAAGGTACAGTTGATTGGAAGCAGTTGATTTGTCACTGGCTCTCTGCTTCAGGCCTATTGATCGACAGGGACAGAGCAGCGCAGCACAGGGACAGAGACGCCGCACTGTTTGTTACAACACACTCATCAGTAGTCCGAAGGAAAAGCACTGAAGCACTAAGAAGCTTTGGGTACATTTAAGGCTGTGAGGATTTATGGACTTTATGTTTTTGGCTGAGACACAATCCCAGAGCTCTGCATCTTTCCTCCTCAGATTCATCAAAGATTATGTGACCTGCATATGTTGTACTGTGGACCCGTGTCATATCTGTATCTCTGCTAAATATTATTATCTGAAGATCTGAATGCATTTGCTCTGACCTACACTGTAAAAATTGCAGCAGAACAGACTTTGATGTCAAATAATTTAAGTAATTACTATATACTTAATTTTTCAGTATTTTATATTTTTGGTGGAAAAATAAGTACCCTATACAATACTGATGTTATTGCTCTAAGTAAAAATACATGCATACTTTAATTATAAATGACTTTACAACTACAACAATTTCCTCCCGTGGCTTCACTTAATTTTTTCCTGGGATAAATTGAGATAAAAACTGTATTTTTTTCTAAACAACTAATCAAATAATCCAAAGAATAATGTCTTTATTAATCAATCATAAAAGTAAAAGCTTGTTACAGCCACTATACTTTAAAGGGACAGTAAATAATTGTTTTATTTTAAATTACATCTAAATCTTGAATGTTTATCCCCAGATATTTATTCATTATTTATAACAAATTCAACAAAAACTAGCGCCACCACACAAAGATAAGTAGTCATATGTAATGCACAGAGTTTGTACCATTTTGCATGAAACCCCAGCAGGTGGAGTGCATCAGTAAGCAGTGCTTAAGAGATACATGTGTCACAGGCTGGAGGATTCTGGCAACAAAAGTAGAGCTGACTTTGTAAGTGTTTGTGGTCGTTACGTGACACTATTCATAAAACTTTTTCAAGATTCAGGATTCAAGAATATATTCACCATTTGTAGTAAAACCACATTGGAAAAACTGTGCAAGACTTCCCCAGTGTGCACCAGACAGAAAAGACTGCACGCACCAGAGACATTTTATTATGAATTTGCTGAGAGAAAATAAATGCATGGGTCCAATACACGTAGCTTTGAGTTTACGTTGGAGAAAAATCTGCCACAAAATGTATCTATCCATTTCCAAATATGTTGTCATTTTAATTATATACATTTGTCAGTACAGTATTTGTATGCAGAGTCTAATTTGGTTTCTCCCGGTCTCTGTTCTCTGTTATCCTGCTCTAGTATTTTGGTGAGAAAAGTCATTTGTATTCTGCCCCAGACTTGCTCCCACAATGGGGCAAAGGCAGGGCAGGTTTCTGAGCCCCCACCCTCCCTCAATGGTCACCTTCAAAAAGTCCTTGCCATATGGGCCAGGCCATCTGGACTGTACCATGTTACTATGCACGGGGGGAGGGAGAAAAGCTTAGTCAGGGAGGGATGAGGGAACTTAGGGTTACAGTGACAGCTCCAATACTCAGGGAAAAATGGGGGTGGTAAATGTGGTTTTCAACGGATCTCCTGGGAAATGTCAGCAATGCATGTCTGAAATGATGACAGTCCATAATAAAAGAGAAAGATCAAATGCAGGATTGCCAGGATTTTTTTTGGTGTTGTTGTTGAAATGAAGACAGGGCAGTGGCGATTTCACCTGTACACTGCAAAAAATGTAGAAATATGAGGTAATAAATGCTTGAATCAAGTGGTTTATATCTAAATCTGAGCACATTCTGGCTGAAGATTCTCCAATGGGATAAAATCATTTAGTCTTATTTCAGGAATTGTTGCTTTATTTTCTCATTTCAAGGCAGATATATGTTGTATCTTTTTAAAACAAGTCATTTTTGCTTCGTCCCACTGATAAATCTTGTTTTTAGGCTCATTCCATATGTGCTCAAATTAAGATACTTTTAGCCAAATTTGTGACATTTTTGGCGTGTTTTTCATCACTATTTGGAAAAAAGGAGACATTTGAATTTAAAATGATTCACTAAGATTTACAGTCAGGACTTACATAAACATTAGATATTTCTCTTAATTATAATAGACACTCATTACCATAAATAGTCATTAATAGTCATATTTTAAAGGCACATTAAAGACCAGTGAAGTGCTAGGATCTTTTTGTCATCACCATTTCTACTTAAACGTTTTGTGTATTCATTTTGACATTGTTCTGTGAGCCCTCCATCGTGCAGTGCAATAAAAACAGTGGGTAGAACGATAATAATGTTTTAGCAGAAATACAGAGATTTCTAGGTTTAGTTTCCACACCGCATGCTCTGAACCATTCACACTCTGACTCCCTTTAACCGCGGTGTACTCTCTCATCAGGGATTGAGCTGTGCTTGCCGGACTGGCGTTTCTCCATGACCATGGTGGCCAGTTTCCTGATGGTGGGCGGACAGCTTCTCATGCCCGGAGTGGCTGCTCTGTGCCGCCATTGGCCGAACCGTGACGACTGGCAGGTTCTCCAGATCGTCATCATCTCGCCATTTGTTCTGATGCTGCCGTACGTTTGGTAAGTTCCTCTTCAGGGAATCATCGCGTGGGCTTGATTTCTCAGTTATTGCGCCGGGATCGGGTCGCACTGCACCACACAGCCCTGGCACGCTGCACTCGGAGCCAAACAATACTTTCTTTCTCTTATTGTCTGCCTTCTTGCTTTTAACAAACAGTCTGTTCTCTTTCTTCTTTTCACGTTTGTCCCCCCCCTCTCTCTCTCTCTCACTCTCACTCTCACTCTCTCACACACTCTCTCTTTCTCTCTCTCTCTCACTCTCACTCTCACCCTCTCTAGGATCTTTCCTGAATCCCTGCGCTGGTTGCTGGCCACCCAGCAGTACAGGCGATCCAAAGTCATGATGTTACGGATCGCCAGGAAGAACCAGGTTGACATGACGACGGATCCCAACGGAGTCCTGACCGGTGAGAGAGGAATATTTAACTTCAGACACTTTCAGTGCTGCAGTTGCTTCATGATTTAATTGTTCGTAATATAAATAGACAGATAGATAGATAGATAGATGGAAAGATAGATACTTTGTTGATCCCCTGTAGGAGAAATTCTAAGTCCAGCTGCAGAAGACTCATCCAGGTTTGTTGTGCAGTCTGACAGCTGAAGAAACAAAGGATCGCTTGAAACGTTCATTTTGGCAGCACAGTGATATTAGCAATAAATAATGCACAAAACAGACCACCTTTCACTTTGAACATGTTTGCACATTTCAGTCTTTTGCACATTTCAGTCTTTTGCACAACCTGAGTGATACTATTTATGACATGGACATTTTTCCAGTGTGACATCAATAGTCGATCTTATATCTTATCTCCTGCTACTATTAGCCTGGCCTTAGCCATCTGTAAACTCAGGTTAATTATCATTTCCCTGCATGTAATTTAAAACTATGGTGTGGATAGACCAGGCGGTGCTCCTGTGGTAATGTTACAAGCTCTTTCAGACCTACATCTAAAAGACAAAACAGACAGAGGTTAATTGACTTCAGACTGTGACTGCGCTGCACTTGTTGATAACAGTTTCTCCCTCGATGCCCGCTCCTTGTGGCAGGTTTCTCATTTCCTCTTACCAGAAAAGGTTATAAGGTGCTTTCTATTCCCAGAACTGGAGCAGGAGCTGCATAAGAAACCTGAGAGAAGCTGCATTATAAAGATGATGAGCACGAGGAACCTGTGGAAGAATATCGTGGTGCTGTGCGTGAACTCGTAAGTGGAATATTTACAGATATGGATTTTTTCACACAAGGTACAAAGTGTGATGGAGGTGAAATATTATATTTTAATCATCAGAAGATATATTATGTTTTTCATTTATCCAAATACCACGTCTGTCCAGAAGTATAAGAAGATAAATGTTTTAGACATTAGTCCATTTTTCTAAAGTAAGTGTTTCTGTGTCTCCACCTGAATGAATGAGCTGAAGTTTGTTACATATTTTCAGATCCACATTATATGAAGAGATTCTTTTTTTTACACAGAGTAGAAACAAAGTGTTACTGTCATATATAATAAACCAATTAAATGAGAAATCAGACAATCTGTTTTTTCTTTAGAAGTCATCACGTCTGTTAAACTTTTTTCAGGGATCATTTGTGTTTTTTTTACTCATTATTTTTAAAAATGTTTCCTTTTTAAATGCAGTGATTTCCTGATGTTGTGTTAATGAGAATTAAGTGGGGTTCATCTTTGTCACAGAATAATCCAATCAGAGGCTGATCTGGGTTTTAACATTTGGCCAAAAATGTATTTGTCAATCTGTTCTTTTAACTTTATCCACACTATCTCTTTGACATGTCTGTGTTTGAAATATTTTTTTTCTAATCTATGATAGTAATTTTAGTTTTTGAGTGATAACCTTTTAAATCCAGATTCTATAATCAACACTTTACTGTGAACTCATTTCCATTGGAGCTAATCCTCTGACATGTGTCCTTCAGTCTGACTGGGTATGGGATCCATCACTGTTTTGCTCGGAGTATGATGGACCCGGAGGCTCGGCCGACCGCTCTGTGTCACGCCGACTATTACACCATGGCGGGCATCGCGGTGGCCACCTGCCTCGCCGTGTGCCCCGCCGTGGGCCTCATGGGTCGTCGTGGAGGTCTTCTCACCTTCATGATCATCACGGCTCTGGCCTCTCTGCTGCAGCTGGGTCTGCTTAACTGTAAGTATGTTTCACTCAAAAATAAGGCTGAATGGATTATCTACATTCTTTACAAACAAAAGGAAACAACATTGTTAGTGATTTGTTTTTTCTTTTTTTTCTAGAAAATAATGGTTGTGCTGTAAAAAAAATTCAGATATGTGTATAAACTTCATAGAATTTTTATTAGAATCTTTTTCATACATTTTCATAAAATCTTTTTACCTTTTAAACATGTAGGATATGGAGCATCACAATTGAAATCTTGTTCAGAAATCAGATGTTTTGGCAAAATTGTGCAGCCCAACTTCAAAATCAGTGTTTACATATTTATTTTGCTTACACTTTATCTTATGTTTTTTTAAGTGATTGGAAAGTACAGTCTCCGCCATGACACAGGTACGTCCAGACACGTTCACACTGTTATTTATTTTAGTGTTGTAACTAAATGTTTTAAACTCTGTTCTCCACAGTTCTTCGAGACAGTTTGAACAGAAAGTTCTCGGTGGCGTTTTCCATCATTGGCATGTTTTCGTCCCACGCTGTCAGTACGCTCAGTATATTCTTCTGCGCTGAAATTACCCCCACTGTCATCAGGTGAGCCTTCTTATCTTCATGAATTTGATAAATAGAAGTGAGATAATGTGAGACAATCTTTTAAGACAGCTCGATAGTAGTAGTAAGGAATATTCTGGCTTCGCCTTGTGGTGATGTTTGAACACAGCTGAGCATTTACTGATGTCCTTTCAGGGGAGGAGGACTTGGACTGGTTCTGGCCAGTGCTGGTTTTGGGATGCTGACTGCACCCATCATGGAGCTTCACAACCAGAAGGGCTACTTCCTGCACCATGTCATCTTTGCCTGCTGCACTCTGCTGTGCATCATCTGCCTGCTGCTGCTGCCGGAGCCTCGGGGTCAGCCGCTGCCGGAGAGTTTAGCAGATGGAGAGACTTTTACCAGACAACAGCTCTTACACCCGGGAGAACAGCATCTCCTCTTGTCTAAGATCGACAGAGACTACTCCCGAGTTCATGACACACCCATACACCTGACAGCCACAGGAGGAGCCACAGCAGCAGTTGCTACCGCTCTGGCAGCAGTACCAGCTTCTTATGCTCTGGCCACTGGTGGCGAGGTCATTGGGAATCACGCCATCGCTAATGGAGTGTGAGCACACACTGACAAGGACCACATGATGTTGGAATAATCCAGGTGTTTAGTGACTGTGATTTGAGTTGTCGACCCACACTGTACTGGCAGAAACGACTCTTTGTATGTGTTGAAATGAAAGTTGTGGGTCTTGCAGTGTCTGATTAAACATGGCAGATTTAAAAAAAAGACTTATGCAAGTACAAAGTGAAGAGCCAGTGTGCTCTGTGAGGCACCATGTAGAGGTGAAATGTTACTTACTGTATATTCCTTTACATGTTATTTTGCACTAAATGTTAGAAACACAATCAGGTGTTTGTGTTTTAAAAGCCAGCACATTGGAAAAGCAGGGATAGGCTAAACCACTACCACTCTTTTGCATGAAGGGCAAAATAGTTTTCTTTATTATTTTGGCCCCTAAAATTTCCAATGTGGCACTTAATCCTCAGATATGAGGTCAGTGTAGTCATTTGAAATGACTGCTAACGTAGGTATATGATGGTTGTGTGATAAGAGCAGCCGGAGACCTTAGCAGACTGTAGCCTGTGGAGACGGTGGTGAGGGTTCTACGCCTGAGAGCTGAATGGACTGATGGTGTCCAACGTCTTATGATGCTCGACAGCATTTTCAATGGCTTTACTTTGACTGCTCGGTTCTTTAAACAGGGCACCCAATGTATTTAGGAAGAATTAAAAACAGTATTTATTTTGTCATGTTGCCCAGGGCACTGCAAATACCTCTGTTTCTCAAACATACCCAACTGTTTGTTTCTGTGCTGTGGTAGTGTAACTCTCCAAGGAACTGACTCCCACCAAAAAGCACAATAGTTCAAATCAAAAATGTGTCAATAGACTAGAGCCTCGGGTCTCTTGGTTGAGGCTATTTGTGAGTAGTGTTCTTATAAACTCAGCTTTGTAATAGTACTCTTTAGGGCTGTATCAAACACCATGTGTTCATGTGCCAATGCCATTGATCTTGTATGAACCACATCCATAGAAACACCATCTGCACCTTCACAACTCTTCATTTCCCATTTAAATAAAACACAGCATACAAATAAACATGTGCTAGTTTGACACAAATTCAAAGTGTTATTTTTTTAATATGACACATTTGTACAAGAAAAGCCATAGGCATACATGTTTTGATATAAACCAGTTAATTTATTATATCAATAAAACTCTTGATGTAACAAAGACGTGTGTTTGTTTCCATTAGAACAGTTTAAAGAATGTCGATGACCAGCTGCCTTTTAATTCACCAAATAACTCACATTTAAAAACATTCAGGATGAAGCTCAAGCTCCTTTTTAATGCGGTTCTCCACCAAAAGGCTCAGGTTGGAGTCGGTCATCGCAAGACTGTAGCTCACAAACACTTGTTTTTTTGTCCTTTTTGCTGTGAAAAGATTAATAAAATAAATATAAGAAGCGTATAAAAGGAAAAATGAGGAAAATAATCACAATTCACACTTACCTAATCTCTGTGCCAAGGTGTTTGCAGCTGTATTCGATGGGTCTCCCAGGACTAGTGACGATAACGGCATTGAATCCTAGACAAAATATGAAAGGGTTAGAATCTGCTTTTCAGAGCGACTTCCTCTGGGATCAACTGGACCAGTGCGTCTCTCACTGTGGCACACATATCTCGCTGGTGGGAGTAGTCTTTGCCAAAGGCTATTTGGATTTTCATCATTAGCCGTGCTTTTCATCCAGCACTTTGTTTTTTGACACTTCCCCGGATGAGCTGGAGGAAGAGTGAGGGAAGTCTGGGCGTCTCTGCTTAGACTGCTGCCACTGCCACCCCGGCAACGGATGAAGCGGAAGAAAATGGATGGATGGATGGATCTGCTGCCAGGATTGAATAGCGTAGCCTCAAAAAAGCTTTGTTTACATCAGTGGGGTCCTGGCTAATCATCCACTTATGTTTATCTTTCTTTTCGGTTATGACAAGGTTGTTCGTTCTGATCTACTTTTGATTTACTTTTACAAGACTTCCTGTAGGGACAAAAATGTGTTTATGCTTTAAAAGGTTAGGTACCCCAGCTTCAAGTGCAGTCATGCTTACTACTACCGCCGCACTGCACAACACAACATTGCAAAAAGTGACAAATTATAAGATAATAAATGCTCAAATCAATTGTTTATATCTTATTTGGTGTATATAAGATAAAAACACTGAGGCTGAGTGGTTAGCACTCTCGCTTCTCAGCAAGAAGGTCCTAGATTTGAATCCTGGTCGGGACAGGGCCTTCCTGGGTGGAGTTTGCATGCTCTCGCTGTGTCTGTGTAGGTTTCCTCCAGGTGCTCCGGGGTCTCTTCCCAGTAAAACCATGTACAATAGGTCTGGCATGTGGCTCCTGTAGGCGACCTCGCTTTCATGTCTGTGTGGAGAGTCCTTAGGCAAGACACTTCACCCCCATTGCCTAGAATGAGTCTAGTGTGTGTGTGTGAAAGGCTGGTCGTGGTCAGAGGGACTAATGGCACAGAGTGGTTGCCTCACGTCTGTCATTGTGCCCCAGGGCAGCTGTGGCTACAGTAGTAGTTTATCATCACCGTGTATGGAGTGAAAGAATAATGACATGTGAAGCGTCTTTAAGTGTCCTGAAAAGATCTATATAAAACCAATGCATTATTATTATTATTTTAAGACTTACATATTTGCTGGACATCGACACAGCCAAGTTGCACAAGCTTGGAGTCGATCCGATCCATAGAAAAAAACCCTTATTTAATTTCATTACGTGGAAGTGAATAACCTGCTCCAAAATCTTCTCAGAGAAGTTATACACTGATATCGGAGCAAATGAGGCCCCGTTTTCTAACTCGCTCATTCTGTTGATCTGCGGATTCAAAGGTTCCGCAGTGAGACTTCCGGGTATAAGGTGACGTCATGCCAGGCTAAAGTAATCAACTCTCATGATGCATATTTTGGCACTTAGGCAAGGCGAGTTTATTTGTGTGGCACAAATCATACACAAGGCAACTCAAAGTGGTGAACAAAATATGATTGAAACAGTCAGAGAAGGAAATAAAATCATAAATAATCACAGTACATTTAAAAGAAAGATGAAAATATAAAATCATTGTCAGAGAGGATTTAAACATTGTCAGAGAGGAGGCCTGTCTCACATCTTCAGGAAGATTCACTTATGCCTTGAACTAACTTTACATTTAAAGAATTCTTGCACACTTGAGACAAGTAGACAAATACAAATCATTTAATCGTAATACAAATGGTTTGCACAGAGTTGGATCACAGTGAAAAGAATAGAAAAAGATAGGCATAGGACTATTGTAATTGGCTAAATCAATCTTCAAGAAAATCTTCCACCATTTTGTTAAATTCAGCAGCATATCTCAGGTGCAAATTGTGCTTTCCCTCTGGCATCAGATGCAGCCTGGATTTACAGATACTTTTAGTACAGGAGAGAACACATTTAAAGATGTAATCACTGTTACCTAGAATTTCTGATGTGTTCATGAAGGTACTGAGGATGGATCGCAGGTACCATTGGGTCCTTTTCTCCATGAATAATAAGTGAGGGGCAGGTAATTAAAGGTAGAAGATCCATACAAATATTCCCTGGAAATAATAACTATCATTATAATCAGTGTTTCATCCAGAGTACATCACTAAAACTGGACATAATTGCAGAACATTCATGTATTTAATTATCAAACCTTTTGGTCTTTTCCCAAACTCTGAAATTCCTTTCACCCAGTCTTCCCAAATTTTGGCAAAATGTTCAGCCCCATAGACTTCCTCCATGGGCTTCCTCATCCTTGCGCTCCATTGGGAGACATCTCTGACGGCTACAGGGACTCACAGTCATGTAAGTGCATCAATATGTAACTAATACTATAATAATATCTTTCAACCATTTTACCATTGTAAAGTTCCATGTCCTTCTCTGACACAAAACAATTGGCTCCCCAAACCACTAATTTGCGGATCACATGAGGGTTTTTGGCCGCAGCAATCAGAGCAGTAATACCTCCATCGCTCCAACCCAGCAGGGAAAAGTGCCTGAAGCCTAAAGCCTAGAAGTCGGGGCACAAATCGCAGTTGTTGGATGTAAACACAAGGAAAATAGACCTTCAAAACTCTCAAACCTTCATCAGATCCACTCCATCTCTTGCATCTCTTTCAAAGAAGTCTTGTGGGAAGTCTCTGTCAGGAGGTCTAGACCGTCCATATCCTCTGGGATCCCAGCCCACCACAGTAAAGCGCTCCTTGTCTAGATGTTTTAACTGCGGCTCAAAGTCTGTCCGGGTGCTACCTGTGGGAAATCATCCAGGAAAGATAAATAATGCAATCTGGCACGGATCTGTGAAATGGAAATAAGTGGTGCGGTTACTTGCCTAGTGCTCCTGGAAGCAGCAGCAGAGCGTGATCCCCTGTGCCGGTCTGCTCATAGTACAAATCCACTCCATTCACTGGCTTTTTACCTGTGGTCACTGCAGAACTATAGACCAACATAAGACAGTCATATGTTAGTGAATAAGTAATGTGTATTTATATAGTGCATTTTACACTCCAAGGTCACCCAAAGTGCTTTACAATTGTTGAGAGTTCAGATATTTTCTCATTCTCTCCACACACGGTGATGTCAGAGGCAAGACTGTTTCCTGCCCCTTTTAAAGTTTGTTTTTAATCTTGTTTATTCATGTGTTCAACTTCTCACCACTCCTTTTTAAGTAACAATTAATATTCTTTGTGTTCCTACGACCACTGTTGTTTTTTTTGGTTTGTTATTGTTGTTGTACATGTGTGCTTGAAATAAACTAAACTGAACTAAATGTACTTTTCTTTCTTTCTTCTGCACACTGGGGACTTTGGCAAATGTATTCCTGTGTAGTTTTATTGCAAATGTCAAATAAAATGAATCTGAGACGGCGAACACACTGGACCATCAAAGCCACAATCATCATTCATTCACTATTGTATTTTTTTGTGATAGGGGAAACCGAGACACTCGAAGGAAACCTATGCAGACGCGGGGAGAACATGCAAACTCCACACAGTAAGGCCAAGAGGTGGAATCAAACCCAGGACCTTATGTTTCTAACCGTTGCCACAATGCCAGTTACAGCTTACATAAAGATAAGGCAATAATGGATTTCCCTATTGGTAAAATAAGATACATGTTTAACAGGCAACCAAATTAAACAATATAGTATCTGTCTAGGGCCCATACTCTGCTCGCCCCACGGCGCCATCTCGTGGTGGATGTGTGGTATGTCCTGAGCGCATGAGGGAAAGTGTCCTCTCGTAAATGGAGTTTGTTGCTCATGGATCTATAAGTTTGCAGCTCTATATTATGAAACAACCTGATCCTGCAGAGATAGACTGTAGTTACCAGTGACAGTACGTCTGTGAAGCTGCCAGGGTTTTCAGAAATTGAGTTTTAGTCGAAAAGGTGATTCTTCGGAGTAGGACCAGCGCCATGATGGAACAGACACGTCCGCTGTGCCCGAGCTGGAGGGCGGTGGTTACTGTCTATGGGTTACACATGTGGTCACTCATTTATCCACAAGGTACACGATTCTGGAGGATTCTGCCTCAATCCGCCCAGGAAGACACCGATGGACTACTTTGGTCTGGACAAAAATACTTCCGATAAAAAAAAATTAAAGTGAAAGCGTCATCAAAAGACTGAAAGGTTGAACCATACAGTCTATGGTTGAAACATATACTTTGGATTGAACACATGAATCTCTTATATACAATTTGGATTTATGTTTAATTTTTATTATAATCCACATCTCCCTTTACTCTAGATAGAGGGGACTGACCATAGACTGACGCATGTTTCCAGGTAACGTGACGAATGCCTTAAGATTCGGATTCAGATTAATTTTATTAGCCATGTGCAGTATAAAAACTACATTGGAATACATTTGCAAAAAAAAGGTACTCTGTGTGCACCGACAGAATAAAAAATACGATACAATGTAATATAAAATTATTAATTTTAATAATTATCCACATTATTAATGTGGAGAGAAAGCAAAACTATTTAGGACCTTAAAAGAAAATAATAATAAAAGAATATCAGTAATAATAACAATAATAATAATAATCGCTGTAGTAATAATAATAATAATAATAACAACAAAACAATATCAATGATAATGATAATAACAAAAATAAAAATCCTCATCATCACCATAATCACAATTATGATAATAATGATAAGATGCTAATCATTTGGTTACTTTTCTTTCTATACTTTTGGCCTCTGACCTAAATAAGTTTGATACCCCTGTATTATATAATATGCTGTCAGCGTCAGAACAAAGTATTCCTTTTAGAAATACTGTGTTCCTCATTGTAAACTGACACTGGTCCATCAGAGAGTTTGACCTCATAAATGTGTGCTCTCGTGTTACCCCTTTAATTTTTCCTCGACCATTTGGTGGATCACATTTTAAGTCATTATATCTACGTGAAGCTTGGAACTGAAATCTACCTCATTGGGGCATCTCACCAGAGAGATTCGAGAGAGACCAGAGAGAGAACAGAGAGAGAACAGAGAGGGAGAGACTAGAGAGAGGCCATAGAGAGAGAGATCAGAGATAGATTACAGAGAGAGAGAGAGAGAACAGAGAGGGAGAGACTAGAGAGAGGCCATAGAGAGAGAGATCAGAGATAGATTACAGAGAGAGAGAGAGAGAACAGAGAGGGAGAGACAAGAGAGTGAGATCTCTCTGTTACCATAAAACTGCATCTCAATCATTTGATAAAGGACTATAATTTAAAAACTAGGGGTTAAAAAAAATAATACATATGTAATAAAAAATACATCGCTTTCTTCAAGGAGGGAACATTAAAGAGTTAACTGCTGCGGAATAATGCACCAAGAATTGCTTAAAAATGTCAGTTTTTTAAATGAAATATAAACACAGTGGCTCAGTTGGTAGAGCATTGGCCTTTGGGCCTGAAGGTCATGGGTTTGAGCCCACTGTAAGACCTACTTGACAACTCCCACTAAGTCTGCTGTCGTTGTGTCCTTGGGCAAGACACTTAAGCCCACTTTACCTGAAGCACCCACTGAAAGATCTCAGCTCCTGTCGACTCAGCACCTGCAGGAGTCCAGAAATGGATTAAGGGGAAGAAAATGGATGGATATTTATTTTCTCTGTCTAAAAGCAGAGATAATAATGTAATAATAATAATAATAATATAACTTATAACTTATAAGTATATATATATAACTTAAAGTTACATAATAATGTAACTTTTTTGCTACCAGCTTAGATGGTGTGTGAATCTTTGAATCTAACTTAGGCATCATTTTAATGCTATTGATTGCAACTTATTGAATTATCTTTCTATCTGTCTATGTATGTATCTATCTCTATGAATATTCCATCTCAGATATGCAGAGATTCACAGTGATTTATGAAAATCCCATTATGAAAAACATTCTGAATATAGTATATATATTTACGTGACTGTGGAGAAAAGTGACACAGTGGACCTTTCAGTTTCACAGGAATAGCTGAGTGCCTTCACAATCCCCCCCCCCCATGTATGGTGTGCTCTCTCTGCAGGCGACAGCGATAGCCGGACTGTGACCCGCTGCTGGCCTGCTCCCATCTTTGTCTGTTTTGGTATGTGCTCATCCACATCGCATGACCGCAGTCAGGCCTATATATAAATAACCATGTCGCCGCTAAGGTCATGTTACGTCATTCCAAAAAGCATTCTCCATCACGTTGTCCCCAGCAGCACGCCGAGAACTCGGAGGCTGTCGAACTAAACGCTCTCATTTTAAGAAAGGTCTGGAAACTATTTCGATTTCAAGATTAGGTAGAAGGAGTATACTTCTGTGTGAAGATGGGGAATGGTATTAACAAGGTAACGTCATTTTTTCATCACATTTGCAAGAACTCACCTTGTATCTAATGTTTTTTTCTTGCTTTAGGTCCTCCCTGGGCTTTATCTTGGAAATATCAAAGGTAAGGCCTTTGTTTTGGTTCATACTTTGCATTTAATAGTTGTTTCAGTTCCTCATGAATATCTTCTTTGTGGTGAGATGCTACAATGATTTGGGTTTCTATCGAAAAGAAAACTAAAATTGGAGACTAAAAATGACTTTTTTGGTGAATTTATTCCTGTGTGGGTTAAAATGGGAGGGGGTGATGTGGGTTCAGGGCAGAGGGGAAGGTCCCGCCGTAGACTGGGGGCGTCCCACCAAGACCTACGCTGTCTCCACTGACAGTTACTGCTGTGTAGAAGAAGTGAAAACATGGAGATAGTGTTTTAGATCGCTTGGAGAGGAGGGGTGCAAACTTAAATGTAATTTAATGTTTTTTTTAAAACCAAAGCCTCAATAAATGTTTAAATAAATAGAACATGTTCTGTAATCAATTATTCAATAATTGGTTATTTTTATAAAACAAGTCAAAATGCAGGTTGTTTTCTGCATTTAACAACCATAACGTGAGAAAGTTTGTAATAGTGTGTAGTAGTAATTGTATTTTAGACACTAGACATAACTGTAATGGATTACAGTTACTCAGAAAGAGTATTCTGAATACATAATGGGATTGCATGTACTCAGTTACTCCCCAACACAATCATCATTCTGAGTATTGTATGAAATCACCCAATGTTTGATGCTGTTTGTCGTATAAATACAAACAAATAACCTTTGTTTTTATATTGTGTCCTTTAAAGAGTAATTGGAGGAGTTTGCTTTAGTATCTGTAAATCTGATTTGCTTCAACACTGGTCTTTTATGTCACATGGATTATAATATCACATGGATTATAATATCATATGGATTATAATATCATTTGGATTATAATATCACTTATGCATCACAGCAACTGTTATCTGAAAAATCTGACAAACTCTGTAAGTAATGACAAGGCAACAACAGTGTGCCCCAGGGCAGCTGTGGCTACAGTAGTAGTTTATCACCACTGTGTTTGGAGTGAATGAATAATGACATGTGAAGCGTCTTTGAGTGTCCAGAAAAGCACTAAATAAAAATGATGCATTATATTTAGAAAGACAAACTCTAAGTAACGACCAAGCCCCGGTGATCCAAGATGGCGTCCTGTTCAAATGAATGGCTTGTGCTCAGTAGAGCATGGGACAGCCATGAGAACCAAAAGATTAGCAGAACTCGGCCATATTTGGGCATCGTCTGGTCCTCTGCACTTTAACCAATCAGAGCTGCTGATCAGGGCGGAGCCAGAGCGGGAAGAAAAAAAGCTACGTTTGTTGCATTAAAGTTTAAGTTGGGTTTAAAGAAAATGTCAAGGACACTAGCCTGGTCGTACCACACCATAGTACAATTGACATTTCATACTAAGGTCTGGAGGTGCTCCACTGAGCTCCGTTTACAGGTTGGAGGGGTTAACTTTTGCAGATTGAAACGATTCGATCTGCAAAAGTATGTAGTGCGCCCGAGTCTGTCGTTAGCATTTAGCATTTAGCCTAGCCATCTCCTTTGCCGCTAACGGAGCCTGTGAGGAGTAGCGCCACATTTTTGTCCAGCGATTACATTTGCTAAACATTACCCTTGCTCCGGCTTCAATTTCTTGATAGAACCAGACCGGATTACTTTACTATCAAATTTTTCCCCATTGCCAAACTTCAACCTGCCTGTTCGACGCAAACTCTTGACGTCACCCACAACTAACTACAACACCCGCCTCCCGCGCTCTCTGAACGGTCGGTCGAAAATCAACCGATTGTAATCGCTAACATAATTACATGCAGTGAAATGATGAATGAACGGAGTGTACAGATGGCTAAGGCCAGGCTAAGGGAAACTAAAATCCCCACAAAATCTGATTTTTATGAAAGCTGTAGGTTCTCTGTCAGCTGAGGTCGAACTGTTTTAGTTAATATTGAGTTCTATGGGACTTTTTTCTGGGTCATGAGTGAATTTAGTCTGCAGAACCATGGGCGCCCCCTGTGCCCATGGGTGGGAAAGCTATAAGCTGTAATACCCTATCCATTTATTATTATAGATCCATGGTATCGACAAGGCAATAACAAGAATAACACCGTAAGTAACGACAAAGCAAGACAAAGTACCAGTGAAAGTCCATTCTCCTGTTTCCTCTCACTGAAGATATATTGTATGTGTAAATACCGTGTACATATTGTATGGAAGAGTCTGTGCCAAAAGTCTGTGCCAGGTTGTTAACCGACTCCTCACTAAATATTTATTTCACACTCAACACTTTTAGACCTGTGTCCTTTAGCAACTGCAGTTATATTATGGAGACCTATTCATCTATTTATAACAAATGTTGCAAGGTGCATGAAACCATTGTGTGAAATCATTGCAAAAGCCATGGCCTTAAGTGTGAGCCAATGAGCAGGACACTACAAACACACTTCCAATTCAAGAACGAAGAATACAAGTTTTACTGATGCATTAGGGACGAGCAGAGTGGACATTTATGGACCAATTGCTCCTTTGTCTTTCCTGATTAAGATTAAGAGATCCTTTATTTGTCCCACAGTTCTGCCATAATGCTATTCATTACTTTATTATTGACTCTCGTTACCAGAAATAGTCATATTTTAAAGGCGCATTAACCCATTGACTACCAGCCGTTATAAATGATTTCACAGATTTTTACTAAGAGCCACAGAATATTGTGTGCTCTTACTACGTGAAATATGAAGCTAGATTCCGAAAGACTGGACTATCTACTTTCATCAGCAAGAATAATTTGGTTTCTAGCTAGCTTTGTTCTCCTGTAATCCCCAGTCGAGTAGGGGGAGGTTTGACAGAAATCACCAGTCTCAGACAAATACGTCAATGGCAGTCAATGAGTTAAAAAACTGTGTGTGTGTGTGTGTGTGTGTGTGTGTGTGTGTGTGTGTGTGTGTGTGTGTGTGTGTGTGTGTGTGTGTGTGTGTGTGTGTGAGTGTGCGTGCGTGCGTGCGTGCGTGCGTGCGTGCGTGGTGTGTGTGTTGGTGGGTTGGGATCTTTTTGTCTTTACCATTTCTTCTTAAACGTTTTGTAATTTCATTTTGTTTATCGTGTCTGCATTAAAAACAGTGGATAGAATGAGCCCCGCCCCTAACTTCCCCGACCAATGGAAATGCAAGTAATGTTTGCCTCCTATGCTCGTTGTGTGATGCGTTAAAAACAAGATTTTGAGTCCGCTTTGAGAGAGCGACCGCCTCCATCGAACCATATCTCGCCCTGATTTACTTACTTACTATTTAGTTTAAGCAGCAAACTAAAAAGAAGTGTCTGTTATTGGAAAATCGACAAATGTCTAAAGTTGTTTGATATTACATGGTTCTGTCGTAACGAACAGAATAAAATGATTCTCAGACAAACTCCAAAAATGGCTTGACAAGTTTTAATTTAAAAAAAATGGTATGGATGGGAGGACAGGGTGGTGGAGGGAGGTGGATGGATGATCTCTCTGGAGCTGGACAGGGAACTGCAAAGAGTAAAAATAGGTTCGTATCAAAAAGTCATTCCAAAAATACACAATTTATAGCCACAGCAAGTACCTTTCTGATGCTATTTTGGTTAAGAATATTCCGTATTCTTAACCAAAATAGTATATAACCACGAAAGTCTACAGTGGAAAAAGTTAGTTGTTAAATTGTGATATATGGTTCGATGGAGGCGGTCACTTTCTCAAAGCGGACTCAGAATCTCGTTTTTAACGCATCACACGGCGAGCATGGGACGCAAACATTACCTGCATTTCCATTGGTCGGGGAAGTTAGGGGCGGGGCTCATTTTACCCACTGTTTTTAATGCATACATAAACAAAAAATGTTTTTTAAATGTTTCATTCATTACGAACTGCAAAGCCTCACTGTGAATGATATTCTGGAGTGAGATCTTTGTCCACAGAAGGTTTGGACACTTGCTCTGCTGCCCTCTGACATCTGTCGTTTACTCACAGAGACATGTTCTCATGGTTTGGATCAAATGATCTTTTGTTGCTCTCTGTTCCTTTTTCACAGAACTGGGGAAAAAAAACGTTTGTTTTTTTCTGCTCCTTCTACATGGAACGTGTTGCAAAAAGCCTAGAAATGATCTGATCTTATTTCCTTGAATGCTTTTAGATCCAGATTGAGACATCTTCAGTGAAATGTAACTGTTTTTATAATCCGTAATTTTATGAAATTGTGTGTTACTGTTGTATAATCTGTATGTGACTGTTTTATCATCTGTAATTTTATGTAATTTTTGTACACGAAAAAGAGGTTCTCATTGACTGCCAGCCATTTTTTGATGACTTCACTGATTTTTAAGACTCACAGAATATTGTGTGCTATGAAAAATATGAAACCAGAGTCTGAAAGACTGGACTGTCTACTTTCAGCAGCAAAAAGAAGTTTGTTCTTAGTTTGTTTCGTTCTCCTGTGATCTCCAGTCGAAAAGAGGGGAGTGTGACAAAAAGCACCAGTCTTAGACAAAAAAATGAGAAAATGAGGTGTATGTGAAAACAGACGAACCTGCAGAAAAGTGATTGTAAAACTATTTAGTTTGACTTTAGCATCTCCTCAAACATGTCCAGGATCACACATGTTAGAAAACAGCAACAACACATTTTGAGAAAGTGTTTTTGATGCAAAATAATACGTTTTATGGCACACACTCACATCCACAAAGTGTTGCTCGAATGTTTCAAAATGTACTCATCCAAAAACTGTCAAAATGTACATATTGAAAGTAGAGCCCATGACAAACTATGGCAGATAGAATGGCCAGTATTCATCCATTAGGTGGCGCTATATTTATGTCATCAAGAGTAAATCAGAGATAAGCAAAATAACAATGATAAACACTATAAATGACAATAAATCAAAGTGAATACTTATAATTATAGTATAAGTGCAATGGAATACTGCTGTGTGTCTTTGTGTGTTTGGGCGCGCATGTATGTGCGTTTATGCACGCGTTTGTGTGTTTTTGTGTGGTTACATCTACAGAGCGTCTGTTTAGTCTGGGACCATAACTGGACTTTGCGGCTGGCTCCTGGTGCGGACTCAGTGATAGTTTTAGCAATAGTCCACTTTTCTGTGGCTTTTTTGGGGTGCTCCGCTGGTCTGCTGCTCTGACCCTCCACATGGTCTGCTGCTCTGACCCTCCACATGGTCTGCTGCTATGACCCTCCACATGGTCTGCTGCTCTGACCCTCCACATGGTCTGCTGCTCTGACCCTCCACATGGTCTGCTGCTATGACCCTCCACATGGTCTCTGTCAGCTCTGGAGACACATTTACTGCTCAAACTGCCTCCAAATGTAGCCTGACCCTGACTATATTACTCCATGTCTACTTCACCTCTGTCTCTCCTGCTCAGAGTGCTCAGAGTGATCTTTGACCAAACCAGGGAGTTCTGCTGCCACCTGCTAGCTTAATAAAATACTGTCTACAGCCAAACCCCAGACTGTATGATACAGGGGACACAGACTGACAGGAAAAGATTGAAAAACAATGTTGTCCTCAAATGACATCCATGGCTGAGAATGAGTTAATCTCAATGGGACTTTCCTGGTAAAATAAAATAAAAAATTAAAAAATATAGTATTTTTTTTTTTCACAGATTTTTTTTTTCACAGATTTTTTTTTTTTCACAGATTCTATGGCGTACCCCTAGAGGGCGCCCGCGTACCACTAGGGGTACGCGTACCCCAGTTTGAGAAACACTGACCTAGAACATCACTGGTCTGTTTATAATCTCATCTGTAGCATTATGGTAGAACTATGCACAAATGTAAACAATATATTACTGTATACTGAACATACAATATTCCTGGACTGCCACGCCTTCCTGTCTGTCTGGCCACATATTTTCGTCTACATCACAGCGGATGTCTTCCCTTGCAAGGCAACAGCTCAACAATTGTGTAATGACTAAAGCAGTGAAAGGAGGACTATCAGTTTTAAAGCAATGACTCTTCAGCTTCATACGTGTGTTTCATTTTGACCAGACAGAAGCAAACGATAATGTTCTAAAACTGGAGATCACTGTAGAAAGTCACAGATACATGAACACAAGCTTTTGGAATGTGCTCAAAGGAGAAACTGTCACACATGACTCAATGTTGTGGACAATAGTTTCACTTCAAGTCTGATCTGAGAAAAGCACAAAAGCGACTGAAAAAACTGTAAGAGAAAAAACTGATGTTTAGTAGAGTTTTTAACAAATTGAGTTGAATAGTATAAATAAATAATAAAATTCTGTGAAAGAAAAAATGTAAAACGCGGTACGAAAAACATCAGTTTTACTTTTACCTACTCCGTTTTTTATTCTGTATGAGTGGGTTTTCTTTTTTGCATTGTACAATTAATAATTCAAAACTACTACTACTACTACTATTACTACTGCTACTACTACTACTACTACTACTGCTACTACTACTACTACTACTGCTACTACTACTACTACTACTACTACTACGGCAGGTAGCGGCACGGCACTGTGGCTGAGTGGATAGCACTCTTGCCTCTCAGCAAGAAGGTCCTGGGTTCGAATCCCGGTTGGACCTGGGCCTTTCTGAGTGGAGTTTGCATGTTCTCCCCGTGTCTGCGTAGGTTTCCTCCGGGTGCTCCGGTTTCCCCTACCACAAAAAATATGTACAATAGGTCTGGCATGTGCCTCCTGTACTGGCACCCCCACTCCCAAAAAAAACAATTGTAAACCGCTTTGAGACTCCGATGTGCAGTGAAAAGGTGGTATATAAATAAAGATTACTACTACTTACTACTACTGCTACTACTACTACTGCTACTACTACTGCTACTACTACTCAAGAGAAACCATGCATCTGGACCAGCACACATGGATAATCTGCACAGCCCCTGATTCCAGTCAGGCTGTGAGCTGCTGAGACATGGACAACACCATCGTCCTCTTTTGCATGAACATCATTTGGAACAATTGGATTAAACAATTTGGACATGATTTGGAACAATTGGATTTCTGAATCTGGACACTGAAGCTGAAACGTGTGATTGAAAGACACGTCACAGAAGAATTCACTGCTATGGCTCGACAAAAATGCAGCCTGAGGAATCAACAGAGAAGTGGGAGAGACTGTTTTCAAAGCAATATCTGGAACCACCATCGACTGATGAAGTTTGGTATTTTACTGAAGATTGTTGACAAGTTTTATGAAAGATCTGAACATGTTTTATGAGTTTTTGAAGTATTCAGAGTTCTGGGTTTTTTTAAGTACCGAGTGAAATACCGAGTTTATGAGTTTTTGAAGTATTGAGTTATGATGTTATGTTGCTGTTTATCGATCCTGATGGTCACACGTGACCAGAGTGTGACCAGAGGGGGGAATGTGAGATTTCATAACACTTTTAAGCAACTTTTGTTAAAGTTAAACTCATCATTCTATCAATGTGCAGAAGCCAGTACTTTTCCCTTGTTGTGTCTATCTGAAGGCCAAGCTACAAGCACACCGTGGCAGCTGCTGATTGGAGGTCTCCATGCCAACGCTCTGTATAATACACTTGCATTCTGTTGTATCTGTGATCGTGTGTTTTGTTCGTGCTGTCTCTACCATCGACAATAAAACATGTCTTCTGTCTGAATTAAAGACGCGATCACAGACATGTCATCTTCTTCACTACTACTACTACTATCAGAATCAGAATCAGAATCATTTTTATTGCCACGTGAGTAACAAAGTTATCACTTGGAAATTGTCTTGGCAGAGAGCGTGCCACTTCGCCATTTGCGGCGCTGTGTGCAGCAAGAAACAGCAGAGAGCAATAACATTCAGGTAACAACAGACAGTTGGATAGAAAACATTGTGCTTTGTATAAACCACGGATTTTTTTCACGGGATGAGCACCTCCGGCCTGCCGGTCCAATGTGGCTGTCAGAGGGGGGCGGGGTCAGGGAGGGGGTGAGTCGGAAACACAGTAAGGAGGGGAGGGAGAGATCAGAGGGAGGCGGGGGGAGCGGGATCCAAACTGGAAGACTGAAAGAGTGTGAAATTTTTGTAGAGACCAGATTTATTATGATGGCCTTGGCCCGAGGAATGTGAGATAAGAGAGGAGGGAAGACACAATAGGGAGAGAACACATCTCCTGTAACGAGGGACAATATTGTATGCAGTTTAGCAGTCAAAAACAGGCAGATATTCTATTAAATCCAATTAGACCAAATTACAGCGCCCTCAGACCCCGTACACAGGGGCAAATCCAAGCCGGGTCAGAGAGTTCAAGCCTGGCAGACAATGTCATTCAATCTCAATTCCAGAGTCTTATGACCATCAAGTGAACGAGCTGCGAGATCTTTGATCAACTGTTCCACTAACACCACTCTTCGTTGTCCAGCCACAGCGCTCTCAACCACGACTCGGTTAAGCTCCTTGTACATCCCATCAATTTTTTCGGCCAGCAGGTCGTGAATCTTGCGAACTGCCATGCCTCCGAATTTGTGGTAGAAGAGAACCGCTCCAAACCCAAACAGGAGGATCCCCACCACCAAAATGCCAAAGATATATACGTCTTCCGAATCTTCAATGGACAGGGTCGACAGACAGAGGGGCTGAAACTTGTTCCAGCTGTCAAGCGTATACCCCGCTGGTGAAGTCCCGTCCGGGCACACGGGCTCTCCAGACCCGCGCTTACGTGTTGAAAAGATAGAATCAATTGCGTTGAGGGACCAGTTAATCATTTCCATTCTGTTAAAGTTGTCTGTGGCAAAACTCCAGGAAAAAAAAGACAAAAACAGGAGATAGCAAGCCGTTCAGAAGCAGGAGCGGACTAAGACACGTCCTTGCACGACGAAGGAGGAAGTAGCTATCTACTACTACTACTACTACTACTGCTACAAAAGGGTGGGGCAACAGAACATGGTTCATTGTAACTCACTCATATATTTCTGCTTTGTTTCTTTCTTTCAGATGCACAAGACAAGGAGCTCCTAAAGGCCCGTAACATCACCCACATCCTGTCCATCCATGACTCTGCCATCCCAATCCTGGAGGTAAGCCTCAACCAGCACTACACAACACAGTCCCACAAATACACAATCCCCTCAAGTTCACCCAATGAGAAAATAATCATGAAAATATCCTCCATGCTCAGAATATTCCACGGTAAAACAGTGACTATATTTGTTTTCCTCGCCCTCCACACATCTGACTTGGCCTGGTGCCTTCTTTAAGATGAAGAGATTCTTTATTTGTCCCACACCGGCGAAATTTCAGTGTTGCATTACAAGTTACAGAACAGTAGGAATGAGGAGAACACAGCACAAGATGAATGGATAAATGGATAATTTATTGATCCCCATCGGTTAAATGTAGGTGTCCAGTAGCAGCAGATATACACACATCCAAACAAACAAAACAAATAAATATGTAATTTTAATAGTAGCTAACAACAGTAAAAAGGTCACATCAGCAGAGGTGGTGTAGCCGCTTGGTTTGGAATATTTTAAGAGAAGTTAGATAAGATAAGATAGACATTATTGATCTCACACTGGAGAAATGTACAAAAAAATTGTTAAAGGTCAAAAATATAGTCTGTGCAGGATATAATTATGTACAATAAAAAATTGGCAATAGCAGTGCAGGTTTTTTCAGTCCTAGTCCTTTTTCTCTGCTGTAGTGCTGAGTTAATTAACGAATAATAACTCAATACTTAATACTAATTTTGTAAAGATCTCTAAGGAATGTCTTAAAATATCCAACTTCAACATGATGAAGAAGCAAGACTTAAGTACAAAAATGCCAAGTATAAGATTCTGCATATTGTATTCATGTCATGCTGTGAAAGAGTACAGACATAGCTGATCCCATTGAACTCAGGATCTGAAAATCATTCCATAAACAAAGATTATAAAAAAAAAAAAAAATAATAAAAAAAAAAAAAAAATGTATTATGTTTTTAACTGTATTTTCAGGGTTCACTTTCAAAACTTTCCATTTTTTGATGAAAATACCCAGATTGGTTAAAATATTCAGATCAAAAATACACCAGAAATGAGCTTTTTATATGGAACTAACATACAAACTACTTTTTGCTTTTGGATAAGGCACTAGTTTAAGGTCAAACTTTAGATTCTTCTGAATATCAACATAGATAAGATAAGATAAGATAGACTTCATTGATCTCAAACTGGAGAAATGTCACATTTAGCACCGATAGAATCACTCATTGTCATTCAAAAGACAGAAGTGTGAAACATGTTAAAGGTTAAAAAGATGTCTGTGCAGGTTATACAATTAAAAAATGAAGCAATAAAAGAAAGAGTGGCTATAGCAGTGCAGGTTTTTCCATCCTAGTGCATTAGTGAGTAAATCAAGGAAAAGAGTGCCATCTTTTGTGTTTGCAAAGCTTACTTAAATACTTTAAATCCTTTCCTTAGTTTCACTGAACAGATCGTCTCTTTGTAGCTCCTTCGTAGCTTCTTAAAGATGCTTTTAAGAGTTTTATATGTGCCTCACTGTGTCTTGCCTTGCTGTTTGTGTGCTTTGTGCTGTTGGTGCCCCCAGTGTCACCTGTTTGTATTCCAATGTAGTTTATTTTCTGCAAATGGCAATAAATTGATTCTTCTAGTGACTTAAAGGGACAATGAAATAGCGGTAGTAAATTATTCGTGATAGTGGCTCCATTGTTTCACCAGTGCACATATGGAATGGCTCTTTTGCATCATATACTGACTAAGCAGCCCATTTGTCATAATGTAAATAGATTATTATTTCCCCTTGTGGATCAGTCGAGTGTGTCCAAGTCTAAGTGCTGTGTCATGAGCTGCTGCATGTGCCACATCCAGGCCGGTCCCAGGAGAGCTGCAGTCATCTCAGGACGGCCTGGTTTCACACAGCTGCATGGTTGGAACCGGGTGTCTTTGCTTTTTTCAAGTCTGATGATTTTTTTTCTCTCCTCAGGACATCACATATCTTTGTATATCGGCATCAGATCACTCCAAGCAAAACTTGTGAGTAAATTAAGGAAAAGAGTGCCATATTTTGTGTTTGCAAGGCTTAGCTAAATAGTTTAAATCCATTCTTTAGTTCCACCAGGTACTGTAGTAATGGTTCTGTCGGAAGTGGAAAATGGGGTTCGTTGACCTGGTTTAAAAAAAGGAGCACTAAAGCTAAAATAATAGTTTATTATAAATTCATAAAAAACAAATAAAACCAATAAAAACCTAAGCTAAAATACAGGTTAAAAGAAGGCTAAAAACAGAGGCTAAAATCATGGCTAAAAACTGAGACACAGAGAGACACAGGTACATATAGACACAGAGAGACACAGGTACATATAGACACAGAGAGACACAGGTACATATAGACACAGAGACACAGGTACATATAGACACAGAGAGACACAGGTACATATAGACACAGAGAGACACAGGTACATATAGACACAGAGAGACACAGGTACATATAGACACAGAGAGACACAGGTACATATAGACACAGAGAGACACAGGTACATATAGACACAGAGAGACACAGGTACATATAGACACAGAGAGGCACAGGTACATATAGACACGGAAAGACACAGGTAACATGAGGGCGGGGCAGACAATCAACAGGGTTAGAGGACAGGAAAGTCAAAATAAAACCAAATACTAAATAACTTAAAATTCACCCCATGACAGATGGAGCTAGTTACAAATAAGCCTTTTCCAGCCATAAAAAAAAAAAAAACGCTACAATTCTTCTTTTATAATATCTTATAAACTTATGTTTTTGTATATTTCTTCCCAGGACTCAGTACTTCAAAGACAGCATCGTGTTCATTCATGAGTCCAGACTGAAAGGAGAAAGTTGCCTCGTTCACTGGTACTGTCCATTTGTCTCACATGTTCCACAGATAGCATCACATTTACACATTTACACGAGTCAGATCTGTGGCATGGTGGGAATGCATGTATATTCCCAGTATACACCTAGAATACATACACACCACAGCTGCACAATGCATCACTGTCAAATCAAAATCAATTTTAGTCTCCGCTATTTGCAGATCAAAAAGACTAAATTCTTTACTCATCATCTTGTTGTATATTTTTCTGAATATTTCTGTTTCTCAAGCTCTTAATCAGGGTAATTGGGGAGTAAATAAGGTAGAATCTCTCCCAATTTGAGTCCATTCTTATTTGCGTATGGAAAAGGTAAGCCTAGTCCCACTCTGGGATTTTAAGTCTGATATTCTTCAACAGTGAAAAATAAAGAAATATAACTTCAAATATATTTTACAAGCTTTAGTTTTCCCTAAAAATGTAATTCTCCCGGTGCACTTTGGACATTAATCTGGCTTTATAACAGAAATGTAAAATAGTGGTAGAATGAATGTTTAGTGGTGGCTTTAGTTTCAGATGTGTTGAAAGAGTGTGGTGCTTCCCCCACTTCCGGGACTAGAGTCCATTGTTGTGAATGTGGCGCTGGGCTGTGAACCCCTGTTTCAACACATCTGAAACTAAGGCTGCGGTACAAGCACAGCCTAAAGCCCGGTTAAAGTGGTGAAGATGTAGGCCCAGATCGCAATTAGATCCGGGCCTTTGGTGCCGTGTGGCCGCTCGAGCATGGTTATAAAGCCCAGGTGAGGGGGGTCGATGTGTCGGGTGGTGGGGGGTGAGGTGTGGTGGGCACGTGATATTGTGCGTCACATTACGTTTTCCTTCCTTTTTGCATTCCATTCTCCCTGCTTGTGTTAAACCTTCATGTGAGCCCCTGGGCCGTGGTCGAGGGACACAGGGGAGTGTGTTGCTCTAAGGCCGAAGGGATGATCCTTTGTCACAGTATGGTGCTATTGCAATAACACTTGAACTGTTATTCGACTTTATTTTGTGGCCAAAACACACCGACATTCACAGGTGTCCTGCTCCAGTCGACTTTAATTGAGTAGTAGCTCTGATTGCCTAAGTACCTTCAGGGCAGAAGAAGACCCCTCCACTGCGCGTAAGGGTCTGGTTCACCCTGTTGGTACTTGTTTCTGATAAATAAGTAAATAATTAAGGAATCTTTATCCATATACAGTATAGCCTTTCACAGACCACACACACAGAGATGGGAGCGGGGTCGCCAGTATAGGAAGCACATGCCAGACCTATTGTACATGTTTTTAGTGGTATTGGAAACCGGAGTACCCGGAGGAAACCTACAGAGACACAGGGAGAACATGCAAACTCCACTGAGAAAGGTCCTGTTCCGACCAAGATTCAAACCCAGGACCTTCTTGCTGAGAAGCGAGAGTGCTAACCACTCAGCCACCGTGACGCCCGAATCAATTCTTCGGTTGTTTGATGTGTGCAACCTGAGTGCTCTTATTTCCTTTTATTCTCCTGTATGTGTGCGACGATGACACTGAAATCTCCCCACTGTGGGATGAATAAAGGACTATCTTATCTCCCGTCAGTGTGGCCGGAGTGTCCCGCAGCGTGACCCTGGTGGTGGCCTATATCATGACGGTGACGGCGCGGGGCTGGGTGGACTCTCTGGCCGCAGTCCGAGCAGCCAGACCCTGCGCTGGACCCAACCTGGGCTTCCTGCGCCAACTGGAGGAGTTTGAGAACACTGAACTAGCGCAGGTGAGTACGAAAGACTTTTTACTTAAGTACTGCAGCGGATGGTACAGGTACTGTACAGTATGTGTATGTGCAGCATGTTTGTGCAGGGTGTGTTTGCATCAGTGGGGCTCCAAAAGGTCCATGAGCATATGCGCTGACATGCTGCAGTCTCACTTTGGGCCTGTGGCGGTGTACCCGGAAAAAGAATTACCCAATGCTTTCGTATGGCGTCTTCTGCCGTCTGAATGATAAGTCCAAATAGATTCACATTTGACACACATTTACTAGCTTACTATCACACTACACAGCTACATTAGCGCCATGAGATTTTGGAAGTCAAATACAAATGTTGGTATATACAAAAAAAAATTACGACTGAGTTCCAAAGGGTCTGATCTTTACAACAAGGTAGAGCGTGTCTGTGATGGTGGAGCTGAAGTTGGATGACTCTTTGAACTTGTGTTTATGATCTCAATGGCTAATTTGGGTTAGCAAGAAAGAGGGCAACTGTTCCCACTAATGTCTACTGTTGTTGTGTCCTTGGGCAAGACACTTAACCCCACATTGGCTGAAGCTCCCGCTGAAACACCAAGGCTATGGCACCACTGATGTAGCAGCCATCTTCCTGTGGACTCACCACCTGCAGAGGATCAGCGAGGGACTAGTACTATGAGCTTTGAGTGGCTGCCAAGCCCCAGCGATCCAAGATGGCGCCGTATTCAAATTAATGGTTTGTGCTCAGTGGCGCATTGTGCCGGCATGGGCGCCGAAAGATTAGCGGAAGTGGCCTGGAACTCGCAAAGATCTATGTGAACTCGCCTGTATTTGGGCATCGTCTGGTCCTCCCGGTTCTGCGCAGTGGATGATCTCCCATGATGCGTAGCGCCAAACACGCGTGTGTGGGTCTCACACACGTGCGCAGAGGGGCTCGGCCGCGCTCTGACCAATCAGAGCTGTTGATCAGAGCGGGAGTTAGCGCGGGAGCCAGACGAGCAGAGTTTGTGGCACTAAAGTGTTGATTTAAAGAAAACCGAAGAATTTAAGAAGAAAAGAATATCAGGATAACAAGGGACACTAAAATTCCCACAAAACCCGACCTTTATGAAAGCTGTAGGTTCTCTGTCAGCTGAGGTTGAGCTGTTTGAGTTTACATTGAGTTCTATGAGGAACATTTCTGGGTAGCCCACATGAATTTAGTCTGGTTCAGTCTGCAGTACCGCGAGAATCCCCCGAGCACATGAGTCCTTCAGCTCCAAGCTAGTAATACCCTATCCAGTTATTATAATAGATCCATGGTGGCAGTTCTCATTGCCACCCCCCGACCCAGAACTGTAATAATAAAGGGGCAGAAAATGAATGAAAAAATGAATGAAGAAAGAGGGCCACATGACATAACACAGAGGGCCGCAATTTGTCCCCGGGCCATGGTTTTGACATACCTGGTGTAATGTCTAATTTGTTTTTCTTGTAAATGTATTGTGTTTCCATTCACACTCATTAGCACAGTGACACTTTTTTAATGCTTTTTAACTGTTTTACTGTTTGAATGCATACATGCTTTTTATTGTAAAGCACTTTGGTCGCCTTGAGTGTTGAGGAGTGATTGATTCCTCCTGTAACATACTAAACATTTACTCTGTGTTTATGACTTTATTCGTTCTCTTCCTTCAGTACCGTGTCTGGTGGAAGGGCCTCTACGGGAAGAACTTGTTCAATGACGACGAGGAAGTTTCAGAACTTTTGGTCAAAAAATACAACAGCGACAGTGAAGATGTGATGAACAACATAACGCCGCGATTAGCAACTTAACTGTGTCCTTCGTCATGTCAGAAGAGGGACTGTCCTGGACCATTCAGATCTGCAGCTGTCAGAGGTTATAGGCCACAAATAAGAGCTAAGATGAGTTGGTGAAGGAGAAAGAAAAGGGGATTTTCTGTCACTGAGCTGAACCCCATCTAACTGTCACCACGGGGCCAGTCAAGACACCTGCTGAGACCATGAGACCACACAGAGCCATGTGGGCCACAGGCTCTTTACTTGAATTTAAACAGTAGTTGTGTGCTTTATATTTATGTACATCCATTCATGTGTAATATGTCATCACTTGTGATTTTTATTTGATTTAAATATTTAAGACTTTCAAATAAAAGTTTGACTAATTTAAATTGAGAGCAGAAATCATTTGATTATTCAGTTTAAATAATTACACATACTTTGTATTATAGCATTGAAAGTATAAGTTCACAGTGAACGTTGGATTAATGCTGAAGACTTCTTGTAGTTCTTGAATGTTAAGGATCTATAATGTTAAGGTTCTTTAATGTTACGGTTCTAACATTATAAAGTTATATAATGATGCAGTTCTATAATGTTAAAGAACTTCTCACCCCCGCTCCTGGAGGCTTACGTCACTCACATTTTCTTTTCAAATCTCCCTCCAAATGGGCGTAGCCTGGAGGACTAAAGAAGACAGGCGGGGGGGTGAATGTTGGGCGGGTCTAAGCTGTGATTGACACTTGACATCAGCATTGGCTGTGACTAGGGTTGCCAACCGTCCCTTGAAATACGGAATTGTCCCGTATTATAGAAAAACTATGTGCGTCCCGTATTGAATGGATCCTAGACGCCTTTTGTCCCGTATTTTCAGAGCCACCTTAAATGCATCACTCACTCACTGAATGTCGCGCGTCACAGTTTAAGCGTCTACCTTTCGGCCAATCAGTGTCAAAGGGGCGTAGGCTTGATCACATACATTGGCTTAATGTTGACAGTCGCCAGCGTGGGCCGTGCCCGCAGCACCATCACGGTAGAAGTTTGGTAAAATAGCGTCATATTCCCAGATTCGGACTTTCCGCGGTCAATAGCTCACAAAAGCTACTTTGTTAAACAAAAGTAATTGTGTTCAAATGATCGTCTCTACGTTGATTTTTCAAATTCAATGCGCTGTTTTGATGCAGAGAAATCCATTGCTGCAAGCGCCGAGAAAATTGCTAAGGGAGCGTCAACAAATAACCCAGCTTTGTAAACGAACAATAGCTTTTACTGAAGCCATGTACACGCACAAAACTCTCAGACTATATAAATATTGACCATATCTAACTGCTGCGGACTTTGATTTAGCTTTTACAGTAAATGGTCTTTACTGTAACATTCATAAATAATGTATGTTACAGAATTTGTCTTTTATATATATTTTATTGCTAATAAGAATGCATTAAGTCCTTGAGCAGCCAAAGAGTTCCACCTATTTATTAAATTTCAATTTTGACTAAGGATTTATATATATATATATATATATATATATATATATATATATATGGTGGGCGACAGTAGCTCAGTTGGTAGAGCAGGCCAGAAGGTCGTGGGTTCAATTCCCACCTCTGCACCTTCTCCACCGACTCCCACTGATGACTGCTGTCGTTGTGTCCTTGGGCAAGACACTTAACCCCACTTTGCCCAAAAGCCCCCACTGAAAGATCAAGGCTATGCTCACACTCAGAGAGCAGCCGTCCTCCTGTGGTCTCACCACCTGCAGAGGGTCAGTGAGGGGCTGGTGCTATGAGACTTGGGTGGCATCTCTGATTGCCACCCCCCTGACCCAGAAATGGATTAAAGGGTAGAAAATGAATGGATGGATGGATATATATATATATATATATATATATATATATATATATATATATATATATATATATATATATATATATGTAGTCAATAAAATACATTCTAAAAACTGTGATTATGAAATTCCATGACTCCTGTGTAGATTGAAATTAGGCCTAAAAAGTGCTCAACCCAATCCACCCAAATGGTGTTCCTTATTTTTCTGTTCTCAAGTTGGCAACCCTAGCTGTGACAAAGATGGAGAGTGATCACACACGCCAGCTTTATAGTTTCTGTGCGGTCTTATGGTGCATTCAGACCGCAAACGCTCAAACGCTGAAGCCCCGCTCACCAGACGCGTATTTTCTAGTTTTCAGACGCACAGGTCTTCACACCAGAACGTCCTGGTCAGCGCCGGAAGCAGGCTATGATGCTAACAGGGTTTAGCTAGCGGCTTCTTGTGTACAGATATATATCCAATATGCAGCTTTGCAGCGTGCCTGTGTCCAGAGACCTTCCACGGGCTTTATATAACAGTAGTATGTGTTCACTGAGGTGCACCATACGTGTTTTCATATTATTAAACGGTATTTCCGCATCGGCGAGCACACTCGAAGCAGCTCAATAAGGTCACAGGAGCATGACAACGCATATTTTCACAAGCACAGAGTCCCCCATTGTCAACCCTGGTTTGAGTTCTGGTGAAGCCTGGTGTGACTCCTGTTTTGGCTGTTTACGAGTATTTTCAGTCTGCTCGCTCAGTCCGCTAATGTCCCCGTGACCACTTTGCAGCTCTCTGATTGGTCGCTGCACAAACGTCCCAAGGAAAGGATGAGCAGAATCCATCTCCTGTGGGCGTCCATTTTCTGCTCCTGCTCCTCCCCTTTGACTTTCCCGCCAAATCCGTGCGTTTCTACTGAGCGGTCCGTGCGTGTGTGCCAAGAGGTCCATGGGTTTTGACGCTCGAACGCGCGTCACCATTGACTTTGCATTGAAAGCAGACGCAACCCATGATCCGGTCTGAACGCGGCATTAGGAGGTGGAGGACTTCTCTCCACCGTCCTCACCGGAGGTTGAGAGAGAGGAGGCAGACGGTGGCCCTCAGCCCTATCAATTTGAGTCGCTGGCTCACAAGCTAGCGCCGCTAGTAGAGCTAGCGGCTCGCAAGCGAGCTAGCGGCCATTTATCATTTATATACCTCAGGGAGGCAGGGCAACTGACGTAAGGAGCCACTGCTGCGCCAATGTTGGCGCCAGATTCAAAATTCAAATGTAGTAAATACATGTCGCCTGCAGATGGCGCCTCACAGACGGTTTTAGGCAGAAAGTTGATCTTTCAACTAATTTGCACCAAAAGGACAAAATTATGAGCAGGATATGTAGACAACACTATTGGACACTCGTTTATACCGTTTATCAGCAAAAAAAAAAAAAAAGTGGATTTGAGGGTAAGTTGTCCTTTAAGCTGAGGCTCCCACGGTGGGCACGTTTGCTGCTGTGTAAGATTCCTTTATCATCTGATTTCAAAGAAATAGTGAATCTGCGGTTCCACGTGTGACAGAGTTTCCCAGAGTTTCACTGAGAGCAGTGCACGCGCCCAGGTGACAGGAGCGCGCACAGCAGGGGCAGGTGCTTCCCCTCCGCATCCGTGCGCCGCCCCGGGGGGCTGCCTTTAGCTCTGTCTGAGATGGAGACAGCGCTGAGGACCAGAGCAGCAGGAGTCCTCAGTCTCATCAGTCTCATCAGTCTCATCAGACTCAGACTCATCAGACTCATCAGACTCATCAGACTCATCAGTGCACTGTGGATATGAACTCTGAAGAGTACGGCGGCTCGGGCAGCAGTGGGAACGGCAAACTGCGCCAATGGCTTATAGAGCAGGTGGAGAGCGGGAGGTACCCGGGCCTCGTGTGGGAGGACGAGGACAAAAGCATCTTCAGAATCCCGTGGAAACACGCGGGGAAACAGGACTACAACAGGGACGAGGATGCTGCGCTGTTTAAAGTAAGACACGGTCCTCTCACTGACCAAAGAGGACACAAGAGGCTCTGGACCCACACGGACTACACTCACTCCGTGTTCCATGTGTCCGCAGGCCTGGGCTCTGTTTAAGGGAAAGTTCCGTGAAGGCATCGACAAACCAGACGCACCGACGTGGAAGACGCGCCTGCGCTGCGCGCTCAACAAGAGCAATGACTTCGAGGAGCTGGTGGAGCGCAGCCAATTGGACATTTCAGACCCATACAAAGTCTACCGCGTCATCCCAGAGGACGAGAAGAGAAGTAAGACATGACAGTCATACTGACAGAACATAACATGAGTAGTTTTAATGTAATGTTTAGTTCTGGCTTCTGTTTCAGGACCCAGACCAGAGGACAGTCCACAGAGTCCCATGTTGTACCCTGTGCCGTCTCCTTACCCCGGCCTGCAGACTCAGGTGATGAAACTTATCTGGTGCATCAACAATAGTTTCTAAGATTATGATCAATGTTGTCTCTTAATCTTCAATCAAATAGATTATTTTTCTAAACATGTGAGAGATGAACAGCCATGATCATGTTTGTGCAGATGCAGCCTTACATGGCGTCTCCTGCAGAGTGTGGATGGCGGGAGTACTGTCAGGAGCAGGAGATGTCCTACCCTCAGTGTCTGTGGACCTCTGCTCCTCCTGTGGACACAGGTACAGACCATCCATCACTGGTAAAACTATAAACCTTCATTCACTAACTCTCCCACACTATGTACGTGCAGGTTACCAACTACGGGCCTCCATCTATTCATTTGGTCCCTCTGATGGGCAGCAGTTTCCTTTTGGCCTGGACCCCACCATACGACCCACAGAGCCTCTCACAGGTACCAGCACTACAGAAATAGGCCTAAAATAACTACATCAACAACAACAGGATCAAATCTGGGAATGAAATGTGTTGATGTCCAAATAAAACATGTGGTTTTTCTTCTCAGACCCTCGACTTCATGTGCGTGTGTTCTACCAGGACGCACTGGTCAGGGAGGTCACCACGTCCAGTGTCAAAGGCTGTCACCTCTCCCCGTGTGGCCCAGAGGGAAAGTACTTTGTGCCTCCAGGAGGGCCAGAGTTTGTGCCCGTCCCTGACACGAACATGTCCCCCAACAACTGTGAGGACAGCCCCCCGAGCCCCTCATGCAGCCTACACCAGGGTCTGCAGCTGTGGATGGGCCCTGACGGCCTGTACGGTCAGAGGCTGTGCTCCAGCAGCGTGTACTGGCAGAGTGGACTGTCCTCTTACGGAGACAAGCCCAACAAGCTGGAGCGGGACGTCCCATCCCGACTGCTGCACACTCAGGAGTACCTCACAGGTGAAGCAGCTACACACGTGTCCTCGCAGAAATATAATTCAACAACTTTTTCAAAGCAGTAATGAGTCAGCAGACTGTTAGTCACATGACCACAGAGGTTTGCTCAAATCCCACCCACATGCTCTGCACATCTGCCATCTGAGATGCATTTACATAAAGAATGGTGCAGGACTTTCCAGACAGACTTTCCCCAAAGGTCACAACACTCACAGTGGGTTCTTCTGAATATGTGTGAATATCTGTGTCCTCAGAGCTCCAGGGCCTGGGGCTGCACGGGCGGCTGCTGCCTCGCTTCCAGGTGCTCCTCAGCTTTGGTGAAGAGTGTCTAGATCCTCAGAGACAAAGGGCAGGTCTCACAGTCCAGGTCAGACATGACATATACTGTATTTACTGTCAGAAGAAGACTTTTGTTACTCTCACAATCACAGTAGCACTGCCTGAAACTAGTGAGAGGACTAGAAACAAAACGAGTGAAAGTAACTTCAGTTTCCAATGTTCAAAGTCATCATAAACTTTACCCCCACATAAACCCCCCCGCCCCCCCAACATCAACACTGAAAGCATCACATCAGCTGAAAGAGGAGGAGGAATCAGCTGTGCTCATTAAAGGGCATGTCCCCTAATTCTTATAATAAATAAATCAAACATAAACATCTTTCTCTCATTATATGAATAAATAATACTTACATACATGCTAATTATTTACTGCAATGACTTTGTAAATACTTAAAACATGCAGATCCCTCAATACAAGTTTTACAATCAAAAAGCGCTGAAAACAAACCATAATTGGATGAAGAATGTGTTGTGAATATTAGTGATCATTCCTTCAAAACAATTTACAATGTGAAACCAAAATATGACATCATTGATACTGAGCAGATGGTGATTTATAAAAAGTATTTTTGAAAATTGACTTTTAGCCATAATTATCAAAATTCCAACAATGTAATGTTTCTATAACATATCTTCACATTTGAAGTTTTTCTTTTTAATTTCAAAAATAATTATTTTCTGAGTGTCACCTGTATTTCTGTTGAAAGTATCCCATGCAAATGCTGTTGAACAGTATCCAACATCAGGTGACATGGTCCAACAGGCCCCTGCTGAAATCAGTTGTAGATAATACATATAATACTTCATATATAATGCACTCTGTCCTCTCTGGAGAGCAGTTTCAGTGACAGACTTTTTCACCCTCACTGTGTGAAGTAGAGGTTCTGCAGGTCTTTCCTTCCTGCTGCTGTCAGACTGTACAATGAGAACTGCTGAGTCTGTAAATAAGTAAATACTGCAATCATGCGCAATATGTGCAATACTGCAACTTCAGAATGTCACTGCCCTATACTGTATCACATATCACTTTGCACTATATTGTATATATAGATATTTTCAAAGATTGATATTGAAGCATTTACAGCTAAGAAACAACAACTACTTTTATATTTTATAATAATAATAATGCATCGGTTTTATACAGCGCTTTTTTGGACACACTGACTCTTCACTTGTCATTATTCTGTCACTCCATACACGGTGGTGAGAAACTACTACTGTAGCCACAGCTGCCCTGGGGCACACTGGGACACAAAATATTTTTAAAACATTTATATTTTGTGTGCTCCCCGTGTCTCTTACTACTGTCCTGTCTGTGCGCTGCAACATTGAAATTTCCATTTCCAGGTGGAGCCTCTGCTTGGACACCAGCTTCTGTACTACACTCAGCAGAGCAGCGGCCACTACCAACGCGGATACGAGTTCACTGGAGACCCCGAGCGCTGTCCCCAACCCCCGGACCCCCAAAGACCAGCCCTCACACACCCCCACCACCACCACCACCACCACCACCACCGCAGCAGCAGCAGCAGCAGCAGGACTGACCACTGCTGAGCCTACTGACCAGAAAGAAGTACTCATGGACCTCTCAAAGACCGTGTTTTGATTTACATAACTCTCTGTACCCTCAGCCATTTTATATGAACTCAATCTGGTACTGATTCTGGTCCCATTCTCAGAACGGCCTCCATAGAGTGCCAAAAATCTACTTTAATCTGACAATATTGTAATATTCAATTCAATGTATTTTCGTATAGCCTTATAGTTGTCTCTAAGGACAGGAGTTGTTGATTCCTCAAACAGAAAACACAGAAAATACAATAACAAACACATCAGAACCATTGGTCCATAGGGAGAAGGATGATCCATGTCCATAAATGTTGATAAACGTCCATAAATGTCCTTAAATGTCTGTATCAACAAGGAATCAACAAGGAACAACTCAAAAACCCAGTGGGGGAAAAGTGAGAGACCTCAGGGAGACCCACATTGTGCTTGGACTTGAATGAGTATGTTATATATTATTGTACATTGAAATATTTTTTTTACATGACACTATATTAGAAATTCTTGTGTAAACATGTGATTTCCGGCACTGAATGTGTGAAATATCTCAGGGAACTTCATAAGCTTTGCATTATGTTCTAACGCTGAGTAATGCGCTGAAGACAGAGAAACCTGCAGTGAAGACAAACACACAAACAACAAACGGCTACAGTGCCCAAACTGTAAAGAGGAAGTGTGGTTAGTTGTGCGACGCTTAAACATCAATGACATCAAAGGAAGGACTCTCTCAGGTCTTTCCTCGCTGCTCGAGCTCAGACTAAGTTGACACCACTCAGGGTTCGGGAAAACTATTTACTCTGAGATTGGGGGAGTCCTCATGCGAGTCACAATGAGCAAACTAAAGATATTTTTCATAGGGCAGAAGGAGGCCTAACAGTGGGACAAAGACAATTCTCAGAAAGTCATAATACGTTGAAAAGTCCCCAGTTCTCTCCAAACATGCTGATGTAGGTGGGTGCAAAAATGGAGGGTGGGTTTTAACTCTTTGCCTGCTATTGTCATCTTTTTGTCTGAGACTGGGGACTTTATTCCCTCTACTTGACTGGGGATTAGAGGAGGACGAAAGAAGCTAAAAACAAACATATTTTTGATGAAAGTTGGCAGTTCAGTCTTTCAGAAAATGGTTTCAGATTTCACATAATCATAGCACACAATATTCGGTGGGACTTAAAAACCAGTGAAAATCCTCAAAAATGGCTGGCAGGCCATGATAGAGTCAATAAGGTGTTATGTTTTTATACTTTTATGCATGTGTGTGTGTGTGTGGATAGTTTTTGACTTGCACGCCAGACCATTTAAAACACTTGTGTCTTGGGTATGAGAGAAAGGAGAGAGGCCGTCGCTACGAACAAAGGAGCGAGACAAGAGCCTGTTTTAGCCTTCTTTTAGCCAGTTTTTAACCCCTTTTTGACTTAGGTTTTTATTGCTTTCATTTGTTTTTTGCGGATTTTATATTAAATAATGTTTTAGTTGCTTTTAATCGAGTGGTCCTCTTCTGTTTTCCACCTCTGACGTTAATATTTGATAATTTTGCTTTGTGTGAGGTGCAAAAATATACTGTCCGCGCTACACTTTCTTTTGACAAATTTAACACATTGAACCTAATCTGGGTTAGGTGGTGGGTTCGAATCCCCCACAACTCATGACATCTGCTCCCATTGAAGTCTGCTGTTGCTGTGTCCTTGGGCAAAACACTTAAGCCCACCGAAACACCAAGGCCGTGTCTTCGTTGACCCAGCAGCTGCAGGAGGATCAAGGAGGGGCAGATCCTGTGAGGACTGGATGCAGCTCAGATTGCCAACCCCCCGACCCAGAAATGGAATAATAAAGGGGATGACAATGAAAAGAAATGAATGAATGAAAGTTTGACTAAGTGGGTTACTTTTTACTTTTGACTGCCACTTTTTATTAATGTATTTTATACCTGTTGAAGGGGGTTTGTTTTAGCCATTTTGTACCTTGTTGGGGGCGGAGCCACTTTGTTAAAAGCTCCCAAGTGAACCTCATCAGGGAGACACACCACAGGCACAGGACTGTTTGGTTGCTTTTGTCCACAATAAATTAATTAATACGAGTTCTGCCGTCTAATTCGGGCCAGCTTCACCACAGAAAGTTTAACACAGAGGTCAAAAGGCGAACCTTTTTCTCAAGTGTGAGGCGATATCATTCATGACTTTTTCCCACTAGACTGAAAAAAGTATGTGAATGAGTGGAAGCAAATTCATGGGGGGAAAAAAGTACAATAATAACACGATACTTGTATGTCTTTACAACAAACGATGAGGATTAACAAACACTGCTGACCTAATATCAGAATGTGCATTATAGATCCACATGTGTCACTGCTGCTTACAGATGTAAACATACTTCTATTGCACTAGAATACACAGTACTTTATACTTGCTGGTGCTTATTTTGCCAAAGGTAGAGATTTATACTTCTTTATTACTGATAATGATAGAGATTATATACTAGTTTCTTTTGATGCTAGAGTTAGAGATATTATTTCATTTCATTATAGAAGTTCTTGTGCTGTGTGCTTCTCATTCCTACTGTTCAACACCAAAACTTCCCTGCTGTGGGACAAATAAATGATGTTTTCATCTTAATCCAATCTGATTTCATAGAAAATCAGATTGGGGTTTATTCTTTGAACTGTGTGAATGAATTTGTGGGTGGACAAGTTTAGAAACAGAAACACAGAGAACCTGCTTTGATCTTTCCTCCACATCACTATAGATTAAAACTATACAGTATGATGTATGACTGAAACCAAAGTGAAAATTTGAAGTATTTGTAAGATACATTTTTTTGTCTAGTTTCTTGTGTTTGGATCATTTCCTCTTAAACCTTGACACTGTTTTTTCCCGACCTCAAGTGGAGTTAGTCATAGCTTTGTCTAGCATCAGTTAAAAGAACCACAACCAGAATTGTGAATGCGCCCATTCTTTCCCCGCAGTCTGGTGTGGGACCTTGTCTGAAAAGTGGCACAAAAACGGCTCTCACCCCCACCCTGACCACGCCCTGCTCCCCATAACCGTAACCATCACACGCCACGCTGCTCGAGAGGCACTCCACGAATGATTGTCTGGAGTCTCATTTCTGGCTCTATCTTTTCTGTGGGTCTTTTTACTTTTTAGTATTTGATTTAGTATTTGATTTTCCTTGTTCGTTTTTGGGCGGCACGGTGGCCCAGTGGTTAGCACTCTCGACTCTCAGCAAGAAGGTCCTGGGTTCGAATCCCGATCGGACCAGGGCCTTTCTGAGTGGAGTTTGCATGTTCTCCCCGTGTCTGCGTAGGTTTCCTCCGGGTACTCCCTACCACTAAAAATATGTACAATAGGTCTGGCATGCGCCTCCTGTTCAGCAATCCCGCTCCCATCTCTGTGTGGAGTGAGAGACAAATGCCCAAAAATAACAATTGTAAATTGCTTTGAGACTCTGGTCTGTGAAAGGCGGTATATAAATGAAGACTACTACTTGTGTATCCTTGTGATTTAATGTGATCCAACACGGATTACTTGTGTAGTTTGTTTCTTGTAAGGGGTTGGAAAGGATCCAAACATTTTTAGAGCGTTGTTTATAAACTAATGCGATTGCTAATCTTCCTGGGGTCCCAGTTAAGACATAATGTATTACATAAAATATATATACAGTTGGTCCAAAGCAGCCTGAGAGACAGACAGCGGTCAGTCTGCATGGAACAGGTAATATATCCTATAGGCATGTGTGTACTGCAGCAGGAGGATCAGGTGCCAGGGGCCAGTTCAATCACTGAGAGCCTAAAGACTGTTTATGACAGTTGATCCTTTACACTATTTTACACCAAAATACTTTGTCATGCAACCGTATGTCACGCTACTATTTCATTATGACAATGTATTATCATTAACTACAATGTATTATCCCATATACAGTGTAGTCACGCCTATCTCTGCTGTCCAAACTAATGTTCCACCACTTAAGCCTTTTGTGGGCTTTTTCAAAATGGCCACGGGTCAGGAATATATGAAAAAAACGCATTTGTTCATGTGTTAGCAGCACTAGCCCCACTGATTTAACAAGTGCATTCTGAAGTCCACAGCGGCTAAATTAGACTGGTCCAAAAAAACAAAAAACAAACTGCCCTCAGCATTGACAGCTTCTGGAACCAAGAGCGACTTTTGGAACATCCTGTAAAAATGTTTTCCAGAGAAACAAAGACGCCATACCAAAGCATTGGGTAATTCTCTTTCCGGGTACACCCCCACCGGCAAGGAGGGATTTGCCAATGGAACCAAGCAAATTGTCATGTTTTAAAAAGATACAGGAAATGTCTCCCTTGGAATGAGAAAATAAAGCAATAGCCCTTGAAATAAGACTAATCGGCTTTGTCCCACTGGCAAATCTTGTTTTAACACAGTCAGAATGTGTCAGATTAAGATAATTTAAAAAAAAAACACAAAATTCAAGCAATTTTACCTCATATTTTATCATTTTTTTGCAGTTTAAGTTTTCTGTTGTTTTCTATGGCCACATAAAAACAATAGACACTGAACACAATCATTCATTAGTCATACTTTTATTATGTTCGTGGACATTTACTGTCAGTGATTAGCATAACACACACATGGGACTGTCCTGCACGGTAACAGTCAGATCCACCCATTCAGTGTGAAACAGAAGGTGGTGAGGCACAATGACTATAGTGACAAAAGACAATAGATAAAGTGATTGTAGTTTTATCTCTTAATGGGCTGGACGGAGGACGGCTGGAAGCAGGTGAGCTGCAGCTGCATCGAGCTCTTGAACTTGTTTAACAGCTCTTCCAGTAATCTACGACAATAAACAGTAAATACACATGAACAGAGGCCAATGGGAGATATTGGGATATAAAAAAAAAAAAAACATACTTCTTATCAGCCCCGCTCTGAAGCTGTGGAAGGGTGTCCAGAGCATATTTGAAGTTCACACTGTAAGCACAAACAACAGTTTGTATCAGTACAGGAGAAATATAGCTATTTGTCAGAAATACAGTAGTTGGATAGTGGACGTCTCATAAAGTAGTAGTTTTATGACATAACAATATAACCCAAATACAATAGCTGTTGTTATCCCTTTGTTGTTCACTAATTGTATTTTCTAAGATGTATTAATAATAATAATAGTAATGCATTGGTTTTACAGTGTTTTTCAGGACGCTTCACATCCTTATCCTTTCACTCCATTCACAGTGACTACTGTAGCCACACCTGCCTTGGGGCCATCGGTCCCTCCCACCACCACCAACCATTCACACACACCACTCATTCTAATTTGGGGGAAAGTGTCTTGCCAAAGGACACAACCACAGTTTGCCACTTTACAGCCTCAATCATGAAGGACACTTACAGGCTTTTAGAGTTCAGGTAAGCACAAATGGCATCTTTCAGAGCACAGATTTCTAGACGAGCCTGTGAATGACAAATATGTAAACCACAAAACCCTGTACAAAGACAATTTGTTGACGTTAGAGTCCTGGCTTTAACTTTGTACCTGCAAAGCTCCGTTCTTGCTGAAGGAGGACACACACTGCATCAGGCGACACATCTCATCTGCAACGGACTCCACGATCTGAGACAAAACCCTTGGTACCAGATCTTTCGAAACCGTGAAAACCTGAATGTGAAAATGTCACAATGTTAAAACAATAATCATTTGTTCCTATATTAAAGTTGTTTACGTTACCTCGGCATGAACTGCAATTATATTAACCAAGGCCTCTTTCAAGTAGTTCCTTACACCTGAGAAAAAGTTGAAAAAGCATCCTGAAAATCCAATTGTGGAGAACAACGAGAATCAAATCAAAGTAACAGTTTTTCTGTTTTTGTGCCGGTCTAAGGTAGCGTATCCTAAGTATGTTTTGAAAACTCTTCCCATTTCAGTAGTACTTCAAACACACAGGAACTGAACGATCTGCACAATCCCAGTTGGAACAAGACCAGGTGCTCCGGTTTCCCCTTACACTATAAACATGTAAACTATAGAATCCCTCCAGCGTGGTCCAGACCAAGCGGAGCATCACCATCTGGAGATGGGTCTGTAGAGGCCTGTGCTCCTGACAGAGGTGTAACAGGAGCGCTCAAAAGCATTTCCTACGAGGACAATAAAGTTAAACTTATTTGAACAAACTCTTACAAAGAACATTATGATATAAGTCTGGGTGAGACCCTTCACATGGAGTTCACTTTAACCACAGGTTAACCACAGGTTAAAGTTTTGCAGACACCCACAACCCTTACCCTATCGCACAACCAAACTCTAAAGGTCATGGCAACAACATGCTCGGGGCTTACGACAACTTCAAAGGTCAAATTTACAAAACATGTGACAGTTTTTCTCATGGCAATCACACAACAATAGACCATTTCAACTGATTCTTATTGTATACATTTGTACTGAGTCTGGCAGTTTACCCAGTCGTGCTGTGTGTTGTGTTTTGATTCTCTGATCTGTGTCGGCTAATTGACAACTTTGTAGAGTCTCCAACTGAACTGAGGCTAAAGTAACGACGGAATGAATTTCACATTTAAATGCACTTCCATAAAAGGATAGCATAAAACAAAGGTCTCAGAGGTGTGTCGTGTGTATAGTTGTGTGTATTTGTGTGTCATGTGTATAGTTGTGTGTATTTGTGTGTCATGTGTATAGTTGTGTGTATTTGTGTGTCATGTGTATAGTTGTGTGTATTTGTGTATTTGTGTGTCACGTGTATAGTTGTGTGTATTTGTATAGTTGTGTGTATTTGTGTGTCACATGTAAAGTTGTGTGTATTTGTGTTTCACATGTATAGTTGTGTGTATTTGTGTGTCACGTGTGTGTTTACAGTGCGAAAGTATTCGCCCCCCTTGAACCTTTCAACATTTCGCCACATTTCAGGCTTCAAACATAAAGATATAAAAATTAATTTTTTTTGTCAAGAATCAACAACAAGTGGGACACAATCGTGAAGTGGAATGAAATTCATTGGATAATTTAAACTTTTTTAACAAATAAAAAACTGAAAAGTGGGGTGTGCAATATTATTCGGCCCGCTCGCGCTAATTTCTTCCAGAATGGTCCTGTATTTGGCTCCATCCATCTTCCCATCAATTTTAGCCATCTTCCCTGTCCCTGCTGAAGAAAAGCAGGCCCAAACCATGATGCTGCCACCACCATGTTTGACAGTGGGGATGGTGTGTTCAGGGTGATGAGCTGTGTTGCTTTTACGCCAAACACATCGTTTTGCATTGTGGCCAAAAAGTTCCATTTTGGTTTAATCTGACCAGAGCACCTTCTTCCACATGTTTGGTGTGTCTCCCAGGTGGCTTGTGGCAAACTTTAAACGAGACTTTTTATGGATATCTTTGAGAAATGGCTTTCTTCTTGCCACTCTTCCATAAAGGCCAGATTTGTGCAGTGCACGACTGATTGTTGTCCTATGGACAGACTCTCCCACCTCAGCTGTAGTTATCTGCAGTTCATCCAGAGTGATCATGGGCCTCTTGGCTGCATCTCTGATCAGTCTTCTCCTTGTTTGAGATGAAAGTTCGGAGGGACGGCCGGGTCTTGGTAGATTTGCAGTGGTCTGATACTCCTTCCATTTCAATATAATTGCTTGCACAGTGCTCCTTGAGATCTTTAAAGCTTGGGAAATCTTTTTGTATCCAAATCCGGCTTTAAACTTCTCCACAACAGTATCTCGGACCTGCCTGGTGTGTTCCTTTGTCTTCATGGTTCTCTCTGTGCTTTAAACAGAACCCTGAGACTATCAAAGAGCAGGTGCATTTATACGGAGACTTGATTACACACAGGTGCATTCTATTTATCATCATCAGTCATTTAGGACAACATTGGATCATTCAAAGATCCTCACTGAACTTCTGGAGTGAGTTTGCTGCACTGAAAGTAAAGGGGCCGAATAATATTGCACGCCCCACTTTTCAGTTTTTTATTTGTTAAAAAAGTTTAAATTATCCAATAAATTTTGTTCCACTTCACAATTGTGTTCCACTTGTTGTTGATTCTTGACAAAAAAATTTAATTTTATATCTTTATGTTTGAAGCCTGAAATGTGGCGAAATGTTGAAAGGTTCAAGGGGGCCGAATACTTTTGCAAGGCACTGTATGTTCCACATGTTTGTTGGGTTACCTGTGGGTGCCTGACAATCTCTCCAATCAAAGTATCCAGCGTAAATGCCGGGCTCCAGGGCTCCAGCGATGGGGTCCGCTCGTCTCTCGATGTAAGCGTCAAAAAGTTTTCTGTCCAACTCTCGGACGGCTTCCACACTCACCTGAGAAAACACAACACTCAAATTAAGGACATTTATCCACATTTACAGACACTGATCACCCCGCTGCATATGTGTCCTGTGTGTTTGTTTTTATTTGCATGTTCTGTGTTAAAACTGATTCTCTGATTTATTGTTAGTGAACCATCTTTGTTTTAGGTTTGAATTTATTTAAATCTGAAAAACAGCAGATTTTACACTTTAGAATAGTAAAGACAGATACATTCTCCTTGTTGCTACTGTTGTGATATGGGGCTATACATGTACACTGATAAATTGAATTGAACTGAATTTCCAGGACTCCTTGACACAGTTGACACAGATTACTCATGAAGTGCAGTTGTTGTGAGTGGTCGATAAATGACCTTTTGGACTTAACAGAACTCTACTCATATTTCTTGTGATGAGAATTCTACTTCTTGTCTCTCAAAGTTTCAACTATTACTCATTAAAAAAAACATTGCCTGCTCCGAAAACACGACAGGTTTGTGTAAATCTAGTGTCACATACTCACCCGGGTAATTTTTTCAGTCCCGGTGAAGCCGTGTTTCTCAAAGTGATCTGCGAGGTTCAGGAAAGTGTGTCTCTCCAAATATTGGCAGTTGCTGAGAATGATGAGCAGACGCTGTTCCTAGAAGTAAAGAATGAATGTTGAAAACTGAACAATCATTATTCATATCAGGAGGATTCCAAAGATATACATTTGTACATTTACGTTGTTATTATTAAACTGTGTTTTAGGGACAGCCCAAACTTTATTGTCAGATGGTTTGATGCAAATGCAATATTTTGCTTCCTTCACCTTCAATCATTTCAACCATTGGCCATGATTATTATCTCAGGGCAGGAAAAAAAGTAATGTATGTAAGTGATCTTTATTTATATAGCGCCTTTCACAGACCAGAGTCAAAGCAGTTTACAATTGTGGGCATTTGTCTCTCACTCCACACAGAGATGGGAGTGGGGCCAGTACAGGAGGCGCATGCCGGACCTATTGAACATAGGTCAATAGATGCAAAAAGATGCAGTCAATGATTCTTCCAGACGCAATACTGTGGGGAAATGTCCCTAAACCCCAAAAGTAGTACAGTGTTTTCAAATAGCAATGGGCACCTTTGGGACACCCTTGAATTGAAGCAACGTTGATCTTATATATGAGGCCCAAGCAAGCCCCAGTGACCCAAAATGGCGTCCTATTCAAATCAATGGCCTGTGCACAGTGGCGCATGTGCCACCATGGGCACCGAAAGATTAGCGGACAAGATCCCATGATGCTTTGCGCCAAATACGGATGTGTGGCTCTCATGCACGTGCACAGAAGGGCAGTGTTCTAACAAATCAGAGCTGCTGATCAGAGCTGACTTGGAGATGGAGACGATCAAGCAGAGTTTGTTGCACTAAAGTGAACAAGAACATAAGTTCAGGATGACAAGGGACACTAAAATCCTCACAAAATCTGACCTTTATGAAAGCTGTAGGTTCTCTTTCAGGTTCTCTGTCAGCTGAGGGCGAGCTGTTTTAGTTTACATTGAGTTCTATGGGACTTCTTTCTGGGAATCCCGCGTGAATTTATTCTTGTTTAGTCTGCAGACCCGAGCACATGGGTCCTTCAGCTATAAACTAGTAATACTTTCTCCCGATATCATTATAGCTTCATGGGCCCAAGACATTATACAGCAATAAAATATAAAATCATGCACTCAAATTTGTATTTCCTATCAACTAACCTGCCTACCAATCAATCTACCTATACATTTATAAAAGCTGCCTGTATCATACATTTATTAGATTGCTACAAAAAAGATGTATTTACATATCAGCTAGGATTGTTATAATTTAGAGTTTCTTTTTAAACATGATCATGGATAGAGTGGATTTTACGTCCTTTTCCAGCTCATTCCAAACTCGTGAGCCTTTACATGCTAAAAAAAAGCTTGTGCACTTTAGCTTTTCTCACAAGAAGTAAACAAACTCTGGTGAGCCGAAGCCGAGTGGCACATTTGGGTTTTGCGAGGGGAAGTCCCATGCATGCACCTTGCTCCATTTTCCTTTACCAGAAGTCAGAGGCGCACACCAAGCTTTTCCTCCTCCCTGACACTCAGACAGTTTACAGGAAACTAGGACACCTCTGTTTCTTGTCCCTCCAGGAAACAGACATGACAAAACGCCGTGGTTTGTGCGAGTTGAACCCACGCGTCAGGGACCGTGACCGCGAGCATCGGTGCCACTTCAGCTGAACACCAGAGTGACAGGAAACAATAGAACTTACAGCTGTGGGTCTCGACTCGTCCTGAACGCCACTGAAGCGCTCTGGAGACGACAGGTCCATGGCAACGTTGCTTTGAAACACAAATATTGGTTTGGTCATTTTCATACGTACTTCATTGGTTCACACTTTTATTTCTCCATAAAACATGAAAAATAGGCCTGAAAACCTTCCTTTGTAATCAGACCTATTAGACATATACATACAGTGCCTTGCAAAAGTATTCGGCCCCCTTGAACCTTTCAACATTTCAGGTTTGAAACATAAAGATATAAAATTTTAATTTTTTGTCATGAATCAACAACAAGTGGGACACAATCGTGAAGTGGAACGAAATTTATTGGATAATTTTAACTTTTTTAACACATTTAAAAACTGAAAAGTGGGGCGTGCAATATTATTCGGCCCCTTTACTTTCAGTGCAGCAAACTCACTCCAGAAGTTCAGTGAGGATCTTTGAATGATCCAATGTTGTCCTAAATGACTGATGATGATAAATAGAATGCACCTGTGTGTAATCAAGTCTCCGTATAAATGCACCTGCTCTTTGATAGTCTCAGGGTTCTGTTTAAAGCACAGAGAGAACCATGAAGACAAAGGAACACACCAGGCAGGTCCGAGATACTGTTGTGGAGAAGTTTAAAGCCGGATTTGGATACAAAAAGATTTCCCAAGCTTTAAACATCTCAAGGAGCACTGTGCAAGCAATTATATTGAAATGGAAGGAGTATCAGACCACTGCAAATCTACCAAGACCCGGCCGTCCCTCCAAACTTTCATCCCATGATCACTTTGGATGAACTGCAGATAACTACAGCTGAGGTGGGAGAGTCTGTCCATAGGACAACAATCAGTCGTGCACTGCACAAATCTGGCCTTTATGGAAGAGTGGCAAGAAGAAAGACATTTCTCAAAGATATCCATAAAAAGTCTTGTTTAAAGTTTTCCACAAGCCACCTGGGAGACACACCAAACATGTGGAAGAAGGTGCTCTGGTCAGATGAAACCAAAATCAAACTTTTTGGCCACAATGCAAAACGATATGTTTGGCGTAAAAGCAACACAGCTCATCAGCCTGAACACACCATCCCGACTGTCAAACATGGTGGTGGCAGCATCATGGTTTGGGCCTGCTTTTCTTCAGCAGGGACAGGGAAGATGGCTAAAATTGATGGGAAGATGGATGGAGCCAAATACAGGACCATTCTGGAAGAAAACCTGTTGGAGTCTGCAAAAGAACTGAGACTGGGACGGAGATTTATCTTCCAACAGGACAATGATCCAAAACATAAAGCCAAATCTACAATGGAATGGTTCACAAATAGACGTATCCAGGTGTTAGAATGGCCAAGTCAAAGTCCAGACCTGAATCCAATCAAGAATCTGTGGAAAGAGCTGAAGACTGCTGTTCACAAACGCTCTCCATCCAACCTCACTGAGCTCGAGCTGTTTTGCAAGGAAGAATGGGCAAGAATTCCAGTCTCTCGATGTGCAAAACTGATAGAGTCATACCCCAAGCGACTTGCAGCTGTAATTGCAGCAAAAGGTGGCGCTACAAAGTATTAGTGCAAGGGGGCCGAATAATTTTGCACGCCCCACTTTTCAGTTTATTTGTTAAAAAAGTTTAAATTATCCAATAAATTTTGTTCCACTTCACGATCGTGTCCCACTTGTTGATTCTTGACAAAAAAATTAATTTTTATATCTTTATGTTTGAAGCCTGAAATGTAGCGAAATGTTGAAAGGTTCAAGGGGGCCGAATACTTTCGCAAGGCACTTTATTTGTATATTTTATGTACTTCTGATGTTTTTGTTGCTTGTTTGTTGTACAGTATTTTAATATGGAGCAATTTGAGGTTGCCTGGAAATGTAAGGTGCAATACAAATAAAATGTATTATTATTATTAGCAAACATTTTATTTTTTCCTTTTCCCCCCTGACTATGCTCCTATGGAAACTGTCTATGGACCAAAACTGTCGAAAATGATAAATACATGAATAAATTAATAGATAAATGTCACAATCTGCAGATATTTAAAAAGACAAGACTACACTATTTATTTTAGTTTATATAATAAGTATGAGTGTAAATGAGAGAGTGAATGGATGGTGTTGGTTGGAGCTGATCGTCCAGTGTGTTCGGCGACTCGCTTCTGTCATCACCGTGTGTGGAATGATTAAAACAATATCTGAACTCTGAAACTCTGTAAAGCGCTTTGGGTGACCTTGGTCTGTAAAATGCACTTTAAAAATAAACATTACTTACTTACGTACTTACTTACTTACTTACTAATACAACGTTTTTGGTTCAAAATAAAATAAGATTATTTTTTTTGTAATAATTGGCAGATTGTAACATTTATTATTTGAGAGTTTGGGTCCATAATCCTCCCCTTGTGCCAAAACAAGTAAAATATAAAACAAGAAACAAAATTAAATTCAAAGAGAAATATAAGCAATAGAAGATGACTTCTTCTATGACATTATATTATTTATCAGTATGGCATCAAAAAGAATGTGATGTTGGCTTATTCCTCTTCTGCAGGCACCACATTTAAAAACATTCACACTTTTTGGCGTTTCACTGGATTTGGTTGAAGAGAAGCAGTCATTGAAAAGTACTTACAGAGTTGCATTGATTTCTGCATCAGTCTTTGTGCTTAAATGATCCAAGCAATTGACAAAAACCTGAGGAGAAAACCATTTTATACTCAGTAAATGGACTTTTGAACGATATTCTAATTTTTCAAGGTTGTTCTTCTTACTATGTGAAACTAATATACGACTCATCGGACAAAAAGAGAACCTTTTGTTAAAATGTTGATAATTGACTCACAGCTTTTAAAAACACCAAATAAACATCTGATTAGAATTATTTATCTATTGGTCTATATTAATGAATGAAAGGCTGGAAACAGCAAAGTCCTAAGTCAGAAATAGTCCTAAATTTACAGAAATAGATTTTTGAACAATATTCTACTTTTATGAGTTTCACCTGCGTTGCTGTGGTAAAATATTATAAAGGTGTGTAATACAAGCCCATTTATAGAAAAGTTTACCCTCATAATCTTCACGCTGAGCTCTGCGGCCTGATCCTGAACCTGGTCCACCTGCAACACCTGCAGAACAGCAACATAGAAAAGTTTAGACTCGGAAATTACATTATTTTGTAGGAAAGTAATGTATCTGGGACATTTAATAGACATAGAACAGTTTGATTCTCTGATGAGTGAACTGACAACTTTGTAAGCTCCTTCGAGATGACTGTGATTTAGGGAAATAAAAACTGAATTGAATTTAAAGGTGCAGTGTCTGTAATAACTCAGTCTATGATGAAGCCGCAGTTTGAAATGTGAAAACATTACAATACATTAGGGCTGAAGTCTGAGTGTGTAGCCTGCCAAACTACACACTTGACAACTGCTAGCTTCCCCAACAAACTAGCAATTAGCTAAACTCGACAGCCGTTGCATCACAGAGCCCTGGCTGCGTCCTGAGTCTTCTTTTACCACGCCTTTTTCCTATTTGAACTCGATTACTTTTGGGGCTTAGGGACGTTTCCCAAAGTATTTTTAAAAATTGCGTCCGGATAAATGATTTACAGCCCGAGAGAACCATACCAACAAGTATGGACGCCTTTATATACTTCCATTTTAATAAGACAAAAGATACATTACCTAATATACTTTAATTACGTTGTGAGATCAATAAAGTATATATTTTTTATTTATTTATGCATGACTTGCATTTATGCACCGAGAGCCAAAGCCATTTACTAGTTTGTGACTTGTTACTCACGTGGCAAGAAAATAAATTCTGATTTCAGAATAATGTGTTAGTGTAGCTGCTTACATTGATCTCTCCTGGTTTGATTTCCATGGGCTCTTTAAGGGACTGCAACATTTGGATTATACACTGTTCAAACTGTGACGGCTGCAGGAGAAGAAACACCAGTTATTAATAGTAAAATAATTGTCTGTTACAGAAATAATGATATAAATAGTGAGTTGTTACCAGGCTGGTGATTCCTTCATTGTCAACAACCCAGTCTTCCTTCTCAGCCAGCCGCTTTATATCTACATGGAGAAAAAGGAAAAGTTCAGAGCAAAAACATTTCTATGAGCAGAAATACAAAAACATCAAAATTAAAACATCAAAATATTTCATCAACTTTGCACTTTAGGCACCAAGAATCCAGGATACTTTCTATACAGCAATCTTTTACATCACTACTGTTTCATAACTGTGAAAATCATAATAGTGTGAAAAGACACCCTCAATATCAACTTTACATGTTCCAATCTGCACCAAAGTTGCAGAGTCAAATCTGTACATCCATAAGAGCAAAATATTACATTACGCTGAGGGTGCATGTTCCACGGTTGACCACCAGGGGCACATAGAATCCTTTCAAGCTTTTTTGTGCATAATTCTGGTCCGATCAGGCTGCAAATTCATTGGCAAAAAAACACTGTATGCCTCTCAATGGACTAGCGCCTGGGACATATTCTTCTTTTATTTATCCTGTTGCTGATTATAAGAATGAATTTTACAGGTTCAGGGCTCCATTTTATATTTCTGAAAACCAAAAGCACCTAAAGGATTCACACTTTAGCGGCACAGTGGCAGAGTGGATAGCACTCTCGCCTCTCAGCAAGAAGGTCCTGGGTTCGAATCCCGGTTGGACCAGGGCCTTTCTGAGTGGAGTTTGCATGTTCTCCCCGTGTCTGCGTAGGTTTCCTCCGGGTGCTCCGGTTTCCCCTACCACTAAAAATATGTACAATAGGTCTGGCATGTGCCTCCTGTACTGGCGACCCCTGCTCCCAAAAATAACAATTGTAAACCGCTTTGAGACTCCGATGTGCAGTGAAAAGGCGGTATATAAATAAAGATTACTACTACTACTACTACTTTAATTCAAGACTTGTGGCTTAAAAAAGTGGCTTAAAAAATAAGAAAACTTTGAATTGAAAACGTGACTTTGAATCTCAACAGAAACGAAAAAAAAATAAAAAAACTTCTGAATTAGTGGAAATTATATATTTACTTTCAATCAACTGGAACATGTTTGTAAATGTGAAATGTCTAAAACCAACAACAGCAGATCTACAACAGGCATCGTTACAGAATTGTTTATTAATGTGCACCGTCTCTAAATAAATGATAAAATACAGAAACAAACCTTCAGTGGTGGTGAGGAGTGTGACCACGAGACACTGCACTCTCAGATCCACCAGCAGATCCTGGAGCACCTGCAGGAGATCGTTTGGAATCTCCAGCATTGACAGAGCTTCATGACAACTCCTGTTCAAAACCAAACACACAGATTTACTCTGATGGCCTTCACTTCAGGTTCTAGATGAGGAGTGCTGGGTCGAGCGGCACAATTTTGACATCTAGCTGTGACTCTTTACACATGCAGGATATTCAAAGTCAGAAAAAAAGATCTAGCTTTTTGTTTTTTCAAGAATAAAAAGAAGGATTCACTGCAAAACATATGAAACATATAGTAAGAGAAGGCAATGACGTAGGTTTGGTTTCAGCTCTGGTGGGGACACAAATCTAAAATGTTAAATATAGTCATGTCCTGACCTGGATTCAAACTCCAGCCGCAAAACTAAACTCTCCCAACCCTAACCACTGGATCATAGGCAATACAAAATGAGGGACGATGAGCTCATGATTCTCTGAAGGAAAAATTAGCATTCTTTCCTCTTGTCTACTCACATATCACGACACACAGAGAAAGCAAATAACACGTTTCTTGACACTGTTTACATTGCTTCACTCAACAAGTGAACGTATAAGCTCAAAACACAAGCGAAAACAGCCAATCACTGCACAGAGATGAGCAGGTCACCTGCTGCTGCTGCTGCTGTTGCTGCTGCTGCTCTGGAAGCTATGATGTATAAACCCGGGACATCATCTTATATTTGGTGAGGACATTTATAGTCCTCCCAAAATACATGTCCCCGCAGTCCCCACGTAAACCTACGCCCTGGAGAGAAGGTGCGAATGCCCCACCACTAACAACATGTAGATTATGTAAAATCCTCAGCTCCCGCAGTCCTGGTCAAGTATCAACAACTGGAGATGGGTCCCCAGACCAGTGCTCCTGACAGAGGCCCTAGAGGCGATGCAGGACGGGTCAAATACAGAGGACAAAGCTTGTTCTATCTTCCATGAAATCTCCATAAAAGACTAAAATCATGAGAAATGTTGCCAGGATTGCCCCCGTTACCTGACAGTGTGAATGATCTGCGTCATCCAGTGTCCGGTCAGATCGGCCTTGTTCTCCCAGCCTCCATACAGACTCTGCTCATGAGGTGGGAGTGTGCCAGTGAGCAAAGCACCCCGGATTAGTCTCACCAGACGATGGGTCACCTCTTCTATCATTTTCTGTACAAGAGAAGGAGTATACAGTATAACCTTGAGCAGTCCAATGGCTTTTTGTTAGAGGAAATTGAAAAATAACCTTGAAGTCGTTTTGTCTCTGCCTGGCATTTTTCTTGGATTTTTCCACTTGTCCTGATTTTTCCCCAGTCTGGAACCAAAGTGCAGAAAAATACATAATGATAATGATAACAATATTAACACTAAACCTTATACAGCGCATCCACATAACAAAATAGTACATTGAATGAATTACCTCACTAAACAGACTTCCATTGACGTACGAGATCCAAAGCTTCCAGAAGTTTGGCAGTTGACCAATCACCACATCTGACAACTTCTCCACAAACTGTACCTGCTGAGGCGTTTCAAACCTCCAGGCTACACACACAAATGGGAAGTATAAGTATGAAGTATATACGTGTGTTCTGCCAAATCAATTTATTTTTAAAAAAGTAGACGAAACTGTGTTAGGGTACACAGAAGGTCAAAAAAACTGTATGTGTCGTAAACTGCATCTATGTGTAAATTATACGTTTACACCAAATTTCTGCTCCCACATCTCTCTTCATCTTGAAACTACTCCTTTTTTGCTGTGGTCCCTTAGAAAATGCTAAAAATATTTGCTTGGTTGGCCGATCGATCACCCGAACCTTAGTGTTTTTAAACAGATTTTGTTTCCAATTTAGCAGAAAAACATTCACATTGTTGCACACTTCTGTCTTTGGCACAAATCTGAGTGATTCTTTCTGTGCCAAATGTGACATGCACATTTCTCCAGTGTGAGATCAATAAAGTCTATCTTATCTTATCTTAAACTATCTCAATCTCTACAAGGATATAATCATAGTGTTTTTGATGTGTTGCACAGACATAAAGCTGGCGTATCCATAGGTTGAACATTTATGCTTTCCACCCACACTACATAATAATGAATCTTACTGCTGGGCCGTGGTGTTCGCAGGCTGCCCCCTCTCTTCAAGGAGGAGTAGTGGCCCAGGCGACTCAGAGCAGATGAACGGGTATCTCCCTCCTGCTCCAGAGCACCAACACCCACTGACACATAATGAGGGATCACAAGAAGGGCAAGAAGGAGAAATTAATTTCCAGGAGAAAAAGAAACACATACTTGAGATATATCAAATAAGCCATTTTCATAATTCCACATTCCACTATAAGCTCAGTGCGCTTGGACACCAAACAATCCTCTGTCAACTTCTCGGCCTCTCTTTATTTGTGTTCTGATCCATTTCTGCCCTGGCCCTCAGCTGAGAGAATGTCCCGTTGTTTTCAGTGTGAGGAAACAGCCCACAGCTCTGTAACCACTGGGGTGAACTGGGTTTACGAGGCCCACTTGGTCGCCATATGCTAGAAAACCACTAGATGGCAGCAGAGACTTGAGGGAGCAGGGGAAGAGAAGTCAATTTAACCATACACACTCCTGATACACACTATGATCAAGAAAGTAACTAACCAACATGGTGAACGTAAAAACATTTAGTACAGATATAGTTTTCTGCTAGAATTATATCAAAACAACAAAGTTTGTGAATGATCACAAAACGCAGACACAGGGCGTTTAAATGAAAAGCAATGAAGGGCCACATTTTCACATCACAAACCTGAAACACACTAAAATTGAAGTGGTGAGTCATGGTCGGGATGTGGTGTGAGAGCTAGGATTGAGAAATCCCCAAACCAAGCAATACATTTGGCTTTGCTGCACTGCAGTCGTCCAGACTGGGAAATGTAAGTAAATTCTTAATTGAGTTGGATTATGTAGTAAACATGTGAAGGTTTCTCATGTTCCACTTATGGCTCCATATGGAGCTGCAGAGAGACTCAAGTTTTGCTCTTTGCACACAGATGAGAGCTGCTGTTGATCCAGGTGTAGGCTGGACCCCTGGGGTCTGCTACAGCAGTGACGTTGGGTGGTATTGTCTGGATGTGCCTAAAGTCTTTCAGGATCATTTTCAGGCGAATAATTCATCTTACAGTATTACAGAATTAACATGATTTCCAAGTGTTTCCTGATCAAACTTTAGCTGTATCTTAAACACACCTCACTTTCTGGCATTTTAACCACACAAATAGTACAAAGTCTTCACGATCCATTCTTTATCTATCTGGATCTACATGCTCACTTAGCAGTGATAAACACTCTCCACAAAGAGGTGTTCTGGTTCTGCCTAAAATCACAACCGCATGTTTCCCAGAGGAAAGGATGGTCTCGGGGTCCCTCTAATTGTTCACTGACAAATCTATTTTCCAAGGAGCAAAATTTCATTCTAATTGTATTGACATTGGCAGATGAAGCAGTTTTGAGGAAATAAGAGAACTGCAGTTTATAATTGACTCCGATTGTGCGACACGGGAGTGTTTGGACATACGAAAGCAACTTGCACTGCTTTTCTTTTTATAGGGAAACGTCAGTGTCCTGAAAAGATGGATGAATCCATTTCACATTTTGGGCAATTTGCAAAGTAATTAAATTATTATAACTATACTAGAATGACCTTTGTGATGTCTTCAAACAATTTCTTTAATTTGCAGAACAAAAAAGACAATCTATCACAAAAGACTGATTCTTGCCATGTGTAAAACTGACACTAGTACAGTGAAAAGTGTTTTTTTTAAACTGAAAAACACAATGACAAGGTCACTATTTAAGAGGAACTGACCAGAGATGATATAAAACGAAAAAAATAAAATAAAATAAATCACACGAGTAAGTAAGTAAGTAAGTAATCTTTATTTATATACCGCCTTTTCACTGCACATCAGAGTCTCAAAGCGGTTTACAATTGTGATTTTTGGGAGTGGGGCCAGTACAGGAGGCACATGCCAGACCTATTGTACATATTTTTAGTGGTAGGGGAAACCGGAGTACCCGGAGGAAACCTACGCAGACACGGGGAGAACATGCAAACTCCACTCAGAAAGGCCCTGGTCCAACCGGGATTCGAACCCAGGACCTTCTTGCTGAGAAGCGAGAGTGCTATCCACTCAGCCACCGTGCCGCCCGATACACGAGTCGGTATCAACATTTCTAAATGTTAAACTCGAGACACCAAAACAACCAATGTTGATAATACACATCAACACCATTGTGCTGCTTCATAGTCTGTGTTTCTGGTCCATGTTGGTGAATTGACAACTTTGTGTGCTCCTCCAAGAGATCTGCTGTTGTGACTTAGGGCTATACAAAAATAAATTGAATGGAATTTATCTGAAAATCATAGGACGCCATATTCTGAAGGGTTTGGGCAAATATTATGCTCACCTGACGTTGGTCTACTCACAGTTCAGACTCAGTTCTGATGAGATTGCAAGAGCGAACCATTGTTTTTATGACAGAACAATGTAAAGCAGGCGACAGTAGCTCAGTTGGTAGAGCATTGGCCTTCAGGCCTGAAGGTCGTGGGTTCAATTCCCACCTCTGCACCTTCTCCACCGACTCCCACTGATGACTGCTGTCGTTGTGTCCTTGGGCAAGACACTTAACCCCACTTTGCCCAAAGCCCCCACTGAAAGATCAAGGCTATGCTCACACTCAGAGAGCAGCTGTCCTCCTGTGGACTCACCACCTGCAGAGGGTCAGTGAGGGGCTGGTGCTATGAGACTTGGGTGGCATCTCTGATTGCCACCCCCCTGACCCAGAAATGGATTAAAGGGTAGAAAATGGATGGATGGAACAATGTAAAGCATGGCTCATTTTGAGTGAACAGCTAAGAGCATGTTTAACAGAGCTCTGACTCTGAATGTGCATATCCGGACATGATAAGTAAGACGATATTCAACTGTGGAATCATGCAACCAGCCCGAGACCCCTCCAGCCAGATCCCCGGAAACCATTGTTACCCTTAGCATTAGACGTGTTTATGTTCCAGCTGAACTATGCGAGGCAGCCACCCACTAACAATGTATTTGTGTGGGTGCCTTGTGTGAGTATGTTATGGGTCTTACATGTGTGCGTCAAAGGTTGAGTGGACAGTTTAACATCAAGTTTTGTTCTGCCGGCTGATTTACCGGTGAAACAGCTAAATTGGGGTTAATTATTCCAATCCATCTGTAATGTTGAATTCAAGTGTGGACTGTAACAAGTCAGGAAAACTCAAAGCCGGTGTCCGCTGACTTTCATCTTATCGGTGTGTTAGTATAAACGTAAACAGCTAAGACTTGAGAGGAGCAGAGAGTGAAAGAGCCCTGTGAATATCTGGCAGAGCTACGACCACTCAATCCATGGAAATGATAATGGCGCTTATTTCACTTCAGGTGTATTGTGAATCAGTGCCTGTGTGAACTGGCTCGTGCTACCTCTTTGTCCATTGATAAACTCGTCTCTGCAGGTCTGCATAAGCTGCAGGATCCACTTGTGCTGAGCGTAGATACACTGCCAGGCTGGGTCACCAGGAGCATGCAGGTCCGACAGATATCTGCAGAAAACAGGAAGAATAACACGCATTTTATTGGCAAGCTTTTGGCTCACAATAGAAAATTCAATTCAATGTATTCTTGTATAGCCCTGAATCACAACAGTAGTTATCTCAGAGAACTTGACACAGTATTTTGTATAATTCCATAGTAAATATCTCTGTTCCTTTTGCCCGCACAGAACTGGGAAAAAAAGCTTTTGTATATGGAAAATTTTGCACAAAAACTGGAAATTATCTGAACTTACTGTATTTCATTGAATGCTTTTAGATCCAGATTGAGAGCACTTGAGACATCCTCATTGAAATGTAACTATTTTTATAATCTGTAATTTTATGAATTTGTATGTAACCGTTTTTATAATCTGTAATTGTATGTAACTGTAAGATGGAAAAGAGGTTCTTAATCTCAATGGGACTTTCCTGGTTAAATAAAAAGATAAATAATTAAATAGGACTGGATGAATGCAGGCTAAGCTAATATTCTTCCCTCAAAAACATGCTCAAAATGATCAGGGTGAAAGTTTTGGAGATGGCTGAGAAGAGGTGAAAGACAATACAGGAGAAGACCGATATATAAGAGAGGCAAGACTTCTGGTAAAAGAGTCCAAAAAACCACGGGTCTGTGAAACTGCTGGGGTTCCCAACTTTTTTGTTCTGTAATAAAAACATGTTTGCCCAACAGAAAAATATGTGTATGTTGGATTTGATTGGGAAAACAAAACAGAATTTTGTGCAAAACTCCAGAAATGTTGTATAAACTTTTTTTTTTCTGTTGCACAAAAATCTTCCTTTGCGCAAAACTGTAAAATCAAGTGGACTAATCAGACCACAACTTGCTGTTTTCATCTTATTTGTATACATGTGATCCCTTCAAGTCACTATTTGACTCTTTGGGCTGCGAGTTGATTGGCTGAGTGAGGGTTTTCTGTCTGAGAAATCTAAATTTGTGAAAATTAGTGATAGAGCCAAACTGTTTTTAAGCCAAAAACAAGACAAGGACTTTGGAGTTTTTGGTGGTCTGAGAGTTAGGTACCCCAGCTTTAATTGGACAAAAGCATGACCTTTTAGACAAATTTATTGTTCATCTCCTATTCCTGCACTCATGATGTTTCTGCTGCAAGTGTGTTTCTCATAAGATGGCATCAATCAAACTTTGGCTCAAGCAGACACACCCACTCTCCGCCATCCAGAGCCGAGTAAACAGGCGCTGGCCTAATGCAGCCGGGTGAAAGATGTCGCTGTGCGGTTCAGAGCTGCTCTCTGTGATCCTGACAGCTCCATCTTAACAATAATAAATGATAGAAAACCACAAGTATGAGCAGACAAATGCTCCAGTTAAAAAGGGAGCAAGAGGGAAAATGGAAATGTTACAAATGTGTGAATTAACAATGATGTCTAATATTATCACATTGTCTGCATTTGTTTTTGGTGCAGTGCAATGTAAAAAAAAAAACATAGTTCATAAACTCCGTAGAGTCAGATTGCATAATTATTCTTGATGTATTTTTTCACTAGATTTCTTATAGTGATGTCACCCATAATATGTTACAGCAGGGTTGTAAAAGTCAAATACATCAGAGGCCAAAAAAACAAATGTGATACAGAGGGCCGGTCTGGATCAATATTTATTAAAACATGTTTAAATGATTGCATTGAACCTATTGAACAATGACTTAACGCAGTGGACCATAAATGCTAACACCTATTAACGGTTTTATTAGCATTTTTATCAATGATTGCATCACATGTAGTCTATGTTTTCAACTTCTGCAGCTTTTTGTTCATAAAAGTTAAATATTTATTTAATTCAAGTTATTTTGATTAGCATTCTTTAATATTACAATGTACATTGTGGTAAACAAATCTAAGGCAAACAAAGTGAGACTGGCATAATGTAAAAACGAATATTAGCCTTGTTAGCATGTTTTATGATATCAAGTAGAGTTAGCTAACTTGCCCAACACTAATTAGCTTGAATCTCACAAATAAGGCTAAAAGAGTTGCACACTATTATGTTTATATGTTTATACCTTGTTCAGATGACAGTGAAACCTCCAACAGTTTCCAGCTAAGACTGCTGTCCTCTGCTGTGAGAGGTCATTCTCCTACGTCATCGCCGCCATGTTGGCGCCCCCTAGCGTTTTTTTAAAGGTGCCACTTCAAAGTCGTTTTTTAAACATAATTCATCTGAACATGTCAAAATGAACACCCGAAATATTATAAACACATATTGTAGTTATATATTCTGGATAGCAGCATATTAAATTCTAGTACTACTTTAAAGATTAAATGAATAATCCAATATTTTTTTTTAGGCTCTGTTCGTTTTCACTTTAAATTACTGACAAACTTCCTTCACAAACACATGTCCTGAACATTAAATGAAAAATCCAATATTTTCTTATGGCTCAGTGCGGCCGATAATCCCAAGGGCCAAGATAATTCATTCGCGGGCCGGATCTGGCCCCCGGGCCTCGACTTTGACACCCATACAGTGGGGCAAAAATGTATTTAGTCAGCCACCGATTGTGCAAGTTCTCCCACTTAAAATAATGACAGAGGTCTGTAATTTCCATCATAGGTACACTTCAACTGTGAGAGACAGAATGTGAAAACCTCCTTCCATCAGTGAGAGCTTTGAATAATGAAACGTGGCTGGGTCTTCCAGCATGACAATTAGGGGTGGGAACCTAAGGGTACCTCACGATACGATACAATACGATACAAAGCTCACGATAACGATATTATCACAATAACGATTTTATCACGATATGACGATTATCGATATATTGGTCAGGAATATACACTATGCCAATTTGTAGCATAAATAAAATAAAAAATACACTTCATGATAAATGGAATGGAGATGCGTAATGTAGCCATATATTAAGTATTGATACCAATTTAAAAAAATAATTTGTAAAAAAAACAAACAACAAAGGTTATATTACAAAGTATTGAGTTGAATTTTTTTATTGACCAAATACTTATTCTCCACCATAATTTACAAATAAATTCTTTAAAAATCCTACAATGTGAATTCCTGGATTTCTTTTTCACATTCTGTCTCTCACAGTTGAAGTGAACCTATGATGAAAATTACAGACCTCTGTCATTATTTTAAGTGGGAGAACTTGTACAATCGGTGGCTGACTAAATACTTTTTTGCCCCACTGTAAGTTACAGGTCTGAAGACATAATTATTACAATAATTATGTACAATAACAATCAACAATTAAAATAAATAAATTAAATACATAATTATGTGTTCTATTTTCAAATAATACCATTCGGCTCGTACAAGGCGGCCCAGGAATTTACTGCAACTGGAGGGTTTATGTCAAGAAGAATAAGCAGTTTTACCATCAGAGGATGACGAACATTCCCAACTACCACAAAATTCTAAACGTTAAAGGGGCCATACACGCTTTTGAGAACTGGGGAAAAGAAGAATCTGATCAGGGTGGAAGGACTAGTTTCTGCTTTTTAAACTAGAAAATATATCTGTTTTGAAATAAATGACTTCCCAAAATTTCAGGACATTACTATCATTGCCTTATGATTTATATTGTGCAAACCAAAAAAACATCAGAAATTCTACCTGGATGTGGTCGAGCACAACTATACTTTAAATCCAGAGCACCAGATTTTGGCACTAAACCAAAGATTAATCACTGACTTACACAGTAATCATACACACCTGATATATCTTTTCTGATCGTGTAGCGTTGATGGAGTCTGAAGCAGTTTCTCCAACAAAAGGGTTCGTAGAGAGTTAATTCTTGTCTCAACTTCTGCATAAACTGTAATAAAAAAGAGGTTTGGTGTTTATGCTGTTTGTTTAAATTATTGTTCATTAAAAAAACGTTAATATTTATGCATATATAACAAAAATAATTGTTCGCATATGGATAGTAAGGCATTATGTATCGGTTGGTTATGATTCTACTTCATACCTTTCTTGAACACTGGGACCTCAGTGCTGCCGAAGAGAGATTTGGCTTTCTCATAATCGTTAATAACCACATCATAATCCCCCTGAGAAAAGAAATGAAAATTATACAGTACCCAAGAAATGTGCATAACAAATACAAAACACACAGGATCTCCATATTACAAAAACCATCATGATTGTACACACGTTTTAATCATCGACGGTGTTAAAAGAAGTTTCTACATCGTCCTGTACCTTTTGGATATTGCGTTCAATGTTGAGAGGCAGGTTGAAAAGGAATTTGAAGCGTTGAAGGACGTTGAGTGCATTGCGTGTCGAGTCCGCCTTGTCCTTACGCCCTAAAACCTCCTGGAACAGTGTATCTGCAGTATCACTCGCCCCTAAGAAAATATGAATAAAAAGGTGAAGCTAGATGTGACATAACTGTGTAAAAAATAGACAATGGTGCCTCATAGTCGGCGTGGTGTTGGTTTGGCTCGTTCCCTGCTCCACAGATTTAATCAACACAAAACATAGAAGCTTCCCATGAGAGGGAGACAGTTTGGTTTGCGCTTGCTGGGGGGAACCTTTGAGGAAAGAAATGGCTTTGTGGGTGGTCGAGTGTGCCATCAAAAAGGCATAACTTATTGTCAAGTTGTTTTAATCAAAGAAAAGCCACAATAGAAAAATCAAAAAGAGCTAGATTTCACAAGACTTTTGAACTAGGCCGCCCCAAAACAAAACATTTTACTGTAACCGTTTGGTGATTGAGCAAATGGGGTAGTATGTTTGACACATAGGTTTTTTGGGGCATGGTGGCCTTTGGTGCGCTCGTCTGGTTGTGGGGATGAAAGGTGCATCCGGCGATCGGGTTTATTTACTCTACAGTCCAGAGAAAAGGGCCCGGTCAGCAGGCCTCTACCAGCCACATTATCATTCATGAGAGGCATCTGCTTCTTAAAGATCTACAGTGTCTCAAAGAAGTGTTGTAAAGCCTTAGTCATCACTAACCCCGCACTTCAAAACACACTTTTCAAAGCTTTTCACCATGTTTTTTTATTATTATTATTATTATTATATTATTATTATAATTATTATTATTAGTTTATTTGATAGGGACATTGTGCAGTAATAATCTTTTAGCAAATACACCAGAATTAGCCAAGCAGGCCCTGGACAGGTAAACATAGTCTCCCTAAAGATAATAACAGTAATATTCACACAATAATAAAAAGCAGTAAAACACAGACACAGAACAAGAAAACACAATAAAACCCAGTTCACATACGAAAGAGATATTTATAAAGCAATGAGAAAAGGGACCTAAACTAATAATCTAAAACTAATCTACTAAACTTGTAGTCATTTTCCTATTTTCGCTGAAAGCAGTTTTGAAGATGTATCTATTTATTGAGTTTCTTATAGTTATAGCAGATGAGATTTTAATTAGAGCAAGTGGAATGTGGTATCTGACCAGCATGTTTTAGACTGAGCTAGGACAAACATGAAAAATATTCAAGAAATAAGATTCAATGATTTTAAGCCATGTACTGTAGACCTTGGTTATATTTGAATTGTCTGTACTCAGTATTAGTAACTCTGGGTTCTGACATAAGTATGATGCCCATTGCTACACATCATATATACGGCTGTGTTTTCTTCTGTCCTGTCTGGAAAAGCTTGGAAATAAACTGTAGGTGTAAGTGAAATCGCTGCTGCCTCTGTCATTTTTTTATACACTAAAAAAAGATCCATCATCTATCTATAGCTGTAAACCATTTCCTCCAAGGACGATGGTTGAGTACAGGAAGAAGTTCCAATCACACACATTCACACCTCTGCGCAGTACGACCACCCAGTGCCACCACGGAGGGTCATGGCCCTGGCTAACCCCGAGAAAAAACAAAACAAATGCTAACAAAAATTACATGAAGAAGACCAATTGTGATATTTCTTTGGGCCTTTTTTGGATTTATTTTAAACTATATTAGAAGTATTAGAAGATAAAAAACAATATAAATACAGTCCAAAAAGAAAATAAATAGTATTTTTTTGCGTATCAAAATTGAGTTTGAATTTGAATACCGTGACACCATTCTTATATGCATTTCTTCGAGTCATTTTTGTTGGTCAGCTTTTTTCTATTCAGCTAAACGTTTTTAACTCACAGTTTTGCTCACACTTGCGTGAAAGGGCAGAGCGATACAGCAGGACTCAATCTGGAGGTGTGCGAGACTGACTCTTATGTCAAAACATCGAGATAATAAACACTTTTTCATTGTATGCATGAAATAAACAAAACAAAAAACTATCACATAATACCAAGCAGGGGATATGTAATTTTCAGAATGCCGCCTGTTTTACATTGTTTAAAACCTATATTATTAAACTTTAATATTAAACTTAATCATTACAGAAGACACAAGGTCCAGATAAGAAAGACATCACAAAAATAAAAAATAAACATACACATTTACAGCAGACTACTGTAGCAGTGACGCCACAGTTCAGACTGACAGCTTGTGTCAACGATAACCGATAATACTATAATAATATTGTGTTTCAAGACGGCCATCGTTTAAGAGCTTCTTTTCCAAGTACACGTGGATCTTTAACAACCGAGCAGTAAGGTATCTCTAACTGAGAATGATTGTTTTGGTCATTTTCTGAACTTTTCTCTAAAATCCATGCTCTCACTGCTTTTTGTCACATCACTCAGTTCCAGAAAGTTTGTTATTCTACAAATGAAAAAGGCGTGGACAGTGCCATGAGAAAGTATCCACAGCCCCATGAACAATTTCCTCGTTATGACCACAAACCTAAAAATGTCCATTTTAGTGAAGTGAAAGACTTTTTTTTATAAAACAAAACAGATAGCAAGCAGGCTTTTGGGGGCATGGGAAAAAAAAGAAAAATTAATCTAGAAAACTTTTTAACAAAAATAAAAAATTACAAAGAAAATATCATTCACTTCACAGTAGTCACTTTGTTGGTCCTTCACACACAAAAACAATAATACCTTATAATGTTTGTGAAAAAATATGTAAATATTCTGAATACTTCCTGAATACTATGAGGTACTAAAAAGATACAAATCCAGTTTCTCTTAATGCTAAGGTTACGACTGTGCTTACTGTTGAGGATGTTCTCCAGTCGCTGAGTCATGGATCCTTCCACTCTTTCTGTTCCATCAGACTCCAGTCTTTGGTGAATAGCTGCAAGTGCAAACAAATAACATTCAATAACATGCATCTTCTGGAATAAAAACAAATAAATAAACTGGCAATGTATGAAAAAAACAATGTTATTTATTGATATATAATTGGAATGAGCCTAAAACATTCTGACTCCATGGCCACAGCACAAGAGTCTAAAAATGTTCACATAAAAACATATTTGAGGGGCACAAAGCTGGCGGGGTCCAAATGCCAAAAAGGACTCCTCTGGGGAATTAAGGGTAGAATCTCAAATGGCTTGTACTCGTCACTTAGTATGAAGGCCTTTCTAGAGGAGAGGGAATCTGAAAGAGGGGGATGAGAGGAGAAACGAGGGAGAGAAGAAGGCGGGAGAGAGAGTGTGGTATCGCAGCGGCAGTAGATAAATAAATGGTGTGCAGTAGTGGACCGCTGGGTGCTGAGAGCCGCTGTGTGGGTTTATTGACAGAGCGAGGAGAGCTGAAGAAGGCTTAGGAGACCTTCTCAAAATGACTCCTGGAGCTGTTCAAATATGTAATGAGGAGATATTGCAAGAATGAAGCGAAAGTATGAAAGCAATTTCTGTCTGGCATCGAGGCAAGACAATCATTCTAAAGCATTTTTAGCCCAAAACATATTCAATATCGAAGGAAAGTCATGATTTATAATGCGTAACTTGCTAATAACAGTTAATAACCACCACTAATCATTTAGAGATTGATGCACCATTTTTTTTAATACACTATTACTATTAACAATGTTCTTTTTATTTAAACTTTTCGTTAGTTATTCTTAGCTATGGATCCTGTGCTTCATGAGACCTTAATAAAGTCTAAATAAAAAAAATAAAAAATATCACAAAGATGACAGGGGTGTCCAAACATTCACACGGCGAGTGCAAAGAATTAATTGCTTCATTGAGTGGAACATTCAGGATGGTAATTAAGAGAACAGCTGTTACTTCTTCACAGTGGAACTTATAAATGTATCATGCTTTAAGTATTGGAAGGCAATATAAGAAATGCATAATAATAAGAGTACAAGAAACAAAAGCAGAATATCAAAACAGTGCATAAATAACCCTGAGTTACAAAATTACAAGATACAAAATTATAAATATCATATAGACATGAGAAACACTTGCAGATACTCGAAAAGGAGTTGGAAGAAGAAAACGTACTTAATCCCACGCCTGGTTTCTTCAATAAAAATATATTATCTTGATAAAAAAGTGGTGTAATACTGATACAACTTAACCAAATACCATGTAGTTCTGATAAACGTCTCAAACTTCTACGGTTGTTTCTATGCAGGAGAAAGGCCACTGAGGTAAGGGGGGAGTTGTGTAAATAAATAAGACGGCCAAAAAGACAGACAGAAGCCTGCAGGCACAGAACGAGGCTACTCCTAATGCATGCCTTTGCCTAATCAGAAAAGACACTGCTGACCCACTGCGCACCTCTCACTTTTAGATGACCAGCAGCAGTGAATATGACCATATGCAGAGTCAAACAAAGAGGCCGGGGGAGTGTGTGTACGTGTGATTGATAGGGCAGAACACACAGGAAGAAAAAGACACACGCACACTCCGGGCCTGGCTCACGTCTCGGCCTCTCTGCCCTTTTGCCAGCTGCGTGTCCTCCGCCTCTGTCACACACTCGGCTTCTGGTGACGTCACAGAGCAAATCTAAACATCAGGTCGCTCCGGATAAGACGTGCAGCCAGGACCTAAAGAAAGAGCTCCTGCTTGCCTTCCTGGAACTATTGACGAAAAAAAAAATGAATAAGAATAAAAATACGGCAGCGTCTCTGGATTCTAAAGCTGGAGATGTTTTGACTCCTGTCGGGGCTGGGGGCGCAAGGAATAGGCCCTGGGAATCAGGCGTTTTTGGAGCACAGTAGCCGTTCCGCTTCCTGCATCACTGGGAGACTTCCTTTTCACACAACAATGAAAAACCTCAAAATTCAACATTATTAGTAGAAACAAGAGCAGATTGTACAGCCCTCGGTCTGTCAGTCAATCAGCCCCCGTGACCTGACCTCCCTAATGTCTAAACAGCTTTTTCCATTTCATTCAGCAGTTTGTGGTTGTTCACATGGAGAGTTTACAGAAACCTTGTGGATAGAATAGCATAGTAATAAATACATTAACTAGGAATGATGATTAAAAAGTTGTAAACTCATTGAGAGAAATATTAGTTACTTGTGGACATGTAAGCGCTGATTATAACACTATTGGCAATCCTGCTGCAATTAAGAAAAAAAAAAATATATATGTGGTCCAATACAAAAATCTAGACAGCGATAAAATATGAATTATGGGAGAAGAAAACACACCTTCCGAGAACGGCAGCGTTAAGAAGGAATTGGCATTGAGCTTAAACAGAGTGTCTCAGGTTTGGCCGCCTGACTTTAGCCGTGTGCCGCTGGTATGTGGGTTTGGCGAAGCAACGCTCAGAAAGAGTACAGAATATCTCCAAATGATCCATGCTGGCTAACCACTTAATTTCATCTGACTATAAAAACCAGGTGTAAGCCAAGAAAGGATGTTGTAGTGGTGTAATGAGTCATGATGAGGAGACCGGAGTACGTTTAAATGGACCAAGTTCGTGAGAGCAAAGTTTAACATTGGCCGATATATGAAACCGTATTATAAGGGCTTTAAGAGGGCTCTGCAACCTATAGCTCGCCATCCCCTTCCAAGTAGCTCCACAAAGGATTTGGATATTTCAAATAATATCCTCCTTATTTATAATATTATATTTCTCAAGCCGACAACATATTTAACTTTGTACAAAAAGATAAAACATCAAGTTAAAACATAGAGGACATTATTGAACAGCAGGGACGTGCGGTGAGGTTTGTGATTGGGGAGGCACTGACTTTAAAAGTCAGATTTACAATCATTATTCAAATAAAATAGCATTTAATCACCAATGCAATGACATCCACAAACTTTATATACTGTAAAGATAAGAGAACCAGCTTCTTTTAATAATCTCACAACAAATCTAGCTGCTGACTCTGCTCCGCATCAAACAACATCTTTAAGAAGCGCAGGTGCGAGAGACGCGAAGAGAGAGAGACGCGAGGAGAGAGGAGCAGAGAGAGACAGAGAGGACCAGAGAGACGGAGACGCGAGGAGCAGAGAGAGACGGAGACGCGAGGAGAGAGAGACGCGAGGAGAGAGGAGCAGAGAGAGACAGAGAGGAGCAGAGAGACGGAGACGCGAGGAGCAGAGAGAGACAGAGAGGAGCAGAGAGACGGAGACGCGAGGAGCAGAGAGAGACGGAGACGCGAGGAGCAGAGAGAGACGGAGACGCGAGGAGAGAGGAGCAGAGAGAGACAGAGAGGAGCAGAGAGACGGAGACGCGAGGAGCAGAGAGAGACGGAGACGCGAGGAGAGAGAGACGCGAGGAGAGAGAGACGCGAGGAACATAAACAATAATTTAAACAAGTTGCAGAACTCTTGAGCAGTGTTTGAATCAGTGTTTTTCGGAAAAGCACTACTTTGCCGGTATCTGTCAATGTTCAACATAAAACACAGATTAACAAACTCCTCCCCCGCAGCCGGACTAACCTCGTAAGTCCAGTGGTGGTCTCCCAGTCTATATTAATTCTTTCTTTGTTTGAAAGTCCAATTGAGAAAAAAAATCTTCATTCAAATCATCCATTTTCCAGCAAAAGAAATAGCATTTTGGGCTGATTGTTTGTTAGCAACTCTGGTATGAACTTTATGCTCACTATCACCCCTAGCGGTGAGGCACAGATACCGCCTGCCTCACGCCAAGCTTTTTCCTTGTGTGTTCATCTACGATCAAAAGACTTAAACTAAATATAAATTGTACACACATACGTGCAATACACTACTAAACACTAAGAGGAGTTTAAAAAATGTTTTTAAAGCAGGATATTTGAAACAAACGGTGATATATCAACTGCACGAGCTGAGTGCACTCAGACACACACACACACACTGTGAGGGAGCGGTCTGGGGTGAGGCACGCAGGAGCGCTGCCTCACCTCGTCTCTTTGAATAGGAATAACGGGATTTCTGCGATTTTGACTTCAGAAATGATCAAAACTGATGGGAACCGTGCCGAATATACATTAAAAGCATAGGACAGTGGATATAAATTATATATTTAAACTAAAATAATTATTAGTTTCCAATAATGGCAGGTGAGGCTCTGCCTCCCCTGCCTCCCCTGACTGCACGTCCCTGTTGAACAGAACATTTTATATTATTTGTCATGGAAATCTTCATAAGTCAAATCCATATATTCTTGTTCCTACGAAGATGATTGACCAGTTTCCCATTAGGGCAGTGGGCACGCAGTTGGCACGCTCTGTTGGAACGTGAGAATGGCTCTCATTGTTCCTGATGGTTTGACTCCCTCCATTATCAGCAGCATCAGTCCTAATACTGCAGCCGGCATTGTGTAAGTCTGCTTTGTTTATTTAGATTTAGCCACAAAAAACCCTGAAAATACTGCCTCGATCCCGAATGGGCCACAAATATGCGGAAAGCAATAATAATGATGATGGAAGCAAGAAATTGGATTTATAAATAGTAAGAGGAAATAACCAAGTAGCTGTGATGGCGGCAGAGAGTAAACAGACAAAAACTAAAATGACAAGTTTAACTATTTGAATACCCCGCAGGGAGGTAGTTGTATGCGTGTGACAGATGATCAGAAACCACATACGAAAGGGATTCATTGTTTCTCACCTGCAAGAGCGTCCTGGGCCTCAAAGAACGTACTAAGGCCGCCCTTCACGTAGGCCAAGCTGCCCTCGTTTTTCTTATTTGCTTGCTTTTTCAAATTATTGGCTGAGATCTTCAACTGCTCAAAACTGGACAGACAAGGTCACATGGGAAGATGTCAGTAAGCACAGTTAAGTAAAAGGTTGGTTACATAAAAAGTTGGTTAAAATGGACTTTAAATGTATGAATTAATATAGGAGTTCACTATAATTGGAGACAAATCCTTTTCCGTAAACCCCCTTTTTTATCTTTATTGTATTTTCTTCCCCATGTGAAGCGTCTTTGAGTGTCCAAAGAGGCGCTATACAAGTTTGATGTATTATTATTATTATTATTATTATTAAATCAAAGTGATGTTTCCACCTGAGGAAGAAACAGCTAATGTCCTTACAGCACTGCTTCCAGGCCAGAGCTATTCCTGGGGTCTGGGTCATTGGAAGGGTCAGCAGCAGAGAGGAAGTCAGGACAGGAGCATCCAAAATAACTTCTGTCTGGGCTGACATGACGTAAACTGGGCTGGACATTCCTCTCTCATGAACCAACAAGGCTCAAGTCACTTTGTTTGGTTTCTAAGAAGCTGTGAAGTTACATGCCACTTCTTTGGATTCTTTTTTCTTTTAATTCCCTGATTTTAATATATGGAAGACTGTTAAAAATTCCTCATAAGTCCATTTACATGAGACAAGCAGGTAGTGGCCCCATAAGCACATTTAGAAAAGTAACAGTGGCATTACGACGACAAAAATAAATGAAGCTACCTGGTGCCTGAGTGGTTTTCCATCAGATACCAAGTCGCTGAGAAGTTCTCACTGGTAAAATCCCCGCTCATCCCAGGAAACGTCATCTCCATGTCCTTCTGTGGGATCTTTCCTCTAAAACAAAACAGAGATGGAACAGTTTGTCTTTACAGAATTAAATGAATGATCTAAAAGCTGATGCCTGATGCCAGCTGTCCATGAGGGGGCAGTGTGTGGTCATATTCCTGGTCTGAAAGTCTGGCGTGGGAAGTGCAGTGTGTGACGCCTGGGCGCCCCCAAAGGACCCAGTGCTCATTAAGAAAGCTTGATCTCTGCTAATGACCCAAGACCAACACAAACTGAACCCCAGCCCCACATCACCACCCACTCTGCTGTCGCACACACGCTTTAAGAAAAACCAACACACACATAATGTGCCGTAATTAGTTATAGAGGTGGTCACACAATACCATTAATGCAACCAATGGAACTATGTTGAATTACCTGGATACATCTTTATATTAAAACTCAATCAATTAAAAATACATTTCTGTAGCACTTTACCACAGTTCAAAAAGGTGCAGTGGTAGTAAACATGTTTTCAAAGATGAACTTTTTATACGTCATGTTATCATTTCTCTATTGCGACTAATTTTCTAAATTGTCTGACTCCATGTTTATTGTTATGTATCCTTTTTATTGTTTTTTGTATACAAGTTTGAAACAAATTAATATTACTACCACGACTAATACTAGTAGTGACTGTGAGTTTTGTTTGCCTTAAACAACAGATACAATTACAGCATTCATATTATTAAATATGCACGGTCCTAAATAACATTTTTTATTAAAGCTTCTATGTATTTATTTAATAGATATTAATCTGATACTGTAAATATGGCTTGGAACCTTTGTAATTTGTTTTGGAACCAAATCTTCAATGATATCCAGTATTCAGTAAGAGATTCTTAAGATTTTTGTTCTTGTTGGCTAGATTATTATTTCTAATTAAATATTTATATTTATAAGTATCATGTTAGGAATAACAGTAGAGACGGTTTTCCAAAGGCTTTTTTTTTTAGTTCCGGACTGATAAATTAAATGGTAACAAGCTTAACTGTAAATGTTGAATAAATAAATAAATACATTTAAAAAAGTGTACAATCAGCATGAGAACATTGTTTATCAGTGTATTCATTGTTTATTTGGTTGGGACAGTTCATCTTAATGAATACACCTCTCACACTCACAAACACACAATCATTCACCCTGAACTATATGCACATGTTTTTAGTAATAGGGGAAACTGGAGCATCCATAAGAAACCTAAGCAGACATGGGAAGAACATGCAAACTCTACACAGAAAGGCAGTGAGCCAAGGTGGAATCGAACCCAGCACCTTCTTGCTGTGAAGTGATGCTTGACAGCAAGTTTAAATATGTGCAACTTAAAGATGAAGCAGTATCTCATGGAGAGTGGAGATGACTGCAGTCATAACAATAACATCTACGGTATTATTGCATTCTAAGGACATGATGGATGCTCAGCCCAGTGGGGAGTTGAGTAAATGGGTTACCCTGTTTATAAGGGTCTGGCTCTGGCCACGAGCGGTCACTTGCCCCTGGGTCCTTCAAGCTAAACAAACATTAAGCAAGAAATGCCAAACTCTGACAACACAAGCTATGCATTACAGACCATGCACCGCCAGCCTGTGTGGGAGGCTTAGCTCGGAGGGACTGAGGGACTCTCTCAAAAGGTTTTCTACCCCACTTTAAAAGACAATTATTGTGTTTCCACTGCCTGTGTACAGCGGTCACAGAGTTTTCAGACATTGCTGTGTTGGCAAAATAAATCAAACGCCTGCATATGGGGCGAGTTTGTGTCTGTTTATGGAAGTAAACCATGACTCACTGACTGGAGCGCGTGTGTTTACCCCTCTGTGATTGTGCCGAGTGATTTGTGTGCGTGTGCGTGCACTGGTGTCTGTTATAACGTACTTGTCTATGTCGATGCCCAGTGGATTGCTGGGTCGCAGGGAGAGGGGGGACAGGCCTTTGTTGCGGTCGGTCCTCATATCGTAGTAGTTCATCTCGTCCACCCACACAGCGGACTGGTCCAGGATACCTGCACCGACACAGGGCAGCGTAGGACAGAGCGGACAGGGCGGTCACATACAAGTGGAAAACTAAAGTGTGATGTGTACAGTGTTGGGTATAAAACTTACAAAGTCACACTAACAAAACTACTTTTATCAAGGAAAATTATAGTAACGCATTAACTATCGACAATAAAGTAACGTAACACTGTTTCTTTTTCGATCCGCCGCAACGTTACTCTTTATTTACCCTGGGCAGCTGTGACCATGCATCTGCTGGTGCTGCATCAGTCATGACTTGCACCGAGTACTCATTCCACATGGTATGTGACACATGGTAAGAAATATCTGTTGATCTTCATAGTAGAACAAACAGCTCTGATCAAAGTCGAGCACAATAACAGTAATATACAATTCAAGCTAAAGTAAAGAAGTTGAAGAACTTTGAGAGTAACTAACTTAGTGGTCTAATAAAGTCATTACAATTATAATCCAACTGTTGTGACAGAATCTTCCAGCCTGTAGCGCTAAAGCAGTAATTACTGATGGAATTCTGTTTGGCTAAAAACAGTACAAACTGTGAACTTTGAAATACAACAATTGTGAAAATTGTCACTTTAAAAACTGGCAAGGCAAGCGAGAGTTCACTCTTCTCTATAAAGGAATATTGAAAATAAAAAAAACATAAATATTATGAGAATCATTTACATTATATCATAATTAAGAATAACTCCAATTAAAACTTTTGTGCATGTTGACCTAGTATACAGGGACAAATGTAGATGTAATTTAAAATTAAAATATCACATATTGTCTCTTTGACCATGATTAATACATACCTATATGCATTTATCCATGATATAGGTATGCATCATGGTAGAATGGACACAAAAGCATCATGTTTTTTTAATATTTAGAAATGTGTTCCTTTGAAGAGAGTAGTATGAATATTCTTAATATTACGTAGACCAAAATCACAATGTTTGTGTAAAACTATGTTTAGGAAACTGACTATTAATTTTATATACTCAAATATAACAATAAAATTATAAGCAAGTTCCTGTTGCACAGAGGTCTCTTCCACGTACAGAACACAAGGTATAGCATGTACATAACGGTAGCAATGTCTCACCAATGCGTTCTGGCTTTAGCAGCTTAAATGAAACGGTGGAGGTGCCGAGCCCTCCAGACTTGGTCGTGACAATAATCTCTCCCTTCTCGTCCTTGGCAGGTCCTACACGGCACACGATCTTACTCGCAGACATCCATTCAGCTGTCAACAGGCAGTTATGGCCGCAGATTGACAGTCCTAAGATCAGGAAGAATAAGAAAGTGAATGTTATGACACTCAACAACATGAATAAACAAAGTTGAACAATGACATAAAAACAACACAAACAGTTTCCTGTTGTAGCATCGCTCCGTCACAGCAGGTCAGAGTAAAGATGTGCTCATGATGGGCATGACCCTCGCACTTGGAGCTTAACGCCTTTCAATTGTTTGTCAAGTGGCTCATTGTACTGCACTTAGATTCTTTTAAAACTCTTTACGAGAAAACCAATTTGGCCGAGGAATAGAAACACAGATGACTGATGTGTCGGGACAGTTTAGTCAGACATTTTTAACTATTTACCTAAAGTGTACAAGAAATACACTGGCCGCACTGGTTGCAACAACAAGTTGTGAAAACAAACAAAACAAACAAATTATGAAAACAAAAATTAAGATTACTTTTTTCAAATAACAAACTATGAAGATTCAATTTGGAAAACAATAACACCTACAACAAATGCATTAAATAACCCAAGCGATTTTGCTTCATGAAAACAGTTAAATCTAAAAGCATTACCAACGAGGTCCGCTGAACCTGTTCCCAGATTCTCTCCACGAATGGTCACTTTGGTCCAGGCTGGACCCTCTTTGGGGGAGATGCCCGTGACCAGCGGGGGATGTCGGGCACGAGACATGGTGAAGGAAGCTCAAATGAAGACCAGACACGTTAACAATCACCTGGGAACAAAATGACACAGACAATGTATTTTGGGTAATGACATTTTTTCTGAATTATATGAAATGGAAAAACAGTTGGTTAAATGCTGGAACAAAAGGCCTGAACGGTGCATGAACATGTGCTGTGCAGTAGTTATCTCTCAGATAATAGGAAAAATAGAACAGAGAGCAAGAGTGAGTGAGCAGACAGAGAGCAGAGAGGAAAGAAGAATGTAAACCTCACGGCGAAGGATAAATAAACCTGGCCTCCCCTAATCATTCCACATGAGCCCACACAACACAGTAAGGATTTTGGACCCGAGACCAGAGAAGGAGCTCCCATGTAAATTACTCAATTTCGGGAGAGACAAAGACTGAAACTGAAAAAGAGGAAAGGATGTATTTCAACAGCACAGATGTTTGCTAATAAATGACTGCCAGGCTCAAATAGGCTAAGTATGCTGTCCTCTGAGGCTGTCTGAAGCTTCCGCCCATTCGTTCTGAAGCCAAAACAGAATTTAGGAGTTCACACGCATCACACACACCTGCCACAAATGCAATATATTAGCGAATATAATAGTATTTACAGATAAACATCCAAGAACAGCTTTTAAGGCTCGAGAAAATTCCAAATCTGCAAATAAATATTGACAGTTTAAGAGTTGTGTGAGATAGGGACCAAACCAGAGAGATTGCTGGGAAACCAAAGCCCTTTTGCTACTGGAGCTAACTAGAAAAACCCAACAGAAATTGTCTTATGTTGTTAATCTGCCTGTGCTTGTCAAAGGAAATGGGAGGGCTATGTAAGTGACACGGAGACGTTAAGAGGTTAACAGGCCTTAAACAAGCGTTTGCTATAGCCTTTATCAATGCCATATGTTTAGAGCAGAGCAGTGGAGGGCAAAGGCTCTGATTGTGGCCTTTCAATTGTCTTCTGCCTCCATACGAAGAAATATACACGTGCACAAACAAAGAGATACGCAGCGGGCAGAGTGACAGCGCGGCCAGGTTGCGTGCGAGGGGCCTGCCTGGTGTTGTGTGGTCCGTGTGTATGGAAGCATGAGGAGGGATCTGGTGTGTGTGGTCTGAGTGTGTGGTCTCTGGCGCGGGCCGGGAGAGCCTGCTGACGGCCGGGATGAGAAAAGAGCCGCTGTGTTTACTTTACTCTGGGGGCTGTGCATGGACACGGGAACACTGCCCAGGCCCTATGCACTAACACACACACACACACACAGAGACACACTCTCTCTCTCGCTCTCTCATACACACACACACACACACACACACACAATACACAATACAGCATATGTCAGATGCAATGACAAAAACCGTGCAAACGAGCCCCAAAGACAGCGCTACAGACATGGGCCAACTGGACGTTAAAACGACAGCCTGTGGAAGTGTGTTTAAAGGATGGGCTTTCCTCAATTTGTTTGTTTTTAGTGTCAATTTGTTCACTGGGGATATGAATTTGATTTCCGGTTGTTACAAGATTCTGCTGAGCGGGAAGGAATCACACTACAGTACAACAACAATTTAAACTCTAAAATTAGGTATTTTAAGAAAAACATTTTGTTTAAGGTTAAGTAAACGGTGGGTAATGCAAGCAAAAATGCTAATTGATTTCTGAATTATCTTGATAATAATATTCATACATGATCATGCCTAGGAACTCAGACTTGTTTACGTATAAAATAAAATTGTGTTAAATTATATATACAACTGTTATATATATATATATATATATATTCTTCAGATTTTTTTTGATTCTGATTTTTAATCATTTATAATTGGACTAGGGCTGAAATGATCTATCAAAACAAAATCAGTTTTTGAAAATTATTTCAAATAAATAATTAAGTCCGCTATATATGCAAACTTCAGCTTATTTATTTGAGGTTATTTCACCACATACACACACACACACACAAACACGTAAGTAATTGCATAACAAATATTAGGAATTGTATAAATGTATATATGTCTAATTATAAAAAAAGTTATGTTTTGGGGTGAAAAAATATATATTAGATTTACCGTAGCTTTTTGATAAAACATTGTATGTGTTATTGTTTAATTATAAGAATAATCTTCAATCAATTCCAAATAATTGTTAGAGCATTAATATGGACAAACATTTCTTATCCATAATAAACATTATTCACAAAACACAAAAACGCACTACAGAAAACTATGTGCAGAAAACAGAACAAGAACAACAAACCTGTAAATCCTCATCTAAACAGACACAAGACACGCAAAAATCCCTCAAAACAGCAAAAGGAGATATAGACAGGGCTTGTATTACACCGCTTTAGTTTAGCTGAGCTCCAGGGTAAATGTATTGCCCCTATAATATTTATTATTTCATTCATCTGCAGGAAGCCCAGTGATCCATCCGTGCTCTCCCTGTTAAGAGAGCTGAACGGGCAGGTTTGTTTTTGTTGGAGACTGACTAACAAACAGCAGGCCAGTGTAATCTGTTTGGGATCTGAGAGTATGAGGGCCGGCTGCTCCGCTCACAGGGGACAGCACGCCACTCCCAATCTGGTGGAACATGGAAGAAGGGTTCATGTCAAATCTTATGGAGTGCTATGTCTTTCTTGGTGGCCACCTGAGATATATGATAGACAACATCAAATCAGGTCGAAGTGAATGGAAATGAGTAAGTTATAAATTGTAATTATGGACCGTTATTTTGCTATCTATCTTAATCTTGATCGATCTAGATACGTAATTATACAAAGAAAAGAAAAACGTGTTCAAAACTTTTAACGAAGACGACCCTACACATTTTCAGGTATCTTGTTAAAGTTAAATAAAATGAAGGCCTTTACCAGTCTCCTATCAGAACCTTATGAGATGAATGAAGTGTTGGTCTTCATGGATCACATATGGCAGCGATTGGTAGTGATGTGTATGTGGCACAAAGGGACCTTTTAGACAGCTCATCACCCTTAGCCCTTTTCTCCTATCCGTCAGAGGCCAATTCAGTGGCCCTCGCCTGCACTCCTTCACTCGGGGCTCCCCAGGTTTCCACAAACACCAGATTCTATCTCTGATCCCCTGGCTCTGAATGCACAGAGCCATCTACACATCAGTCAGCCGAGATGTGTGGGCTGATCACACAAGGGGGCGTGGCCTCACACAGTCTCCTCAGTATTTACCCACTGCCAGGTCAGCGCCTGCCCCTCTCAAGTGGAGTCAATCGCCCAAATTGCACCTAATGCGTCTCAGCATCAGATTTCACACAACTGGATCATACTGAAGTAGCACTGAGTATTCATCATCCACTGCAGCTGGGAGAATACAGAGCTGAACCACCAGCCCATACTGACCAGAACCAACGCCATGAATTTTGTTCCATCAGTTGCTAGAAGGTCATCAGTCACTCGTTACAGAAATAAGAAGTGAATACAGAATCAAGCTTCATGGCATAAACCGCTATCCTACTTATTCAAATCGTTATTTTGTGAAACCGTAAAGCATTGGCTGTGAAAGGGAGACTGTCAAAACTCAACAGTTGGCATTTCCATACCTTATAATACACTTATAAGTGTTATTTTAGTTTGTCATAAATAAATATACAATTATTATAATTATAGATAAACTTAAACTGCTCAGTTATGTTCAACGCATCTCAAAACTGTCAATTTACAGAAACTATTTAATCATGGAGCACAAGGGATAGGACACTTCTGTAGAGCCAGAGTGTGTGTGTTTTGGCCTGTGTGTGTGTGTGTGTGTGTGTGTGTGTGTGTGTGTGTGTGTGTGTGTGTGTGTGTGTGTGTGTGTGTGTGTGTGTGTGTGTGTGTGTGTGTGTGTGTGTGTGTGTGTGTGTGTGTGTGTGTGTGTGTGTGTGTGTGTGTGTGTGTGTGTGTGTGTGTGTGTGTGTGTGTGTGTGTGTGTGTGTGTGTGTGTGTGTTGTTACTGACAAAAACGAAACAGCTTGTGATTAAATGTAAAAATTGTGGCCAATACCGATAATGGTTGTTAATATCGCTGTTATGGTTAATATTCACCAATGTCAAAATATTTATAGAAAACACATATTTTGTGACTCCTTCAGCACCTGCATTGTTCAGACTTTTTTTAGCCGTCTGAATGGGCTAACTACTCGCGTTTGTCATTTTTGTTTTATCGATCTAAACTGTTGAGACCACAGGTCATGGGACGTTTTGCATGGACTTATTCTTCAAACAGAATAACTCTGAGTAGATATCTTTATTGTCTTCATGACACAAGTGGCAGGAGCTTCAGCGGTGATGTCACTGAGTTAAAGATAAGATTTAGAAAAGTTTTATTCGTCCCACAGCGGGGAAATGTTGGTGTTGCAGCTGAATTTGCTGTGAACATGGAGACGTGTATACAGTGCTTTCAAACGTATCCATTCTGGGACACGTTTTTAAAATGTCCAGTTAAATTCAGACCCCAACACGGTGCCCTCATATGGATCAGGGAGAGGGGGGATTGGAAGTACAGCATAAGCTTGGACTCCATCCATTTGTGCAGGATTTAAATGGATAAACTATATTCTATAATTTCACACACTTTTTTATCAATACAAAAGAAAATCTCTCAATACAACCCTGTAAGGTGCCAGAAGGCGCCTCACTTCTGTCATCAGTGTGTGGAGGGAATGGGAAAAACCTGAACATCAAAACTGTAAGAAACTTGTATGAAATGTGCTACATAAATGAATCACGCAATTCTAAAATCATACCTCAAATTAAAAATGTTTTAATTAACAAGATATGGCCATAACTGCATGTGAAAGCCAGTTCCCATTAGACCTCTGAAGCTGAGCAGGGCAAGGCATAGTTAGTACGGTGATGGAAGACCTCTGGGAACACCACGTGCTAGGTGTGTGTGAATGGTTGGTGGTGGTTTGAGGGGCAGCTGTGGCTACAGTAGTAATGAGAAGCTATATGAAACCAATACATTCCCTATCCACGCACATTTCTTTGCGTGGATAGGGAAGTTTGGGCGTCTCCGCTTAGACTGCTGCCCCCGCGACCCGGCAACGGATGAAGCGGAAGAAAATGGAAGGATGGATGGATATATATTCTGAACCATTGGCCTTGGAAATAAATCTTGTGTTCTGACTGTTGAGTGTTGGTTCTTTGATCTGTGTTGATGAATCGACAACTTAGTAGATTCCAAAATACAGTGGGGCAAAAAAGTATTTAGTCAGCCACCGATTGTGCAAGTTCTCCCACTTAAAATGATGAAAGAGGTCTGTAATTTTCATCATAGGTACACTTCAACTGTGAAAGACAGAATGTGAAAAGAAAATCCAGGAATTCACATTGTAGGATTTTTAAAGAATTTATTTGTAAATTATGGTGGAAAATAAGTATTTGGTCACTTCAAACAAGGAAGATCTCTGGCCCTCCCAGACCTGTTACTTCTTCTTTAAGAAGATCTTCTGTCCTCCACCCGTTACCTGTATTAAAGGCCCCTGTTTGAACTCGTTATCTGTATAAAAGACACCTGTCCACAGCCTCAAACAGTCAGACTCCAAACTCCACTATGGCTAAGACCAAAGAGCTGTCAAAGGACTCCAGGAAAAGAATTGTAGACCTGCACCAGACTGGGAAGAGTGAATCTACAATAGGCAAGCAGCTTGGTGTGAACAAATCAACTGTGGGAGCAATTATCAGAAAATGGAAGACATACAAGACCACTGATAATCTCCCTCCATCTGGGGCTCCACGCAAGATCTCATCCCGTGGGGTCAAAATGATCATGAGAACTGTGATCAAAAATCCCAGAACCACACGGGGGGACCTGGTGAATGACCTGCAGAGAGCTGGGACCAAAGTAACAAAGGTTACCATCAGTAACACACTACGACAACAGGGAATCCCATCCTGCAGTGCCAGACGTGTCCCCCTGCTGAAGCCAGTGCATGTCCAGGCCCGTCTGAAGTTTGCCAGAGAGCACATGGATGATACAGCAGAGGATTGGGAGAATGTGATGTGGTCAGATGAAACCAAAGTAGAACTGTTTGGTATAAACTCAACTCAATACTGAGTTGCATCCCAAGAACACCATATCTACTGTGAAGCATGGGGGTGGAAACGTCATGCTTTGGGGCTGTTTTTCTGCTAAGGGGACAGGACGACTGATCCGTGTTAAGGAAAGAATGAATGGGGCCATGTATCGTGAGATTTTGCGCCAAAACCTCCTTCCATCAGTGAGAGCTTTGAAGATGAAACGTGGCTGGGTCTTCCAGCATGACATGATCCCAAACACACCGCCCGGACAACGAAGGAGTGGCTGCGTAAGAAGCATTTGAAAGTCCTGGAGTGGCCTAACCAGTCTCCAGACCTCAACCCCATTGAAAATCTGTGGAGGGAGTTGAAAGTCCATGTTGCTCGGCGACAGCCCCAAAACATCACTGCTCTCGAGAAGATCTGCATGGAGGAATGGGCCAAAATACCAGCTGCTGTGTGTGCAAACCTGGTAAAGACCTATAGTAATCTTTTGACCTCTGTAATATAACCTTTGTTGGCCATAACAAAGTATTGAGTTGAATTTTTGTTATTGACCAAATACTTATTTTCCACCATAATTTACAAATAAATTCTTTAAAAAGCCTACAATGTGAATTCCTGGATTTTTTGTTCACATTCTGTCTCTCACAGTTGAAGTGTACCTATGATGAAAATTAAATACCTCTCATTATTTTAAGTGGGAAAACTTGCACAATTGGTGGCTGACTAAATACTTTTTTGCCCCACTGTATATGCACTCTGAAGTTCAGTTTTCAATGTAGAAACTTTAATTTACGAACGATGGAAAGTTTACTAATTTAAATTTGACTGTGTTCTTCCACGAGTATGAGTCAGCACTTTTTTAGGTTCTGGTTCTGAGGTCATGAAGTCTGGATCTGTCTCTTTGGGAGTTCATATTTGTTTGTCAGTCACTTTTTAGGTTTTAGCTTCATAAATTAAAAGTCCCCAGTTTCCCACATAACACTGTTAAAACAAACACAAATATATAGGCCAGCTGATACAGAGGGTTATTAGACTGAGACAGACTCTGGTGAAATGGGAAATCTGCAAACATCCTCATTTTATTATACTGAATAATTGAGACTTTTAGTTTATGTTTTGAAATAGTATTCATTATACGTACAGTAAAGAAGGAAGTGATAAAAACACAATTATTACATCTTCATGAATGAACACACCAGAGCTGAAACAATTATTGGACTTTATCAAATTGTTCCAATTTAATTCCCTCCTTTGTTTAAATGAATAACAATGAGTCGTTTTTATTTTTTCTGAAAACCAACAATTTAAAGTACAATTAAGGATATATCCAATGGTTTGAGAAGTTAATGGATTACTTGATTGAGTTATGATAATAATAGATGATGATTACTTAGCCCTAAATAACACAATTATTATTTAGCAAAACATTTCATCGTTGCTGACTGGGTTTCTAATGAAACCCATGTGTCTGCAGTTGCTCTGCTCGTCACAGACCAGCGCCTGTGACCAGTGGCTCAGCCGGGCTGTCAGCAGGAGAGGGTCAGGAAGAGAGGGTCAGCAGGAGAGGGCCACCGGGAGGAGCGCACGGCTGATGGGAGAGTGCTGCTTCACAAACAACTTTCCTGACCTCTGGGTCCTGGCTCACCTGTACCCCTAAGAACAGGGCTCAGCACCGAGGTAAGCCTCCAAAAACACAATTCCCTTGAACAAACGATCAGGGCCACCCATTCTTCCCAATCACAGCTCAGAGGACAAAGATTATTCAGCCAGCGTTAGCTACCCGCCTATACTTGTGTATATTTTTGATGACACATGATGGAGGAGCACATATTGACTTCCCTATATCCTGGTCTAGCAACATTAACATCTGCTTATCAAGTTTTATTGCCTAAAAAGTAACGGCTTCTAAGCCACTTGAAATGTGTCTTTTAAAAAGCTAGTAATAACACAATATCATTACAAGGAAGAAAAGACTATCAACACAATGGAAGTTTTTGTGTGAAAATAGCTTAAATAATAATAATAAAGCTGAGCTTTACATGGTGAAAGAAGCATGGATTCCTCAAAGTTAGAGATGATCTTAACAGCAGCCGATTACAAATGAATGTTTATTCTAATGCCTAGAATAAACCTGAACCATGGGACCCGTCAAAAAAACGTTAGTACAAAATAATAGTACAGTCTTTACTACATTATTTATCACGTTGTATAAGACTATGTGGGAAACAACAGACATCAATGACATTCTCTTGTCACTGACATATTCTATAATAGTTACTTTTGAAGTAAATGTTTTTGACACAGTTCTTCCCATAGTGAACCAGAGTCATCTGTCCTAAACAAACCTGCACAGTGTATACTGTTATTATTATACTACTTATTCTAGCATTAGGAATGGTATATTATCATGGATCTATTAGTATATTATACATTAACAAAGCTTCACTGTATTTATCCACCGCTTCATTCACTGCAAGAGCAAAGGATTAGAACACTCAGTGAAAATCAAAGAATCAACCTCCACACTCTGTGTTTGGACATTTTCTCCAAAACAGTTCTGCTGTATTGACATGTTGACAGCGAGCATTAGCATTAGCACTGATGCTAAAGCTAACTAGGACATGTAGAGTAACATTCGCCCGAACAAACATATTTGGACTCTGAACACAAGGCTCATGGGATCTGTCAGAACATCTGTAGTAGCACTTTAACACAGGGACCAAAGAAGTCATTTACAGAAGAGGAAAATAACATAATATTGGAAGGTCCTCACCTTCTCAAACGGGCTGACAGCAGCTACTTCCGAACTCGGGTAGTTTCCGGTTTCAAAATAAAACACTCGAGTATTTCTGGGCAGCAGGCAGCAGCATCTATTATGTCAACCATTTTACCTCCAAAAGATTGTATGGCATAATTCCATATGCACTGCTCTAAATGCACTGAAACCGAAAAATATGATATTAAATTCTTAAATTTAGCACTAATACAAATCTATCTTCTATTTATATTCAGAATATAAAATATAAACTGCTCTTTATGTATGTCTAAAATAAATGTGGTAGATTAATGGAATGATTCCCGGAGACAACGTTGTGATTTATGGGTAAAAAACATTTATAAAAATAAAGGGGTCTAAAGATTTCATGTTTTTGTTTGTTTTTACATTTTGCTTTACGTCAAAAAATACATGTTTCACTTTACGCAATAGTGTCATTTTGATGTAAATGTCTGATTACATTGGTCTTTGTGTGAGAACTGTAAATCCCAGAGGGAACACCTCTTCTTTCCTCCTCTCTTTTCACGGTGCATCTCTAAAGGCATTTCCACTTGTTCTGGGAAACGTGCAGCATCATTGAAAATAAAACAGAGACCACCCAGGCACTGATACCATTATATTTATCTCTGCAAATTGTGCCGAGCAGAAAGAAATCCTCTGATAAGCCAAGGCCCAGTCCGCTGGGAAGTATAATGTCCAATTATGATACAATCTCCTAATTGAAGAATTAAGTTGTGACTTGGGAGTTTGCAATGATGCTGACGTAACAGGAGCTGTTCATCTGCTTAAACCTAATGGTGCTGCTATAGATCAGGGATTAGAAACACCAGCTTCATATTCAGGAACCACAAATATAAACATAAACCATACCCATGGCTACTCCAATGTATTACACACATTGATTAAACAGAGAGACTTCTTGTATTGACAGATAAACAGAGTGGGGCTAAATATAGAGAAGCAGGTGTTGCAGGTGTGTTGTGAGGGGCCGCTGATGGTCCTGCAGTGACCCCAGCTCTCTGTAATGCACATCCCGTAATGGCACATGCTGCGCTGGCACCACTGCTCATCCCTGAACCCTATTGTTCATTGTTTGTCTTCTATAATTTTTTCCCATGGGCCCGTAGCCAGTGAGAGGAAAAGGTCACTGTAAATATTGCCCTGAAATCCTCCTCCCTCCTCGAGTGCTCCTGAAGATGGAACAGGCGACCAGTGGGTGAGCACTTCCTTCCTACGAAGGGCATTTCAACTAAGGACATCAAACACGTATGAAGCGCTCATGTCAAAGATCAGTGTGAGATCATGTGCACACTGTTGACACGGGGCAGGCCTCTGCTGCTCAGAGCAGCTTCTCCCAAAAGGAACATGGGGCACCCAAACAGAATGATATCATTGACAACTTTATCATTTCATCAACTTGTCAAATAATTATGTATTATATATGTATACATATAAAAATATATTGTAAGTTACTGTAAGTTATATCGGCAGGATAAATATGCAGTACTGCACATTTTTGTATAACTATTATTATGGCTCATGTCATCTTTGAGTTGTACATGAAAATCTGATTCTTAAGATTAAGCAAAATCACTTTAAGAAGTCTGAGGATTAAGAGACAGATTGGGCTAAGGTGTTACAGAAGTCAATTGTGCAAAAGTGCAGGAGGGTATAAAGGGGCATTTTCTCAAATATGTCCGAGCCTATACCACCCAGGTTAACATAACATGTTCCTGGCCTTCTCAAAACATGGCTCCCCAGACCCCTGCCCCCCCTCAGGCCAGACAACAGGCTACTGTGTCTCAGGAGGCACAAACTGAAGCTACCCTGAAACCTGCCCCAGGAACTCCCTGGGAAATGCTCACGCAAGAAAAATACAAAACATGTTCAATGTCTTGAGAATAACATGGATTTTGTTGGTCCTTCACGGTAAAGAACAGTGAGGAACAGTGAGGGGGAATGTTTGCGATGTTGGCAGTTTATTGTTTGCAATTCACACTCAATGAGCAGATGATGTGGGAATTTACTCAATGGAATGTATACACAACAAAAAATACAATAATTGAGTTGACCCTAAAAACATAACATTATGTACACTTTTTTTACTCATTAATGAATAAAATAATAAACATGTATTTGCTGACAATTGTCCGTTTGTGCAGTACATGAGGCACATTATGGCAAAACAACCTACTTTGAAGACTGAGGACGTAGGGAACTTCGAATCATTGACCAGAAGGGGGCGCCCTAATACGTAACTAACTCTTAAAGTCTTCTATCCGGACATAAAGATGCTGCTTACACTGGGCCAGATTTAGTTTGGTAGGGATGTAATACATTTTAATTAATTTGAAATTTCACTATAAAAAATACATTATATATTTCCCCAGTGTTTGAGAATAAACAAAATGGACTACACTTAAAATAAAAGAGGAACACTTCTTTGTGCAGAGGTCATCAGTAAAAAATGCAATAAAATCAAGACATTTTTTACATTTGAAAATAGCTTTAATACATATAATTATTACTGAGTATGGCTTAATGGTGGATAAACAGTTTCCCCCTTTTGGAAGTGATTACAATTGAGTTTAAAATATCCATAAAGTTGCACGGCAAAGCAAAGCAAGTTTATTTGTATAGCACAATTCATACACAAGGCAACTCAAAGTGCTGAACAAACCAAGTAACCATAAATAATCACAGCGCATTAAATAGAAAAGGACAAATATAAAACCCCTCAGTTGTATGCACAGCTAAACAGAACTGTTTTAACCTGGATTTAAACAGAGTCAGAGAATAAGCCTTTCTCACATTTTCAGACAGTTTTTTCCAGATTTTAGCAGCATGAATTTGAAATGCAGCCTCCCCATGTTTAGTTCTGACTCTGGGACCAGCAGGAGTCCACTAAACTGTCACTTAAGTAGTTTAGGAAGATTCATCTGGTCTTCTTAGTATCAAAAGTATTGGGTTCTTCTACACCAGACAATGTAAGGTTTTGTGATGTAATTACCTTGTCACTTAAGTACTATTAACTATTACACAACTGAGATTGTGCATGACAGTGTGACAAGACTGTGGCGTCCTTACCCCAATGAAAAACAATAACACCGGGCCTTGTAATCATTAAACACATACTCAAATTTAAGGAGCACCTACACGGGTACACATGAAGAATGCATTTGAGTAAACACTGGCGGCACATACACAGTCCTGGTGGGTGTCGAGTTGAAGGAGAGCAGTTGTTTGTAGTGACAACAGTGGGAAAGAAGACACAGAGGAAGCCAAACTCAAGCTGCACTTTGAAGAAACAGTGCGGGCCTGATGCCGTTGTGATAGAAGCCTCTTTGGAAAAACAGTAACACATCTGATTGTGTGGCAGTCCAAAATCCAGTAGCGGCAAAGCGTGGGCATTAAACAGCGTGTAATAATGGCTTTGAGGTGCACCGAGGCCTCTTGTGTTTGAGTGGATGGTGTACAGGAAGGGAAGCAGCATATGTGCAGGTCAGTGGGAGGTGATGGGGGACTCTATAGGCTGTGTATGCTGCAGAGGTGCAAATTGAGGTCAGTTTCAGTCAAGTAGCACTATTCTCTTTGATCCTGCAGTCGGACTGGATGAAAGACATCCTGCTTCCTTGGGCCAGGAGGAGACGAGAAGCGGACGGGTGTGGGTGGACCGCTTTCCACCTGACTAATAAGACTGATACAGTAAAGTGTTTTTCTATTTCTCAAAATGACCCCGTATTTCCTTCTGTTTAGACTTCGCTGTAACAATGCACAGATAAGTTGCCACCGGAGCAAAGGCCTTAAATCAGATGTTAAAGGGTTTTGGAATCAAACATCCACGCTCTGAAATGAATTGGATGTTTAGAAAATACTGTATATCTCAGTGGAACAAGGATAAATATCTTGATTAACCTAAAATAAAATCTTTTCCATGAGCCCTTCCCTATATTAGACTTTATCAAGCAATCTGGTTAGCCCTGTCCATCCATATTTACAGTCCTTTGGTGGGATCCCCAGCTGCTGCGTAAAATGGTGCGAATGGTGAAATGTGGCCATACTTGCATGAGCGAAAGCCAGATTCTGTCAGACCACTGAAGCTAAGCAGGGAAGGGCCTGGTTAGTACTTTGATGAGAGACCTTCAGGAACACCCAGAAGCCACAATGGGTCGGCTGCGGCTGTAAAGCGGCAAACTGTGGTTGCGTCCTTGGGCAAGACACTTCACCCACATAAGAATGAGTCTGGTATGTGTGTGAATGGTTGGTGGTGGGAGGGGCTGATGGCACAGACTGGTTTCCCAGAGAGAAAGATTCCTAAGTGTGTTGTCTTACTTGCAAATTAAAAACAATCTAATAGAGGTGTGACGTTTCGGTGCTATGCCTTCATCAAGCAAATAATCTCCTCCTACACACCCGACCTTTAGGCATTGATGTGCGAATCCCTACTCCAGACAGACTGGTTGCCTTGATTCTGTCAGTGTGCCCTAGGGCAGCTGTGGCTACAGTAGTAGTTTATCACCACCGCTTTTAAAGTGAAAGAGTAATGTAATGTGAAGAGTCATTTGAGTGTTCGGAAAAATGCTTAATAAATCCAATGCATTATTATCATTATTTAAAAACAAGGTCCATGACATACTGTATCATTAAGCAAATGTTGTGTGATTCATCCCCAGCAATGTTGGATTTGTTGTTGTAAGCTATGTCTGTCGTTCTTCTCTTTTCTCTAGTGTGATCATTTTGTTCATGGAAAAGAATCACTTTGATCGTCCACTGAGAAAGTCGTGTAAAAGCTGCACAAACCCAAAGCTGCCTCTGGAAAGGACAACAACGCTTTAATGGTCGCGCTGACATTTATTGCTCTGTCCAACCATCTGCAGTGCGCCTGTGTGTGAGGAAATAGAATATTCAGAGAAGATGTAAATGGGACATGCTTTAAACTTCTGCCCTTAAAATGATTCTAAAATATAATTAAATCAAATTAAAAATTCTAATAACAATGCACTTGTACGAAAATAGTTTTAGTTGATTAATTTCACAGTGAAAATTGTTTTGTGTTTTGTTTATTTTATTCCTGTACTTGTCTTGTACACACTGGCAACCTTTGCGGAAGTATTCCAATGTGGTTTTACTGCAAATGGGAAATAAACTGAATCTTAATATAATATAGAAATAGGAGAATAGGTATGGAAGATGTTTAGTGTCATCAGATTTTGAGTTTTAAAAGTGCATGAATTTTACCATTTGAAATTTTTAACCCTGAAGAATCATCTCTGTATTTCAGTCATTAAAGTTGAGTTTACAAATGTACAAAAGTATTCACCTCCAAAATATTCTTACTTATATATATAAGTTTATTTTTGAGCCTCAAATTCAATGCACTGTGAAATTCAATGAACAAAAAATAGAAATTGATATTGAATATTTTTGTCTAAAAATGTTCAAAATTAAACAAAAATGCATACATTTTCAAGAGCTTAAATTCCACAGTCTAAATTTGTTGCAAAAAAACACATCCGGTGTTCTGACGAGTTGTGTGCTCCATCAAGTTGGTTTGCGCATCCGTCATTTTACTATGCTTTCTCTCAGATGGTCAATCGGGTTGATGACATGAATCCAACAGGTTGATATGGGATTTATAATGAAGGGAGTGTGAGATTATGAGGTATTTCTCTTGATAAAATTAGCCAAAGAAGTTTAAAAAAACTGTAGGTAGTGAATTCGAGGAAGAGCTGGAAGTGTAGATACTGACTTAATACTTGAAAATAAATTTTAAAAAAGTTATTTTTCCTTAAGAAAAATACACAGAGAGATGGGGTTAAAGGGGTGAAAAAGTAAATAGTTTTGATATAATAATACTGTAATGCAAGGATTACACAGTGTCATATGACAAAACACAAACATTATATGTAAAATATAAAGATGTAGAACATATATCATAATACGTAGTTACTTCAAAGTGTGTGCAGTACAAATAGATGACAGGAAGTATGTAAAAGTCCTGGTACAATGGACCACATGCAGCAACCAAAGAGGATTAATAGAGACCT